TTTGTAAGAGGCCCGAAGTGCCATCATTTTCTCAAATAAGGATTTTGAGTGACAAAATCGTCTCAAATAAGGATATGAAGTGACTAAATAGTCTCAAATAAGGACATTTGGTTGGCGAGGCAACAAGTGACTATTCCGGCGGGGGTAGTTTGGTCGAAAAAATCAATCTTTTTTACTCTCCTTTTCTTTTATTTTCGTTTTCTTTTTCTATTCTTTTTTCTTTTTCCTTTTTCCCTCTTCCCTCTCCCGGTCAACGATGGCGGGCGGAGGTCGCCGGCCAGCCTCACGCGAGGGCCGCCCTTGCTTGGGCACGAGCAAGAGCCACCCTCGCCTGGGTTGGTAAGGGCAACCCTTGCTTACACCAGATCTGGCAAGGGCGTTCCTTGTTGGCATCGAGCGAGGGTCTCCTCGCCTAGGCTGAAAGGGCGAGGGCAGCAACCTCCGCTGGCGATTTGGTGATGGCCGGCGAAGGGAAAAAGAAAAAAAAACAGAAAAAAAGAAAAAAATTCAAAAGCAAAGTAAATAACGGAAATGCCATTCGGCCAGATAGTTCAGGTTCTTCTTTGAGATAAATATAGCCACTTTAGGCCCTTATTCAAAACAATGTCCACTTTGAGCCCTTATTTGAGAAAACGATGGCACTTCAAGCCTTTATTTGAAATAAGGTCCACTTCAGGTCCTTATTTGAGAAAACGATGGCACTTCAAGTCCTTATTTGAAACAAGATCCACTTCGAGCCATTTTGGAATTTTTTCCTAAATTTACTGTATTTGTGCAAATTCAATTATACATGTTTCAATTTGATCAATTGAGCCATAAACCTTTTGACGACTTGTCAATATAGTCCATCCGACCGAATTAACCGAAAATCATTGATGTGGTCAATCATGGTAAACTAAAAACTTCACGGCGAATCGGCAAGTGAAATCGCCGCGTCATGAGGTGGACGATGACTTGACTGTGCGTGCTGCGTGCGATTGATGTCATTTCAAAAGTACCCGATACATGCATGTAGTCAAATTCAAACGAACAACGAACAAATTCGGTCTGTATCAGGAAGACATTCAAGGGACATTTAAAACAAAAGCAGGACGATCCAATCTAAACAATATGCACAACCTATACACACCTCGCGTATATTCTAAATTCCAAGTCGACACCGCCGGGACCAACTGAGTCCAACATGCAAAACAGACGAATTTAAATGAACCAAGGGCGGGGGATGCATCGAGTCTAAATGTAATTGGATCATTCATCTCCTTTGCAAGTGAATTAAATTCAAAATCAAAAGGGACAATGACACAAATGGTCTTTGAACTCTTGTCCAATGTAATCCCCAAACTTTTAATTTGTTTAACGTGATCCCTAAACTTTAACATAATATTAAATGCGATCCCTAGACTTTGGTACATGTTCAATGTAATCCTTGACATTTATGAAAATATTCAATGTTGTTATTCAATTAATTCAAAGTCATGGACAACATTGGACATTTTCATATGGTCTACAAATTAAATTAAACAAGTACCAAAAGTTTAGGGACTACATTAAACAAATTGAAAATAATAGGATCATATTGCACATTTAGTTAAATATAAAAGGATCATAGTGAACAAATTAACAGTTCAGGAACCGCATTGCACGCTGAGTCAAAGTTTATGGATCATTTGTTCCATTTTCCCAAATCAAAACCTTGGGAACGAATTCGATCCATCAAAGTAGCACATAAATCAAACGGATGAATCCAATGCTAAATCTATAAACCACGTGTACTGATAAATAATAAGGACAAATCTAATCCCATCAAAACAACATTTGATTTCAAAATCAGTGTATATTTCGCATGGACATGTAATTAATAACCGTGTTTGGATTTTGTCACGTTAGCATGCATCCTACTATTGACTTAAAGATGTTGCGATTGGAAAATAAAGAAATAATTAATATATTTATGATAATTACGTATTTACAAAATATCGGCCATGCAGTTTTAGTCCGCATTTGATTCCATGCAAATTCTATCACTGCCGCAAGTAACGCGAAGTCAACATGCAATTTCAAAGCAGTTTATGCCTTCATGAATCATGACAGTTAGGGGTATCAAAACCAAACACAATACCCGAGCCGAAACACGAATCGACTCGACCCGAACACGAAATTTTCTTATTGGATCGGGTTGGATCTCAACTTGTTTGAGTAATAATAAAAAGAATTGGGTATTGTTTGGATCTATTGGGCTTGGGTCCCAAGCCCAACCCAAACAATAAGCCAACCCAAACAATAACCAAAACTCTTAAGATCCCTCCTCCTCCCAAGACCCTGCCGCCGACTTCTTCTTCCCCGGGTTCCGCCGCGCCGCCGTCGCCGGCAACATCACCCTCAACGGCGTCACCGAGATCGACGGCCGCGGCGTCCTCAAGCTCACCAACGAGACGACCTGTTTCTACCCTAGCCAGGCGGTGGAGGATTTCATCCTTCTACCGGAGACCACGCCGTCCAACCAGATCTCGGGCTCATCGACGACGCGGAGTCCTCCTGCTGCGACAGCAACGATGCCGGGACGATGGGCATAAAAGGCGGCGATGCCGCGACGGCGGTTGAATCGTTGAGGCCGGGGCGGTGATGCACGTGGTGCTGCTGGGAAGATGATGAATTTGGGATCCGCAACAATGGCGTCTCTCTCTCTATCTCTATCTTTGAATTCATTGTTTGAAACGCAAAACTCGCCTCGACCCGACCCGACCCGACATGATCCGGCCCGATCGTGTAGCTTTATCTTGTTCGGGTCTTGTCGAACACATATGTCCAATATTTGGGTCGGGTCAGGTATCATGAAAACCCGATCCGACCCGACCCATTGACACCCCTAATGACAGTGTGCAATTTTAAGTGTTTATTCATGTATATTGATACTTTTACCATCAATGTGCAAAATTATTCAACGAGTTATTTGTCATCCTATTGCAAGGGAGAGTCGGCGGCGCGCGCAAGCAATGCCAAATACCAATGGATGGCATCTAGGGCCGATGGCAACCCCGTGGTGGGTGGTCGCAAGATCGTGGAATTAGGGCAAGAGAGTGGGAGAGGAAGAGACTGACATTAGTGCTTCACAGGGGAAGTTAAACTGATCTCACGTGACCGTCAGATCTAAGAAAACGTAAATCTCATTTACTTTTAGGCTGCATTTGGTCGACCGGATAAAAGCCAGGATAGGATATGTTTTATCATATCCTGTGTTTGGTGGTGGTCCAGGATAGGACAAGGTCGGATATAGACCAGATAAAAAAATCTGAGAGGGGGTGGGATATGAGGGGGGTGGGATAGACCTGGATAGGATTTCTAATACCTATTTTTCCAGAAACCCTACGCTCCACTCGCCGTCATCTTCATCCCCACACCTTGTGCGCTTTCACCAAAAAAATTTCTCGGCTTTTTTTCCTTCACCGACTCCTCCGGACCCGTGAATAGCAAAAAAGAAAAAAAATTATCCTATCCGACTTTAAATCCGTAGTCCACCAAACAGTGGATAGGAAATAAATGCTGTTTAGAAATCTGGACAACCAAACGCAGCTTTAAGTTTTTGCATGTTACGACTCGGACTTGCCCTTTAAAAAATGCTGAAGTGGGGTTTCGGCTAACTAGATGCCCAAGGTTCATGCCCCGAATGGCTGGCCTTAGTGCGATTGATACCCTATGTTTTTCCGAATGGGCTTTAGAGGTCCAAAGCTGATAGATTTAGGAAATACTCAAATACCCCCATCACACACGTATGTTGGACTTTGGCCTAAGATTAATGAATAGCCAAATAGGGATATGGAAGGATTTGAACTTAGGACCTGCTGCTCTAATACCGTGTGAGATTTTGTGAGATTATTACTACCTATTATAAAAGCTTAAATAGTTAGATGAATGTGCGATTTAACATTTAAATATTCCTAGCAAGCATGATAATTGATTAATGTTAAATATAACAAAAATAATTATTTTGTTACTATTAACGATATTTTCGTTAATTATAATTTATTAACTATAATTTGAAATTATTTTAAAATTTTAGTCCAATAGTGTAATGAATCGATATTTCTTATTCAATTAGATCTATACTAATTAAATATTTAACAATATAATTTGTTTGATAAATGAGGTGGAGGGACCATTATTCCAATTACAGTTGGTGGCATGCCCGTTCCACCTCCTTTATTCGGGCCGAGCACAGGAAAGTAGGAACGGAAAGCTCATTCATTCGAACCAAACATGCAATAGCATTTTTTTTAAGCCAATGCTATTGCATGTCTAAATATAAATTTATTGTCGATAATGAAAAGAAATTCATAAACTAGTTAATTCAAACGATATAAACGATTATTTTTAGGATAATCTTTTTCAGCCATTTATTTTTCGAGAAATAAATGGAGGGTTCGATTATTTTATATTTTCACCTTATTCACAAACAGTCCCCGAACTTAAGCTCAATGTGTAATGTGGTCTCTGAACTTTTAACTTGTTCAATGTGTAGTCCCTAAACCTTAACCCAATGCGCAATGTGATTTTCGAACTTTAATTTTGTTCAATGTTATCCTTAAACTTTTGTTACATTTTCAATTTAGTCATTAAATTACATGAAAATATTCAATATAATCCTTCCATTAATTCTAGTTCAGGGACTACATTGTACATCATATAGTTCAGTTCATAGACTACATTGAACAAATTAAAAGTTTATGGATCACAATGAATATCAAGCTAAAATTCAGAAATTACATTGAATAAATTAAAAATTCAGCGATCACATTGAATATTAAATTAAAATTCAGGGATTTTCATTGCTATAGTCAATTCACACGACCGACCGAGCGAACTAACGAGTAATTGAAAAAGCGAAAGGCGCTCCGCGAATTAAATTTTCCGCTTCTTTTTTTTTTTTTTTTCATATTATTAAATTTTGAAGAAAACCGCCGCTTCCCTAGAGTTCAAAAAATTCCCTCTCGAGCCAAAAGGCAACCACAGAAGAACCAGCAGCGCCGAGCGGGGGACTCGCGACCGACCGTTACTGTTCCTCGATCGCCTCCGATTCCAATCCACCTTCTTCCATCGATCGAAGCGGCGCCGTCGGTGATCCCTCTCGGATCTGCTGCTCCTCCTCCTCCTGGATCTGCCGGATGGCCGACTCCTCCGACGTCCTCCTCCTCCAGGACAAGCGGCGGCTCAGCCTCATCGACGTCTCCTTCGAGGACGACTGCCTCCTCGATTCCTCCTCTCGCGATCCCCCCCGACCTTCAGGTTTTCCCCTCTCGATTTGGCTCTCGCGTTCGAGATTGCGCGCTCTTTTTCCGAGGATAGAGGGTTTGTTCTTGATGCGCTTGAGTTACGTGAAGTATAGTTTGCGCGCGATGTTGGGGGGTTTACGGGGATCGTGCGTCGTATTGTGTCTTGACCAGGTCGCTAACTTGGTGTGAGAGCCGAGAGGATCCTATGGATACTGGCTTCTGGCTGGGAAAGAAAAAAAAAAAAGAGAGATTCTTGTCATTTCCTTTCTAATGGCATAGAGAAGGACGTATAGTTTTGCTCTGGTAACTACTTATCCTTATGCAGGAACACTTAAAAGCCGTCTTCATTCCGATCTGAAAAAAAATTAGACAAAGGGTATCTTGGGTTCTTGTCGTTCCTGATTCCTTCAGTGAATCGAGCCAGTTAATAGTTCATCCGGGGTGAAGTTGTTTCGGGCAAATCACGATGTAGGTGGCTGGATAACCAGCCGTAAGTAACACTCCTGTGACTGGGGTTTATCGCCCTTGCCAGGATCATCTGGCAAAAGTTCCTAGCTTTGATACCGGGCATTAGATGTATTACTGGGCAAAGATGCAGGGATACAAATGTTTATTCCCTTCTCGTACTTCGATTGCGTTGAACTTGATTGTTCTTTATGTTTAGCATTGCAAAATGCTGATATCTTTTGTACAAACTTAGCTGAATTTGGTGCATGTGAGCTCAGGAAATCAGGTGGTTCATCAAAGCTTGGAGCTTGGGGAGGATGTGACTTTCAAGGGAGTCGATAACATTCTAGAGTCCTTTGCAGCTGTGGACCGATCAGCAGTCCCTCCACTGGTTGAATCATGCGAACCGGGAGGAATTGGGAAAAATGGCAAGTATAACCTGCGCAAAAGTTTGGCCTGGGACAGTGCTTTTTTCACCAATGCAGGTAACCTTTTGGCATAGAAAAGGAAAGGAACTGTTTTCCATTCCAAATTAAGGACATAACTTCATCATGTACCTTTTGAATCTCAAGTCTAATGTTCTTCCTTTCTGTAAATTCTAGGAGTTTTAGAACCTGAAGAGTTAACTAGCTTGATAGAAGGAGGGGAGAAGAAAGGAAAGCATGTGCTACCCTGTATTGAAGAGGAGACACACAGATCATCAGATTCAATGTCCACCTTAGAAGGTGATTGTTTGTCATTAGCAAGTCTCGAGGCTGATTTATTTGAAGACATAAGAGCTTCAATACAGAAATCGAGCAAAGTATCTGATAAGGAAAGTTCAGTTAGCAAAGCAGGAGCACTGCTGTCTGATAAAACGACTCTTCAGTGTAAGTCTTTTGCTGCACTACCCTTTGAAACAAGCAAATATTTATGCTTTAGAGACCAAGGGCTAAACACAATTAGACGAGTAGCGCTCTAGTCTCTCCTTAACATTAGACCTTAGTTCATGTTTTATCATCCTTTCTTGTCCCCACATCATGCACCAAAAGTAAAGTCTATTCATGTTTAAGGTAATTGGTTGTATTTTCGTGTGTGGAGCTGTGTTATCTGTTCATTTTAGCTCACCAGCTGGAATGGCCTAATTAGTTAAGTATTGACACCTCCTTGACTCCTTACGATTATATATTTTATGGAATTCGAGTGTAACACCTTGAGTCCCACATCAGACAGGAGAGGACTTGTGATTTTATTCTATAAGTAATGGACCCATCTCTAAACAGTCACCAGTTGAGAACTACTTTCACAGCCTTGATCAACCTAGCGTAAGTCAGGCCACTGAAGAAAGAGAAAACTTTGTTGATATCTGCCTTGGTTGACTTCCCTGAATTCTGTAACTGCTGGAGCGGCTGCCTTCCTTGACTCCCCATAGAAGAAATAGAATATCCTTACTACCTCTAATTGTCCTAAGTGCGAAAGGATTCAATTGGTGATGAAGATTTTCCAATAGGAGAAGTGCTCAATCCCGTTGCTTCTGCACTCAGTCTGTTGCTTCCTCAACAAAAGGTTTTCAAAAAAGGCGCCGCGACATGGCACTTGGATGTCGGTCTATTCTTTTGCTTCCATGGCACATTGTTTGCATCGCATTTAGCATCATTGGACAAGATCTCTTCACATGCTAAATCGTAGAACATCGCAATCCTTCAGCGTAGTTCAATTTATGCTCCAATACCTAATTTGCTCAAATCTGCCCCTTATATGCTTTTTGTCCAAGCAACTTTGAACAAGCAAATCTGCATCACCTCTATATCTAATATTATAGAGAGGTCTTGGAGTTTTTATATGCATTATGTGGAAATTAAGTTTTTGGTATCGATTTGCCATGTAAATGAATCATTTGGTGATCAAGTCTAGTTTTGAAAATGATGGATTGGTTTTTGACTTTTGTTCATGGATGACTGTATTGGAATCATTTCTAGCATTACATGGTGTGTCAGGAAGAGGACTGGTATGTTGGTCTTTCATGCATTTATGCATTTCCAAATTAATTTCTCTATATTGAGGTAAAATCTTTTTCCTCTAGAATTTTCTCATACCAAGCCTCTGCTTGTTAATCAGTTGTAGTTAGCTGGAGGAGCTATTTTGTTGTAAGGTGAACAAACTCTTTTTGATGTAGTTGCTCACATTACTATGATTTTTGTTGTGGTTCCAGCTTTGAAGAAGGCAGACGTTGGTTCTAATAGTCAGGTAATGTGTGGAGAATGCTTCTTGTATTGAATTGTGGACTTCTATTTCATTAATTCTCATATGTCTGTGTTGTGTTGCAGTTGAGACCCAAGCCTGCTCCAAAGAAACCAAGCTTAGCCTCGGGGAACACAGCAAAGCAGCTTCCTGTTCGTCCACAGGTCTCACAGGTTTGTTCCTACAAATTAAAAATCACGTTCTGTCTGCATTTTGACATTGAAATGTGCTGATTGAAAAATTTCCAGCTCCACTTATTGAGTAATTTGGGGTAGAGTCATTACAAGAATTATCTTGTTTATTTCCAGGAATATATATGTTTAGCAGTCAAGCCTGTTTTTTTTTTTTATCTTTTCATCTTATCAAATGCACGGGGCACAATATGTGTACGTACATACTAGTGAAAGCACTCAAATTTGTCTTGGTAGTTATATGACTGGTTATTTTTAGGGGAAACATTCTGCTGTAATTGGAGGTTCAGCTTCATTTCCTTCCAAGCCACTTAGACTGGGTACTGTTAACTCGTTATCAACATCCACAAAGAGGGATTCGGTGGGTGCTAAATGTATGAGAGCGGAAAAGAGTATGGCAGAACATACTGGTAAGCGGATTGACTCCTGTTTGTTTAATACTAGTTTTACAGAACATTGCTTTTACTCCTTTTCTGTATATTTGAGTTCATTCTATTATTTTTCAGGTAGAGGGCCCCCAGCATCTAGATTACGTGCCACGAGTGGTCCTCGGCATATTATACCTAGGCTTTCATCCTCTTCTAGATCTTCTTTAGGTTCAACGACCACTAAGACGGAGCCAGAGTCTTCTAGTTCGTCGATGGATAGTTCAGGCAGTTTCTCACGCAACAAGATAGGAAAATCAGCGGTGAAGTCTAATAAGAAAAATATTGAGGCTCGAACCGGTAATCTACCTTCCACTGGTTCAAATAAGAAAACACCGTCAAAAGGCCCCAACTCTGGAGTATCTCATCTCTCAGCTTATGTGATGTCTGCATCGAAGCTTTCCTCTAGCTTGTCACCTGCCAGTTCCATCAGTGAATGGTCAGTGGAATCCTCTTCTTCCACTTCAACAGTCAATCAAAGGTCAAACAGCTCTAGCACTAGCTTTGACCCCAGCTCACGTAGGTTGGGCACTGCCGATGGAGATGCACCTGAAGTTTTTGATCTTCAGAATAGTTCACATGACAAGCACTTTCGTAGACATGAAACTCAAGGTTCTATGGTCCCTGATCGAAAGAATTCTTCAGCTGGAGGAGCCCTTTTACCAAGCTCCATGAAACCCTCTGGCCTCCGAATGCCATCCCCCAAAATTGGCTACTTTGATGGGGTATGTGTAGTCTTTCCCTTCATAAATTGTACGTTTTTAAAGTAAGTTGAATCAGTGCTGAGTCTGATTGTTCTGCAATGTCTTTATTATGCAGATGAAATCAGGCCGTACCCCTACTGGAAATAAGCAGTCTCATCCTGTTGGTTCTGGCGTTCTCAAAAAAACTGCAGTGGATAGTGCTAACTTGAGTGGGGCGCTGAAGAGGGGAATGCTTGGAAAGGTCCAATCTGAGACAACTACAATGCCAATCAGGAGGACAAAAGCTGATGTTAAGGAATTTGCCCCTGATGTGACACCTAAATTGCATAAAGAATCTCCTATTTCTGCAATGGGGGTCCGTAGGGTTTCCAGGAACCTCAAACATTCTCCTGGCCTATCTCCAAAAGTTCAGAGCATGATTTCTCCTAAATGTGGGGAGAAAAGTCTGGTGAAGGCAGACGACGGAGCTAAAGAATGTGATGCATCTGTACAGCATACGGATTCCGGTATAATGGAGCAAAATGCCAATGGAAGTCAAGAAATCAAGTCTGTTGCCAATGGGGAGACTTCGAAAACCCCTTCTACTGGTGGAGGACCGAAATTTTTTTTAGGTGAAGCCTTGACCAACATAGGAAGCAAAGCATATTCTGAAGATCAAGCTGATCAGTTCGGACAAGTGAAGGAGTTGGCAGTGGAGATTTTTTCTCGTTCGCTTTCTGACCGTGTTTCTGAGAACCCGCATTCCGTCAGCGGCCAAGTTGATGTTCTCAATTCAGACCTTTTTCCATCTAACTCGAGCACAACCGACGTCATGGCCAGCACGAGGATACCGTTCTCTGTGGTAGATTCTTTATATAACAGGGACGGTTCCAATGATGTCTCGGCCGGACTGCGAATTGTGGAAGTCGAAAAGAGGGCCACCCTGCCTTCGCCTGGTGATATTACGAGTGAGAACAGTTGAGTTGTCAAACGGATGTGAAGGTTTTCTGGTGGCACTTATATGCGGTTCTTTCTCTATACCTGCTGATGCTGATGAGTTCTTCCGTGCTCTGCAAAGCTTGGAGAGTGTAGCTACAGTGATTTGAGAGTCTTTGAATTTGTATTTGATTGTAATGGCATCGATTGTCTATGGCTTCCTGATATGGGATCAAATATGTACGGCTCTTTCCTATAGTTTCTTTCGGGCTTCTTGATACATTCACCGACCAATATCAATACTATAGGTAACGGATGGATGTTGTCTGCTAGTTGCTATGGGTATAATGCATAAAAATGACAATGACTGAGAAGAAATAGCTATGATCTGTTTGGTTTCTGAGAGCAGTTTGTACGCATGATAATCATTCTATTTCTTTATTTTTCTATTTTTAGGAACAAGTTTAAAACAAAAATCCGTTTTATTACGCAATTTCATATTTCTATTTTTAGAACAAATTTTGATTCCAGAAATAGGTTTGGAATTGAAATGAGAAATAAAAACTCTTTTCATCATTTGTCCTCTCTACTAGTCGGCCGTCTCCCGCTGCTGTCCGCCATCGATCGGCGTTTGCTGTCCTCTACTGTTGCCCATCACTGGTTGCCTCCTGTCGTTGGCCACTGGTCGCCTCCTGTTGTCGTCTTCTGTCATCTGTCGCCTCTCGCCGCTGTTTGTCTCTGCTCACCTCTTGGCGGATAGTGTCGCTTGCCTCCTGTCGTCCGCTGCCGCTCGCCTCTTGCCGGTCGTCGCCTCCTGCTGCCGGTCATCGTTTGCTATCCTTCGCCACTGCTTGACGCCGGCTGTCGATGGCCTCCTGCCGCCACCTATTGTCCTCCGCCGTCTGACACCGATCGCTCGGGAGGGAGAAATTTTGTGTTATTATCAAACGAATTTCTATTTTGGAAATAGAAATTTTTTATTGTTATCAAACGTTTATTTTGGCTCAAAAACTCTTCCAAGGAATAGAAATAGAAAAATTTATTTTTGGCTAGAAATTGATTTCTGAAAGAGAATGGTTATCATTCGCGTTCCTAGATTTTTTGTTTTTTCTCATTTATCGTTTGAGAATGATAGCAGTCCAAATATAAACCGGGTGCCACAGTAAAAACAATCTTCAAATGAAAACAAGGGAACTATTTCCAAAATACATGTTATAACCGAAATTCTTTGCGATTATTATTTCCATTCTAAATGAAAACGATGAGATCATAAAAGAAAAAAAAAATCCTTTAATAGTTTTTATTGCATTTATATTTTTTACATTAAACTTAGAGAGAACTTCATTTTCATTTACCAAACACGTTACCATTTCCCCTTGAAAATAAAAAAGGGTTAATATCATGAAAAACCCTAAACTAATATATATGTGACAAATTCACTCAAAATTAATTTTTTGAACAACAAAAACCCCAAACTGGTACATGTGATAAATTTACCCTTCATTAGTTTCGGTTAAATTTTACAGTCAAATTGCTGAGTTGGATGACACGTGATAGTTGACGGGTGTTTCAGTTTAAGGTTTTACCCATATGTTTATCACAGATTTATCAATTTATAGTTTTTTGTGGTATTAATCCAAGTTAACGGAGAGTAAATTTGCCACAAGTGTATCGGTTTGGGATTTTTTGTGGTAAAAAATTTAGTTTGGAGTAAATTTGTCACAGGTATACAAATTTAGGGTTTTTCATGATATTAATCCAAAATAAAAACTTAAGAGTTTTTTCAAAGTCAATCAACTTTTACGTGAATAGAGATATATTATATGTGATGGTTATATCGTGTCAATCGCATCACGTGACAGTGACACATGGTATACCAAGCCAAAGAAAGATGGGTAATCCAAAGTTTTAGTGCCGTATAGAGGCCCAATTCCAAAAAAAACCCTCAACTTTACACTTTGTCCTAAGTATATCCTGAAATTTTTTTTGTCTCAAGAAAAATCACAAACTTTTATCTAAATCCCAAATCTGCCCTCCCGTTATAAATCCGTCCAATTAACGTCAGAAAAAAAAAAAAAAACAGAGAACGGGCAGCTGCGGTGGTGGCCAAGCCTTCGCCGGTGGCCGCCGGGAAGGAGCGGCGGCCCTCGCCTGGGCCTTCCCGAAGGCTGGCGACCCTCGCCGGCCCTGGGCGAGTCGCCGGCGAGGGCGTGTAGCCCCCGATCTGGGGTGAGGGTTGCGCCCTCCCCCATATCGGGGGCTGCACGCCCACGCCGGCGACTCGCTCGGGGCCGGCGAGGGTCGTCGGCCTTCGAGAAGGCCCAAGCGAGGGCCGGCGACTCGCCCGGGGCCGGTGAGGGTCGCCGGCCTTCGGGAAGGCCCAGGCGAGGGCCGCCGCTCCTTCCCGACGGCTATGGCGGCGGCCACCGACGAAGGCTTAGCTACCGCCGCAGCTGCCGGTTCTCTATTTTTTTTTTTTCTGTGACGTTAATTGGACGGATTTATAATGGGAGGACAGATTTGGGACTTAGATAAAAGTTTGTGATTTTTCTTGAGATAAAAAATAGTTCAGGATATATTTGGGATAAAGTATAAAGTTGAGGGTTTTTTTTGGAATTGGGCCGCCGTATAGGATGGTAAGCATATCAAACAAAAGTGATTGTTTAATTGTATCATGGGTTAGTTGTGTGCCTGACGCACAAAATATTTTCCAGTGTGTGCGATGTCGTCTTTTTGAATATCCGATGGAAAATGGCTAGGCAGGTAGGTGCAATGATAATCTAAGTCCCTATTCTTGGAATAGGATGCTGGATTAACTCACGAACACGTTCAATCTAGTGACTTTTAGGCTGTGTTCGTTTGCGGAAAAATATTTTTCCGGAAAATATTTTTCGAGTTTTTCGGTGTTCGGGGGCGGAAAATGTTTTCCGTGAAAAAATATTTTCCTTTCCTACCCCCAAATCCTTCATTGTTTTGAGGAAAATGATTTCCTCTTTTCACAAAAAGGAAATCATTTTCCCTCAAAGTGAAGGTAAAATTGCCCATGGGAGGGAAAATATTTTTCGTGGGAGAGGAAGTTGATCGCCGGTCACCGCCGTTGGTCGCCGGCCGCCGGTCGCCGGTTGCCGGCGAAAAATATTTTCCGAAACTTTTTCATATTGGTCGCCGAACACCGGAAAATTATATTCCGGGAAAACATTTTCCAGGAAAATGACTTCCGGGAAAATATTTTTCAAAAGGAGAATATTTTCCGCCAAACGAACGGAGCCTGTTCTTCACCACGCAAATCTCTTTAGTTTCCCATCTCTATCAATCTGGTTCTTTAGGTAGATCTTACTTCTACAAGAGTCGTCAGACAACAGAAGCGATGTGAATTTGCGAATTCCAAACCAATTAAGCAGACTTGTCGAATGAGAAATATGCTACGAGAATAGATGACATAGATGACATGAATGCATAAGACCCCTCGACCACCTCCCCCAGGTCACAGAGAATGAATGAATGATGGACCGACCGTTTGAGTCATTCTCTTTGCAGTGACAAGCAGTTCTAAGCTATCTAATTGCTCTCATAGTCAGGAGAATTCCATTCGGAGAAACTCTTTGCTCAGGTCCATAGACAAAAAAAAGTCATAGCTATTGAGGGTCTAATCGTCGAAGTTGTCCCCATGGACGGTTTACCGTATTACCAACAACCTATGCCAATGGCGCAACCATTGGACCGTCCCTAAACTGTAAGTTAATATGTCCTAAATGCAATGCTTGTGGTTCAATTTGAGGGTCAATCTTCCATCAAGGGCTAGTGGTATAAAGAAACGAGGTTCAGCTTTAAGTTTGCCTTAGGTAAGAGCGTGGTCTGAGGTTTTTGGCCGGACATACATCTTCCTCAGACACGAGCCAAATTCGCCCAAAAGGGAGTCTTCATGATATAGCAGAACTGTACCTTATTGACTGCTCCGATGAACTAAGTTCAATTCAACTGGTATTTGAACACCAGCACTAATTCGATACAAATGCGACACAGCATGAATTGTTGGACTAGAACCTAACCAAGCTTTAAGCATCCAGAAAACGGCACCCCAATAGATGGTCAGATCCATTCAGTCGCTCCCCTTTCAACATTACCACATCTTAATATAAACAGGCAAACTCAAATGCTACGGAGGACTACTGTCAATTATCTTCGATCAAACAGAGCAGCACCCCTTGAGGTGTTCAGCCTAAAATAGAACAATAGGATGCATCACCAATAGATAGATCCACGATTCCTCATGGAAATTTATCTACCATCAATCTGGCATTAAGTACCATATACTATCGAAGTAAAAGATGACAGAAGTTGATTCCACAAGCTTGGATGGTGATTCAATATTGGATTTGCACCAATATCTCCCCTGCAAGGGGACTTCCCTTTTAGTGGATTGCGATCCCACCCACCCTCTTTACCAAATCATCGAACAACCTTCTGAGTACAAAAAGCATTCTCCTTTTTTACTCTATCTGGGGGTCCCTTTTCCCCGTTGAATATGTCTTACTTCTGCTGAAGCTCTTTCTATTCATCATCTGTATCTTTTGAATCATTAGGTCTACTCCGTCCGGTTCCAAGTTGAACGGTACGTTGATAATTTTGTACTTCATTCAGGGTGGATTAATTCACAAAAGCTAGTCTCCGCAAAGAACTGGACCACAGAGAGAAGGGAAAGAGAAGAAGATGTCGACATTGACCAGAAACAGCATCCTAGACCTATCAAGTCGACATTAGAAGACAATCTCTTTGCAAAAGTTAAGACCCCAGGAATATCTCCGACCGTCGGGACCCTTACGGCCATATCCAGCAATACGCACTTGGTCCCATACTGGGATGGAGAATTCGAGCCGAACGATCAGACATAACAGCAATGAAAGGAAATTCGAGTATAAAGCATGGATGAAAAGAACTTCACATTCTCTTCAATGAAGTTCAGACGACCATCATCAGGAACAAACGCGGCAATCTTCTTCTACTCTTAATCAGCTGAACTCTGGGCGCTCTTTCAAGAGTCATTTGTACAGTTTAAAACCAAATGTGCCTAAATCACAAACAACCCAACAGAGCTAGTATAACAGAATAGCCAATTCATGAGTTCATATATCTTCTCAAGGACAATGCCGTTGGCAGTTGGCATGTGAAGAGCCGGCAAAAGGCTTCTTCCACTCATTGCCAAGATGACATTTTTTTTTTGATACTTTCATATTCTTTTTGCAAGTAAGGTAAATTATTTTATCTCGTATGTCAGGTGTAAGATATTATGTGGTGTATTGTATATTGTTTTGATTAAACATCTTATCGTCGGTGAATTATGATTTTTTTTATATGAAAAACCTCAAATTGATACATCTATGATAAATTTATCTTCCGTTAGTTTATATTAAATTGGATTAATACCACGAAAAACTACAAACTGGTACACCTGTGATAAACGGAGGATAAAACCCAAAATCGGTACATCTGTCAACTGTAACGTGTTGTTTCGTCGAAAATAGTCTCGCGACGAAATATAATTCACCGAAGGTCGTTCTTCGGCTCTTAATGAAAGGAGACTGAGTTCTAGATCCAATTCCGAACAGGAGTAATCCAGGCGTGAATAAAGAACTTGATTTTTACAGAATATTCAGACGAAACCATCCAATTACCGGCGGCATCCAAAGTTCATAAGGACCTAAACAACTACAGCTAGGGAAACTGAAAGTGCGAAACTGGAAAGTAAGGACTACAACTATGAAAACTGAAAGCGTGAAACTGGAAAGTAAGGATAAAAGACAACATTTGTTTTGTTCACGTGTGCGGGGGGTTTTCTGTTGATAATTAGACGATATTTATAACCCAGACTTGGTAACTATTCTTGATGTTGTATCCGATATCCATCGTTGATTTCATCTTCACCGCTCACCTGATGCCACCTGTTTATCAACTGTTATCGATCTTATCTTTTGTACGAAGTAATAACCGCTCTTGAGCTTTCTTTGTGTTGACATCTGTCCTTAGTATGATAACTGTTTATCTTTTGAAATGATAACCATTATCGAGCCTATTTGTTCTCTGGAACAACAACCGTCATCGAGCCCATTTGTTCTTTAAGGCGACAATCGTCATTGAACTTTTCTTTATTTGTCATACGTCCTTTGAGATGGTAACTGTTATCGAGCTTTTCTCCGTTTGACACCCGTCCTTCGGGACGGTAACCGTCATCGAACTTTTCTCCATTTGACACCTGTCCTTCGGGACAGTAACCGTCATCGAACTTTTCTCTGTTTGACACCTGTCCTTTGGGACGATAACCGTCATCGAGCTTTTCTTCGTTTGACACCTGTCCTCTAGGATGGTAACCATTATCGAGCTTTTCTGACTTGACACCCATCATCCTTTTCATCGATGTCCTTGATGAAAAATACCTTTGGCACTTTGACACATGCTTTTCTGGAGCAAAGGCCTTCATCGCATTTTTCCTAACTTGGCATTCGTTCTTCTCCTTGTCGACATCTTCGATGAAAATACCTTAAGCACTTTTTGTAACGACCCGGTCCGACGAGGGCGGGGAGTGGTCGCCGGGGCCAGAGGGCCTAGACAAGGAGCGGCTCCTAGCAGGCTTCTAGGATGGCAAGGGGGGCATGTCTCTTGTCCCACATCGCTTAGGGGGGGAGTCCTGGGCTAGTTTATAAGGCTTGGATTCTCTACTCTGTGTAACGCGTTTTAAAGCCGTGAGGGTCAGTGGGCCCAAAGCGGACAATATTACACAGTGTAGACCCCGGGTCCTTACACTTTTGATCCAAATCCATCTGAATTTCAAATTTCCCGCTTATGACTGCTCGTACCTACCAACCAGCTATCATTTTAGTACAGGTGACGTCATCTCTTGTCGTTTTATTCATCTATCCTAAGCGTTGATATCTCTAATTAATTTCAGGTGTCAATACGTGTCATCCAACTCAGTAATTTGATAATAAAATTTAACGGAAATCAACGGAGGGTAAATTTATCACAAGTATACTAGTTTAGGGTTTTTTATGGTCAAAAAATTAGTTTAGGGTAAATCTGTCACTGGTATACCAATTTGGGGCTTTTCGTGGTATTAATCATTTTTTTATATTAATTTATTGATTTATTGAGTTGATGTCGTTTGAGATATCCGTTGATAACAAAAAATTAACTAAAAACACTAATCACACATCAGAATGGAAAATTCGCCCGCCACTTAAAATCCCGGCTCCATTATTAATAGAGGGTGTGGTGTCCAAGATTGTTTTTGAGTGGAATACGTTTTGAAATTGAACCCACGGCGAATCAAACCAAGCAATTAATCATAATTAAGTTAAATTTGAGCTCACTGTCTATTCAATTGCAAAAAAAAATGCCAATTTACCAAAAATAAGTTATTACCATGAAAAAGCCCAAACTGGTGCATCAATGACAAATTTATCCCGAACTAAACTGGTATACTTACGACAAATTTACTCTCGTTAGTTTCTGTTAAATTTTACAGTCAAATTGTTGAATTGGATAACACGTGAAAGTTGATGGGTACCGGTTTGTAATTTTTCGTGGTAGTAATCCAATTTAACAAAAACTAACAAAATTTGTCACAAGTATACTGATTTTGAGTTTTTGATGATCAAAATTAGTGGTGTGCAAAAGAATCGGGAACTGTCCAGACCGCTCGGGATCGCTCGGAACTGGACTGGAATCGATGGTTCCTAAGGGAACCGGTCCGGTTCTCGGTTCCAGGTGTGGAACTGCCCACCCGCCAACCCAGACCGGACCGGTAATATAATAATAAGGGTTAATACCATGAAAAACCCTAAACTGGTACACTTGTGACACATTTACCCCAAACTATTTTTTTGACCATAAAAAACCCCAAACTGGTACACCTGTGACAATTTTACCCCGAACTACTTTTTTGACCATAAAAAACCCCAAACTGGTACATCTGTGACAATTTGACCCTGAACTTACCACAAAAATCCCAAACTGGTACATATGTGACAATTTTACCATGAATTAAAATTTTCATATTATTTTTTTTTCGAATTTTTATTTATTTATTTATTTTTTTCCTTTTATTTTTTTTTTCTTTATCTTCAACCTCTGGCCGGTCGCCGGGCCGGCGACCGGCTAGAGGCGAAAGCCGGTGAGGGCCGCCCTCGCCGGCGTTGGGCGAGGGCCGCCTCGCCGGCGTCGGGCGAGGGCCGCCCTCGCCGAGATCCGCGAGGGCGACCTCGCTCGCGTCCGGCGAGGGTTGCCCTCGCCGGCGTCGGGAGAGGGTCGTCCTCGCTTGCCCGTGCAAGGGCGACCCTCGGCTTCGGCGAGGCGGCCCTCGCTGGGCGGCGAGGACGGCCCTCGCCTGAGTCGGGCGAGGGCGGCCCTCGCTAGATCCGGTGAGGGTCACCCTTGCCGAGTCGAGCGAGGGCGGCCCGCGGCAGCGGCTGCCGAGGGCGGCCCTCGCCGGCTTCCGCCTCTGGCCGGTCGCCGGACCGGCGACCGGCCAGAGGTTGAAGTGAAGGAAAAAAAAAGAAAAGAAAAGAAAAAAGAAAAAATTCAAAAAAATTCAAAAAAATAAAAAAATAAAATTAAAAATTAGTTGGGGTAAAATTGTCACATGTGTACCAGTTTGGGGTTTTTTGTGGTATGTTCGGGTAAAATTGTCACAGGTGTACCAGTTTGGGGTTTTTTATGATCAAAAAAATAATTTGAGGTAAATGTGTCACAAATGTATCAATTTAGGGTTTTTCGTGGTATTAACCCTAATAATAGATATGATATATAATATATTTATTTAATTTTTATTTAAAAAAATCATAAATTTCTAAATTAAACCTAACTCACTTGATGCTCACAGCCTTACATTGAGCCGAGAAACACCTTCTTTCGCTTTCGCTTCACACTTCACTCTCACTCACTCACGTTGGACCGTCCGACACGTACCGCCCTAGCCGGTTTCCCGCCGGTGAGCGGCGCACGGCGCAGGAGTGGATGACGTGGAAAGCAGCGGCGCCGTCCATCTAGTGGCGAAGTGATCGCACGGTCCCTATTTGCCTCCGCCTCTACATCCCCCCCCCTCTCTCTCTCTCTCTCTTCTCCGTGAAGCGAAAGGTACGAAAAACAGAGCTCGCAGGTGGGTGAACACCAACGGAGGAAAGGCAGTTCCAGCGACAGAGAAAAAGCAAGAACCAATGGCGAACCAGCGGTTTCAGCGTCGCCATCAATGGAGGGCAACGCGCGAGGAAGAAAGCGAAGGATAGAGCTCGAGCTCGGAGCTATGGCCGCTGTTGGATCGCTTCCGCTTTTGGATGGCCTGGTCTCCAGTTCGTCTTCAATGGCGGTCTGGTCGGTTAGGGTGTCGCCTTTTTGACTGTTAAAGTAGTCCAGGACCTTCGCTTCGCTTCAATGTCACGCCTTGTAAAGTCTCCTCTGCCTCGTCACCGAACCATTATAATAACACGTCTCTCTCTCTCTCTGCGCGCAAAAAGCGATGGCTACACATGCCTGCCTCCCTCTCTCTCTCGCACATTGTGCTTTGCGTGATGCATAGGTTACTGAGCGGAAGCCGCGCTTGAGTTTTCGGCGATGGCGGAAATGAATTCGTCGTCGTCGTCGTCCTCCTCCTCATCTTCGGCTCGCTCCTGGCCGGAGGAGCTGGCGAGCCTGCTGGACGACGGCGCGGCTCGATACGGCAGCGACCCGTTCGATCGGCGGAGGAAGGCCGCGGGGTTCGAGTCGGCGGCGTTTGACGAGTCGGCTCGGTCGGAGAGCCTCCGGGACCAGGCGCGGGAGTTCCTGAGGGCGTGGGGCGAGATGCTGTGGGAATTGGGGAAGGGGTTCAAGGACATTGTGCGGCAGAGCTTGATCACCGAGGACTCCTTCGTGGTTCGGAAGGTCGGGAAGCCGTGCGCGGAGGTTTCGGGTAGATTGAAGTTCTTGAACGAGTACTTGCCGGAGGATAGAGATCCGGCACTGGCGTGGCCGGTGATACTGTTCGTCTTTATGCTCGCTCTAGCAGGTATTCAATGTTTGTTCTTCGAGTTGGATCACTTTCTCACGAGGCATTCTTGAATTGATTTAAAAGTTGTCATCTTTCTTGCTGTTCGGTAGGGACTTTGAGTATAAGGGTGCTGGTTCTTTTTTCCTCCGTAAATTACATCTTGATTGCAATTATTCTGGCAAGATCACGTAGCAATTACTGCAACTATGTTTTTGTTGGCTTTACTCTTAGTTGGTAACATGAAAATTGTTGATCGATTTTGTCCTGCTGAATATAAAAGATTGTCTATGGTGCATTGTTTGTCTTGCTATGGAGAACTCTCTACAAATGGCATGTAACGGGCTTTGCGCGTGAAGCATCTGAATTTTGTTTTCTCCTTTTTTGGCCAAAGGAAGCTTTTGAACATTCAAATAGAGTTTTGGTCTGTCAAATCTTTGGGTTAGCTGGAGGTGGAGATCTACTAGTCGCAGGAACATCATCTAACCCCATGGATACCTTACCAATAACTCTCTAGACTAGTCAATTGCATGATTCGAGTTTGCATTGCAGTCATGTACAGCATAAGGTTGGGCATTGGTCATCGGTGTGATTCCATTAAAAAAATGTCCAGAAGTAACTTGTTTCCGAAGGCACTAACCTAGGAAGCTCATTCCTTGGGTATACGCCAGAAAGTTTCTTTGGGACTCTTTCTTTTTTTTGTCCAAGAGCACAGCTGGAACGATTTCAAAATCGTTCAAAAGTCGACTGTCATGTTTTGATTGATTATGCAGAGTCTGCGATACCTGAATGTTAAATGACTACCTTTCTGAGTAGTCATTAGATGACAATCTGGTTCAATAACATCTACAGTGGTTAAAAAGGTTTTTTGAGAGACAGACCACCCAAAAAGCTCATTCGATCTGTGGAGAGCTTGCACATGCAACATTCTGCACATCTCTTGGGAGCTTTCTTTCTAGGAGCGATATATGCCATGAATATTGTCTGAGCATAAATTTGGATCATCACACTTTTGGTGGGTTACAACTTTCTGAGATTGAGGGAACATTAAACAACCCTTTTGGCAATTACATGAATGGTCAAATGAAGTACCTTATAGGGGATAAAGATTTGAATAAGAGTCCCTTCTTTCTAATGTGTTGGAAATGATGAAGCAAATCTCCTCCTCCTCCTGTTACTGCGGGAAATCTTCTTTTTGTAATTTTCAAGGCTCAGCAAGTTTGCTGGATATAAATGATATACTTCTGGTAAAGTGATACTCTTGGAAAAGGGACTTAAGGATTTTTTAGGCGTTGCTTCTTTGCTATTTTCCATTACCTGCAGTTCTCCTGGATAACAGTTTTGTGGGTTTTCTGCAGCACTGAGTGTCAATATGACTAACGATAGTTTCGCTCCGCATGTGAAGAAAGTGCAAAAACATCCTTCTAGTGCTATCCGTGTGCAACTCCCAGATGGCAGACATATTGCATATGGTGAACAAGGTGTACCTGCTGATAGAGCTAGATTTACCATCGTCATTCCACATTCTTTTCTCTTCTCCAGATTGGCAGGTAAGACATAACCAGGCTTATTTGTCATCATATCTCATTTGCTCATTTGTGCTTTCCGCAAAGTCCTTATGCATAATGGCTCATTTTATATACTTCTTGTAAAACTTCTTCTGAAAGGTATTCCTGGAATAAAGGTATCTTTGCTGGAAGAGTTTGGTGTCCGTTTGGTCACCTATGATCTTCCTGGTTTTGGAGAGAGCGATCCTCATCCAGAGAGAAACCTGAACTCCTCAGCCTTGGACATGTCATATCTAGCCAATTCTGTTGATGCTACCGACAAGTTCTGGGTGCTTTGCTTCTCTAGCGCATGCATGCATGCTTGGGCAACACTCAGGTATATCCCTGACAGGGTTGCAGGTATGTCAACCACTTTTAATGTTGAATATTATTTTGCTTGTCGACTTCCTATGTAATGATTGGCTTTAGTTGAACGATGGCAAGACCTGAATTCATCCATCCTTCATAAAAGTTGTGAAATTGGTCATTCTTGTTTTTACATCAGAATTATCTCAGAATCCCTCTTTCTATTATATGGATTACACCTTTGGTGTCCACATTGATTGCTCCGGTAAAAGAATCAGATTATAGTGCTCCAAAATTGATGTAATAATTTAATTTGTGTCTTCCCTGTAAAAAGAAAAAGAGAAGTAATCCCTATGATTTTGTTTCCCCAACCACCCCTTGTCGAATTGTTTTTGTGTCTCACATATTTGCTCTGAATGAGCTAGTAATTACCTGAAAGCTCCTGGGTGAAGCTTACATAGTCATCCATGTAATTAATGACATGAACCAAGATACATTCTCTGTGACTGATGTATGCAAGAGATTACGTCAAGGCATGAAAATGACAGTCCAGAATAAATGCATCGAAGTTTGGAAGGGGAACATGAGGGATTGTCTTTTGGGGGACTCAGTGAGTGGACAATTTCACCATACTATACTGTCTAGGTAGTCTCTACTAGCTGGGCAGGAATATCACTGTCAGTCCTACTAGCTAAAAATGCTTGACGAAACAGTATGGATGATAACGTGCAATTCAACTACTTCATGAGTAACTTTTGAGGTTGAACACACAGCCACCCCCTATATGAAAAGAGAAGATAAAGAAAATGGATACAAGAATCAGATGATTACAGAAAGCCAAATATTCCCAAATGAGAAGAGAAGTGTATGCATAGTATAAAAGATAATAATTGACTGGACAGCCTATGACACCACCGAATGGGCATTTGCATGTATGCACGTAAATCATTGTTTATCAAAGAACTGAGAAAGTATAACATTGTTTTTTGATGCTTCTTTGATGACTCTGCAGGCGTAGCTATGGTCGCACCAATGATCAATCCATATGAGCCTCGTATGACAAAGGATGAAAGCTCTCGGACATGGGCAAAGTGGGTTCAGAGGAGAAAACTAACTTATGGTCTTGCTCGGAGGTTTCCCAAGCTTCTATCGGTTCTGTTCCGGCGGAAGTTTTTCTCTGGAATTCATGGTTCAATTAGTGATTGGCTGTCCTTATCCATGGCAAAGAAGGTGAGATAGAAGCTCAAGATATTATTGTGGAACCATTTATGGAACTCCACCAATGGTTTCTGCTTAGCAATGCTTGCAGTTATCGCTAGTAAATGAGATGTGAACGACCAAGGTTTACATGCTTTGTTACTGAATATACATAGGAATCTAGGAAGTGCAATATATGAGTTACTGCAAAACTGTTTGCTTATTTCGAATAACTAATTTCCATATTTATATTTCTTTAGCAGTGCCATACCATTCTCGAAATGCAAGTGTTTTGTTTATTGAACATGGGATTTGTGATAGCTGAAAATTTACGCCATTTGTTGAGCAACCTTGCATTAATGTAATTCAGTAAATAACGGTATCTCTAGGAAAAATGGGAATTACCTAAATGGGTTAAGGTGTTCTTCTGGATCCCACCTAATAAATTTCAGAATCCTTATTAGTGTATACGCACCGAACACGTCATCATTAGGCAGAGGCTGATAGTGTCTCCATGGGACTACTCAAGCTGATATATTGTTAATAGCATAAAATTACGTTTACTCCCTTGGATGGAGTAGATAGTGTAAAAGCACTTGAATGCTATGTAATTCTTGGAACTGGTTTCTTCAGGATGAAGCTTTGATCCAACAACCACAATTTGAAGAATTTTGGCATAGGAACGTGGAAGAATCAATCCGTCAAGGCGATATATCACCATTCACAGAGGAATATGTGTTACAGGTATCAAAGTGGAGTTTCAGCTTGGCAGATCTTCAGGTTCAGAAAAAGTGCCAACATAAAGGCATTCTTCCATGGCTAAAATCTATGTACAGCCAGGCCGATTGTGAATTGACTGGATATCTTGGTCCTATACACTTATGGCAGGTCGGGACCATTTTTCTCTTTTATACCACTTTGTGATGTTTTGAAGTACTGGTGCAAATAAAACCACCTCGTTATGATATCAGTGGGTTTTATGTTTTCAAAATTGATCCCTTTGCGGGAGAATCCAATACAAATGAATGCAAAAGAACACACACACACACACTCAGGACCTCTGCTATTCACTCTTCAGTAGCTTCTTGTGGTCTGTCTCTACGGGATTTAGGTCTTCGCTGGAAATGAGTTTCGGGTAGCAGGTCTGAGATATCCTCAGCTGTATTTGGTTGCAATATTCACATGGAGTCCTTGGGACTTGGGATTTGAATCAATCACTAGAATGTTTGGATTTAGTCAGATATTGAGTTGCGTTGTGAAGTCTGGAGCATCTTCAGATTCTTACACTTGCAGTGTGCATAAGTTTTAGGTCTGTCTTGTAGGTTGCAGGAAAACGTTGATTTAGCTTTTCTTTTTAACCTTTGTCACATTTGTTGTTATGTGAGTGTCGCTTGTGCTGGTCCAACTACGCTTTCACAAGAAATAAGGAGCATTTTGAAAATGAAACTAGATTTGGAGCTTGGAATTCTGGTTCTGTTGGTGGGTGTTCTTGCAGATGGACCATAACCGATGTTTAATGCATGAAACGTTCTATTTATGTTGGTACTATGCAGGGAATGGACGATGAAGTGGTCCCGCCACCAATGGCCGATTGCATCTCCCGACTTGTGCCTCAAGCCACCATCCATAGGCTTCCAGATGAAGGCCATTTCTCCTTTTTCTTTTTCTGTGATGAGTGCCATCGACAAGTATTTTCGACTCTTTTTGGAGTCCCTCAAGGGCCGCTAGACAAGAAGGCGGATGTGGCTATCATCAAGGAGCCATTGATTGCGAATCCCGCCCTAGAATGACGCACACCTTGCGACGACAACCTCGCTTCTAAACTTAAAATGTTTTCATGTAAATACCACAGATTGCTCCATTCTTCGTGGAGCTGGAAAGGCGGGATCTTTGCGAAATCTCGGTTCTTACTCGGGGAAGCAGGTGTTTTTTTGGAAGAGCTTTTTACAACAAGGAATCAATACGGCGAGCATTTTTGTTATACCTTTTGGAGTTGTACTCAGAATAGCTAATCTCAAATCTCCTGGGATGCACAATGCTGCATCAATTTAAATCAGAGAGATCTTAAAATAAATCACTAGGAGGTATCGTTCCTTCATCGTACCAAGAGACATAGACCATATGTGGGAATAACCAGACATACAATGCATTCTCTCATCGATCTTTGTTTCTACCTCGACCTTGAATGTACTTTTCTAATTCACTATTTTTTGGGGCTCGAGGAATGCACGGGCTCCTCTTTGTTCTTTTAGCATTTAGTTTCTAAGTTCTTACAAAATGATTGAGCACTTTCCAGATTTAAGTAATTAAAGCTTGGTCATATATGAATTGGCATATAGAAATTGCATAATAATATTACTAGGAAGTATCAATATTACAATTTTGATGACTCCAAAATAGAACCGAGAAAATATATTTAAATCCCATGTTGTTTGACATAAACAAAGAATCGTTTATCATGAATTACACATTTCACAAGAAAAGTTATGCATTAAAAGATGCAATATACATCGATTTAGTTACTCAACAAACATTTCACAGCATTAAGCAACAACGTTTGTTGGATAGTTAAATATTTCGTTCAATTCAAGAACATGAGCTGCATCTTACGACTGCTTTTAGCTAAAAGAAAATATAAAAACTGCAATTTTAATATCAATCGAACGACAATCATCTTTGCATAAGTTCAGATTATGTTAACCTACTTTGTAGTGTATTATTTTCGAGGTTTAATTTCACGGAACGTCTTCTTGATGGAAGAAAGAGAGATTGCTAAATTGCAAAAGTAGCCCGACAAAGGTAGAGAAAGCCCAGATGTATGAGCTGGCACATTTTTCTCACATCACCATGTGAAAATGCGTAATAATCCTTAGGGGGAGGTAAGAAACCAAAAATACAAAACCTTTATCTATGTAGTAGACACTGGCGACTTGTAAACTATATTCGGAACAATGTAAACCTACCAAATTTCCGAAAAGAAACAAATGGCTCTTCCAAGAATCATAGACCAATCTAATTTCTTCATGCCGCAGAAGAAAGACCCAGTTCCTGTGGGTTAATTACTGAAAAAAGAAGAAGAGACTTTCCATAGCCACTTACTCAATGTCGACAAATCGAGTTATAAACCGGTTTGAGCCACCGGGAACCCAAGAATGTGGCCTTGCAGAAAAGGGTCATCAAAATGCAGACCCACCGCTTTTAGTTTTTCCAAGCATCACATCTTTAGCTTCATTGATTTTAGAAGCTAAATAATGGCTACCGCCAGCGTCTGGATGATTCGCAACCATAACTCTCCTATGCGCTTCCCTGACCTTGTCTGTCGGAGTTCTTTCTCTGTTGGGGAAAAACAAAAGCTCAGGCCGATAAACAGAAGATGCGATGGCATGTGGAGTATTAGATTGGAATAGCTCATTAAAATAAAGATTTCACCTGTCAAAATCTGCAATTTCAGATCATCGATAATACAAAGCAAATATACAGTCTACCATGATAATCTCCACACTACTTGCTCGAGCAAATGAAATCAAATTCATATACACGGTCTAGGCAATTTCCACGAATTAATATATTATAACAAGCCTGTTAATTTGTATGAGGCTAACCTGACACCGAGTATCAGAGCTGCTTCCCTTCTCGTCATGGTGGGTTGGAAGCCGCCATCGTAAAATCGGCGCATTCTCGCTGTAGGTGGTCTTGTCTTGAAGGCTTGCCATGCCTGGATGCCATATCTACCCGCATATGCAGCAGCTGCTATTGCAATCCCCGCGATCAGTGGAGTAGTTGCCTGATTCAAATTTTGTCATAAGCTTCAGAGATACTAAAGTTTATTGCTGCCAACTCAAATCATTAAGAAGTTGCCGCTTTCTGTGTGCAAAGCATGCGCATACAAGAGCGAAAGAGTGATCTAACTAATGTAGGCAGAGTATCTAAAAAAAGGCTGGACAATCATTTTCACTCTCAATACTTCACTACCTATTTTCCAAATTAGCACTGAGAGATAGCAATTACACCAGAGACAGCTAAATAGATCTTATCGACATCACATCTCAAGTGAACAGAAAAACAAAAGACAGGGAAAACAACAGGCTATGATAGCAAAATCGAAGAGGGGAGCAATCAGGACTAGACTTGGTTAATACAGGACAAGAACAAGTCGACTAGCAAAGGAATAAGTATAGGTTGTTGAAGCTACTCTTGAAGGAAGGCTCCATTTTCTGTGTTATGGAAAGAATATCAAGAATAAGACCATGTAGAAGTTCGGAAAAAAAGAAGGGTGATGAAACAAGGTCATGATTCAGGTTCATGTGTATCGAAAGCACAAACTGATCACTTTGATATCTTACGATCACCACTATCAAGTGAATGCTCTATCGACTCCGTCCGCAACACAAAACAAGCTAATTCAAAAATACCACAGAGGTTAGGTTCGCATTCAAGGTATCGAAACCCTTTTCCTTCACCTCGTCCCGACTCTAACTCTTTCAACTATATCTTCTCAATCTTTTCCGACACTAATAATTACTCCAACACACACAAAACAAGAAATCAACAGATGCACTTAATGGAAAGTACGCCGCGACAATTCATACCAACTGTCACAAGCATTCAGGTTCCTTGACAATAAGACTGAAAATGAACAATCGCGACAATCGAAAGCATTCGCGAAGTACCCCTAAATCGAGATCCTGCAGCTCTTTATATTCCCTTTGTAAACAGTCGATTGATTTCTCCCCAATAACCGAATACTTTCGTCCGAGAATACTGCATGTTTGACTCAATGAATTGCAAAAAGGAGAAGAACCCATTCTCTCTCCGCAAAATTTCTCAGCAAACCATGCGAGCATTCAGCTAATGGGAATTTTTCCATCCATTCTGCGCAAATTTTCTCAGCAACCATAGGAGCGCTCAGCTCAACAACATGCGTAGCACCAAACAAAGATAACAGGACTCAACACCCAGCTCGCGAAAAGGAAAGACCTTTCGATCGAACAGGATCGAACGTGCAAGCTCAAATCTAGGGACGAAGATCAAAGAACAGGTCACGCATACTCACCATTGGAGAGCGCGAGAGAGAGAGAGAGAGGGTTAGGGTTTCGCTTCCGGCTCCGCTGCTGTGGAGGACCGGAGCGCAGAGAGAGAGAGGAGGGTAGGGTTTCGCTTCCGGTTTTGCTACAGTGGAAACGGACCGGAGGGCTGGGGTAAATTAGATTCGATTTGGTGCCAAATAAGCTTGATATACTTAGCCCAATTGGTAACGTAGTCTTCGAACTTTTATTTTATCCAATGTAGCCGCTGAACTTTAACTCAATATTTAATATTATTCAAAATTTGAATTAATAAAAGGATCACGTTAAATATTTTCATATGGTTTAGGGATTGAACATGTACCAAAATTTCAGGAACAATATTGAATAAATTCAAAGTTCAGAGACTACATTGGATATCGGATAAAAGTTCATGGATTAAATTGAACAGATTAAAAGTTCAGAGATTACATTGCAAATTGAGCCAAAGTTCAGGAACTGTTTGTGTCATTTTTCCTTACACTTACATGTGTTATATATTTCTAATTACCTTTTATCTCTTTAAAAAAAAGTATGCGTCCGTCACAAATTGATTTTTAATGATTATATGATTTTCATGACTTTTTAAACTCAAAATAATACTCCGAATTCGGGACAAAAAGTTATCGAACTCGAAGTAGTTATTTGTCTAAATTTATCAGAAGCCGGTTATAACTTTCACTTTCCCGTCAAAATCTAAAATTGCTAATCAAATTAAAAACTACCAAAGGTCATATGCATTGAATCTTCTTGTTCTGAAGATTTAAAACAATGTCAAAGCGCATTCAAGATTGCGAAAAAAGAAGAAGTGAGTTCCAAACAAACTTGTTTATGTGATTGCCTATTCGTACTTTGACAATTTATGTACCAAGGGCATGTTATACGGTTGTTAAACTCCTACATGGGTTTTGACCAAAAAAAAAAAAAAATCTCCTAAGTGGGTCACTCGGAAAATAGAAAAAAAAAAACAAACGCTAAGATCGCTTTACAAAGTTGATATGTTAAATGATGTGGTGTGTATTTATTGGAGGTTGAATGTGACCTATTTGTTTCAATACCCACTTACAACATGCCACATTATTCTCTATACTAATTTTGTAAGATGCTCTTTAATTATTCTAGCATTATCGAATGAAGTTCCTAAGCGATCCGCTCGGCTGGTGTGGTCAAACGCTCCACATATTTTGCCCGAGGGACTTGTATTCATCGGGAGAGACGTTTAGAATCGACCCTTATAACCTCTTTTCGTTGGTCGGTTGAGTGTTTAATGTTTTAGGTTGATTAATAAAATCTCTATAGTTTCAAAAATGTTCAACCGAGTGCTAAGTAGGCCTTCGTATTTTCTCGCACTATGATTAATGCGATTCCCCTCAATCTCCCTCCATTTTCCTCGAGACCATGTGACAATGTAGTTTAATTTATTCCTAATTATAGCTTGCTCTTATTGAAAATTGCGTGATCACGACTTATTTTTAAGGAAGCATGAATTAAGGTATGTCACCTTTTCACAGGTGGCATTGAAATTTGAGCATAGAAGCAGCAAATAATACAGCTACGGACCCCTCATATGAATGGCAAGTCTGCAAACAAGTATTCTTGTCCTATTATATTATCACACCTTTTCGTCACATTTTGTTATATTAAACTTTACATTTTTTTTGGCATATATACACAGCACTCTAGTTAGTAGTCATGGTGTACTAAGAGTACACTACAAGAGTCGACAGGGTGATTTCTATGTCATGATATGCTGTTATTTCCTTTTTGGTTTGCAGCATCACCCTGTCGACATTTGTAGTGTACTCTTAATACACCATGACTACCATCAAGAGTGCTGTGTTTATATGCCAGAAAAAAAAGTAAAAAATATAACCGAATGTGACAAAAAGGAGTAATATATAATAGGACAAGAATACTTACTTGTAGACTTGCCATTCACGAGGGGGCAGTAACCGTATTATCTGCTGCTTTTATACTCAAATTTCAAAGTCATCCATGAAAAAAATGTTAATTAAATCATAAGAAAAAAAATATGCACACTATAGCAATCAAAACTGGAGCAACGTATGTACCTCTATAGCTCCTGGCCTAGTAGTAATATCATTTGAACTTCCAGCAGAAACACGTAGGCCAAAATTACATTTTCCCAATTTTTTGTCTATTCTGTATGCTGGGGAACCACCAACTTGGACCTAAGATAGAATTTATGATGTTTCTAATAAATAAATAAATAAATAGTGCATGCACACGAGTGCCCCCCAAAATTAGAATTGATGCTATAGAAACTACCAGCTCATACATGGAGGGTCCTAGGTTCCTATCGTTAATAGAAAAGGTCCACTATTAGGAAGTGATATAGCCAAAGCTCCCGTTACCTTACCCTGTAAAGACCAGGGGTCTTGGGCGAGTCGGGTCCGGGACTTGCAAGAGCGAGGCGTTGAGGAGAGGAACGAAGAGGCGAGAGCGAGAGGATGAAGGTAAGTCGAGCGAAGATCGTTCGAGCGAGGAGCTAGAGTTGGGAAGGAGCGTCCGAGCGAGGCGGAACAAAGTAACGATTTGTCGTTCTAGCATTCGAGCGAGGAGCTGGAGTTGAAGAAGGAGCGTCCGAGGAAGGACGAATAAAGTTATGATTTCTATTGTTCTCTCGTCAATCGAGGAAAAGGTGCGTTGACGGAGGAACTCCAAAACTCAGCGCCACTGGCCTCTTCCACTTCAAAATCATTGGCAACGCGGCATTTGGAGTCGGAGCCGGAAAGGCAATGACGGCGACAAGGAGGAATGCGAAGGAGGAGGATGGAAGCTCTTCTTGCAGAAGGGATTCCAAAGGTGAAAGGGAAGCCATCATTTTGTTACAAAGAGGAGAGAGAGAGGCAATAAATGATCGCAATAAACGTGAGATTGCGTGCCTTAGTTTCCGTGTGTGCGCCAGAGGAGAGAGAAAAGAGGCTTTCGATTTTAATTTCTCGTTTCAGGTCAGATGACACTTGTCATATTTTAGATGAAGCCACGCAAGCTCAATCATGCCACGTAAGCCAGCGACATGGTTGTTTGATATCACTGAAATATTTTCTTGTGACACAGGGTTCATATATTTGTCCAATCGTTCATTAGTCGAATAGAGTGTGTAGGTGATAAAATGGCCACTCTGAAATCTATTTTATGTCTGCACGTTGTAAGTTCTGCACATATGAAGGGGCATGAGTTTTATACTGACTTTTTTTCTTTGTACTTCCTTAATAATCATATAGCAACTTGGACAGTGATATCCCACAGGTAACAGCTTGTCTAAAAATCGGGTTAATACTACGAAAAATCCTAAATTGGTATAACTATGACAAATTTATCATAAACTAATTTTTTATCACCAAAAATCCAAACTGGTACACCTGTGACAAATTTACCTCAAAACTAATTTTTTGACCACCAAAAAACCCAAAATGATACATTTGTGACAAATTTACTCTCTATTAAATTGAATTAATACAAAAAAATTACAAACTAGTACACTTGGACAAACGGAGGGTAAAACCCCAAACTTGTACAACTGCCATGCGTCATTTAACTAAGCAATTTGATAGTAAAATTTAATGGAGACTAACGAAGGGTATTTTTGTGATAGGTGTACCAATTTGGGATTTTTGGTGATCAAAAAATTAGTTGGGGGTAAATTTGTCACATGTGTATTAATTTGAGGTTTTTCGTGGTAATAACCCTTAAAACTTTCAGTACGAAAATTTGTCTTCTTTATACTCATTGGCAGCCATTTGGACACAAGGGATCATAAATTGTGTCAAATGTGCTCTGTGAGTTATCATGGGTCAAGTACCTGCGACCACTTGCTTATAGATCGATGTAGTTATAGCTGTTTATACATCATGGAGAAAATAAACTTAATACATTATTATAGTGCACGAATATATATACGATTGTTTTGTCTGTGTCAACAACACTGATTTTGAAGCTTTAATAACTTTCTAGTGCTAGGATGGAACAGATCTGATGGGTCTCCAATCATGTCATCACACTGCAATCAGCAATTCGAAAATATTGACCTTCCCATACAAGCCCAACTTTTTTTTTTTTGGGTCAGATACAAATCCAACTTAGTAGATGAAACTTGAGAGAAGAACAGCATAAGTGCCAAAACTTATGTATGGCGCTCACTTTAGTGCCAAAAGTTTCATTTGGATCACTTCAGTACCAAATTTTTTGACAAACGCTCATTTCAGTGCCAACTTCGATCAGTTTGGCCGGAAATCCGACGTGGCCTTTTTTTATTAGTTTCTTAAGCCGACGTGGCTCGCCGGAGAGTCCAGTCAGCATCCCATCCCTAAAACGACGCAGTTTAGTGCTCTTTCGCCCAAATAAGAACCCTAAATCCCCAAATTGAGAGAATCCCTCAATTTGCAACCCTAACCGGCTATCTTCTCCCCAATTGAAACCCTATTTTGATTCGCCCCCATAGTTACAAGCTCAATCTTGCAAATGGAGAGCAGCAGCTTCGGCAGCGACTCAAATTCGTTTCAACGAAGCGAACAAGAGGCCGAATGTTATTGTTTTTGCGGGTTACCGAGTCCAATAAGAACATCTTGGACTCGGTTGAATCTCGGAAGAAGATTTAATGGTTTTGCCAAGTATAGAGAAGGCTCGAAGTGCAAATATTTCAAATGGGTTGATGCGAAATTCTCCGATTGAGCGACAAAGGTGATCTTGGAGCTACTTGAAGGACGCCATCAACGCCCACCTACATTAATGGATGAATGGGAGGATGTGGACTCAATGCAAGCTGAAATGAAGGCGTTAGCATCTTTAGCCAATCATTTGAAGAAGGAAGTTTCAAGAATGAAAATTGAAAGGAAGTGTTATCGAGCATTGATTGTGTTGTTATTCTGTTGTGTATCCTATTTTATGGTCAAATGTAAAGTGATTGATGAGAAGAAGTTTCTCAGTCTACCATAGTTGAAGATGAGTGGAATATGTACTTGTATTGGGTAATTTGTAAGTGTAGTTGTATTAGCCTATTTTTGTATGGAACAAAAGTTTACTGCAATCTATGGTGGAAATGGAAGGTTGAAATTCATTGATTGTGACCATTGACAAGTTCTCTTGCTTAGTTGTGTATTCTCAATTCTTATTTGCTTAGTTTTGCTTGAGATGTTTGGATTGTTGCAATGGTTTGCTGGTATTGCTGGTAATTGTTTGCTGCAGTATTTGCTGGTAATGGGATGCTGGTTTGCTGCAATTGTTGCTGCAAACGCTTGTCAAATGAAGGAGTGGTACCAAGTTCAGAAGTCTTTATTTCAGTGTCATACGTTGTAAATAGCGATCGTTTAAGTGCCAAGTTTTTCTGAAACTGATCACTTAAGTGCCAATGGTGGTGAAAACTGATCACTTAAGTGCCAGTTATTGTTCAAAAGTGATCACTTAAGTGTTAGTTGTTGATATGTTCGTTTCACTGATACTGCACCAGCAACAATCACATAGCTGGTGTGCTTGCTTGCACTAGCTATGTGTTGGTATAGAGTGCATCTTGTGCTTGCACCCATACATAGCTGGTGCAAGCATAAGATGCCTTTGAGCTGCACCAACACATAGCTGGTGGACTAGCGCACCAGCAACTTGCACCTCGCACCAGCATATATAACTACTGGTAGGGGTAAGTACATTGCAAGTGCCATAACTTTTGTACGGAGGACATTTAAGTGCCATAACTTTTTTTTGGCTCACTTAAGTGCCACATCGGAGTAGAAATAGAACACTTGAGTGCCACTTCTGGCCAAATGTGCTACGTGGATTTATGACTTAATTTTTTTTCATACGTGGAAATTAAAAAAATAAACGGACGTCCAACGTGGAAAAAGGATATTCCACGTGGAGAGAAATGACGTCGTTCGTCGGATCTCTTTGAGCGAAAGAAACGTCGTCATTTCTTATAAAGAAAGAAACGTCTTCGTTTCTTTCGTTTCTTTCCTCTCCAACGCATGAGCTGCTTGTATACAACGATCGATTAGGGCAAAATTAAGGCATCTCTCTATCTCTCTCTCAAATCGATCAATCTCTGTTCCTCATTGATCGTCCTATGTAGTCACGAATTAGGGCTTCGATCTTCGTCAACACTTCGACGAAGGAGCAAATCGAACTATCCCTCGCTCATATCTTGTTCGTCTGTCAATTTCGGAAGGAAATTGGGTCTGTCGCACGCCGAGTGTTGGTCGACAGTGAGTAAAGGTTAACGAGTGATTTTTTTGTGTCCACTGGCCGACCAAATGAGCTTCGCTTTATCCTTTGTCGTCTTTGAATCCTTGGTGTTGTTGACAGATTGTAAAAGCACGTTGAACAGCCATTGACCGACGCCCCAGATTAGCGTTTGGTGTGAAAGTGTAAAGGTGGGTGCTTTACTTTGTTCGTCGTTATATTTTGTGGTCTTGTATCCATTGAACAATGGCTAGAATTATCGTTTATTGAACGTGGGGACCGATCGTAAACTTGTCTTGTCTCTGTCTGTTGTTTACTTAAAATTGGGTTGAAAGTGGGGACCGAATCGATTGCTCAACTTGTCCTCTTGTGTCTATGTTTATTGTTTATTGCCATCGGGAAGGGCACAATAAGGTTGATTGTCCAAATAAGAAGCAGCAACATTGACAAGAGCAGACAACACAGGCCAATGATACAGGGGTACCTCAGGGAGCCACACAAAGTAATGATGGGGAACCAAATGGGCCAACTCAGTCCAACATTGTACAACCGAGGAGCAAAATTCAAGTAAGCTCTTTGTTAAGGATATTCCACGTGCATGTAGTTGTTTGTGAATTAACCTCATTCTGTTATGTCATTTTGCAGGTTAGAAAAAGACCAAGTGGAGGTGTTTCCACTGACAGTTCTGCACCACAACATACACGTGGTGCACTTGGGAAAAGGCTTAGGGAATATGGCTATGGGTTGTTTACAGACATGAATACCGGCATGACCATTTTGAATGTAAGTTTTTTAGTTGTTATGCATTTAACATATGTCATATGATTGACATGGTAACTAATGGTTATATGATTGCAGCCTGGGAGACCTTCAGAGGTGCTGATATCTCAAGGAGGACCAAGTCAAGAATCGGCTGCACCACCAAGAACAACAAGAAGTCAAGGGCAAGCACTGCTAAACCAATCAATGGTAACTCGAGCACAATCCAAGAGGAAGCAACCAATGGCACTACCAAATCAGAAGGTGCAAAGGCCAGCTCGAAAGCAGGCACCCAAAAATGCCACAACAGCGCTTGCGTCCAAATCAAATGATCCTGGAAATGTCACTACACATCAGTCTGAACAACCTGCTACCACAGTGGCACCAATCACAAGAAGTTCAGCAGGAGACAACACCAACAAACATCAAGGACCAAGCAAAAGAATGTCTCCTCCAAAAGCTAAGCCAGTTGAAAAAGAAACACGATCGATGGATGTGCCTAGAGTTCCAGTTCGAAAGAGTGCGAGGATCATGAACAATATGAAGAGTTGTCCGTCGAACAAAGGAAGTGACCAAGTTGTTAACATTGACTAATGGGATGATGGGAAAGGCTGTCTATTTATGTGTGTTTAGGGGGATTTTGTTAGGTGTTTGATGCCATTGTTGTATTTTGGCTAGTGATGTGTTTGGTAGCAATGTTGTAAGGTGTTTATGTTGCTGCATTTTGACTGGTGATAACTTCATTTTAGCAGCAATGTTATTCAGATTTATGTTTTGATGTTGACGTAAGATAACACCATTTTGAGGTGTAAGGATTATGTTATTATGTTTGATGAATGAAATTGCCATTTGGTGTCAAACCAGGCTAGGTTGATGGCAACTTGTTACTTATAGTGCATGTTACAGGATAACGATGTCTAAGAATCTTTGCTTTAAGCTAACTCAAGATGTGTTTAAGAAAGTGAAACCAACAACTTACAAATTTTTTTGTTTATGAACCTAAGTGCTCACTTTTAAAAAGTTGAGGAACCTAGGTTATAACTATTTAAAAATTAGTGAACTTAAGTGTTCACTTTAAATAATTTGTGGCACTCAAACGATCATTCGTAAAATTATTTGGAACTTCTACTGTCCTTAACACCATACGCAAGATAGCCAACACCAACCGCAAAATCCAGGTTCATTACAGCTTGCTGCAAAAACTGCAGTAGAAATTCCAAATCATCTTACTCTTTATAAACCCACAATAATGGACAAATTGCATCCTAAAACACCATTTATCAAATCGACCAAATATTGTCATTCGACGCAATCAACAATAATGCACAAATTGCATCATAAAACACCATTTCCACTAAATCAACCATACGTAGCTATTCAGCCCAGTCAAGCAATCACAAATAGATCATTAACTCATATACACAAAAATTACCATAACTATTCAAGCATAAACACATTCCAAAGCCTAATATTAATTGCTCCAATTATCACAATACAATTCTTCAACTATGGTAGACTCATAAGCTTCTTCTCATTACCAACGTTACATATGACCAAAAACCAGACCAAACCCGACAAGAACAACACAAGCAAAACTCGATAAATATCTCTTTGAATTTTCATCCTTGATACTTCCTTCTTCAAATGCTTCACCAAAGATTCCAGACCCTTGATTTCTGCTTGCATTGAGTCAGCATCGTCCAACTCGTCCATCAATACAGGCCGAGCTTCATGTCTTCCTTGAAGTAGTTCCAAGATCACCGACATTGCTTGATTCGAAAATTTGGCGTCAACCCACTTGAAATATCCACAATTGAAGTCTTCTCTATACTTAGCGCATCCATGGAACCTTCTCCCCGGATTCTCTCTCGTCCAAGCCGTTCTTGTTGGACTTCGCAGCCCACAATAGCAAAAATATCGACTTTCATCTTCGCTTTGTTCATCAACTCGTGAGCCGCTTCTCCTGCTTTTGCTCCCCATTGCGAATTTCATGAGATGATTTGCCTCAACTTGGACGATTGAAAATTGGGGATTCGGTTATGGTTAAGGTTGAAGAAGACAGTTGCTCATTTTGCCCCAATTTATTGAAGAAGCCGAGGGTTTTTCAATTTGTGATGGTGTACGACGTTGTTTTGAACTTTAAATGCTGACTTCAACTTTCCGGCAAGCCACGTAAGATGAGTTAATATTTTTTTAAGCCACGTCGGACGTTCCGGTGACAATGGCACTTATATGAGCATTTTTTTTGAAAATGTGGCACTCAAGTGAGCCAAAAAAAAGTTATGGCACTTAAGTGTCCTCCGTACAAAAGTTATGGCACTTGTACTGTACTTACCCCTTACTGGTGCAAGCCCTGCACCAGCCACCAAGTACCACCATCACCACTGCACCACCAATGCGTCACCACCATCACTAGTGCACCACCAGCACCACCAGTACACCAACACAGCCACAGCACCACCACCACCACTACTGCACCACCACTACCACCACCGCTGCACCACCACCGCTGCACCACCACAACCACAGCACCACCACCACCTATACGAGCCAAGCAACACCACCACCACTGCAGCACCACCACAACCACAGCACCACCACCACCTAAATTTGCCAAAACAACACCACCACCACTGCAGCACCACCACAACCACAGCAACGCCACTACCTAAATTTGCGAAAACAACACCACCACCACTGCACCACCAACACCACCACTGCACCACTACCACCACCACCACTGTACCACCACTACCACTGCACCACGACCATCACTGCACCACCACCACTGCACCACTACCACCACCACTGTACCACCACCACCACTGCACCACGACCATCACTGCACCACCAACACCACCACTGCACCACTACTGCACCACCACGACCATCACTGCACCACCACCACTGCACCACCAACACCACCACTGCACCACCACTGCACCACCACTGCACCACCACGACCACCACTACACCAGCCAAGAACAACTAGCACAACTAGAACATCCAGCAGAACTAGCACACTAGCAGCACAACTAGCACAACCAATAACAAAACATGAAAATTTCAAAAGCATAGACAAAATAAATATCGGTCCATTGACATTAAACTTAGTTTTTACATTTGGTCAATATGAATAACCAACTACAACATCCACATCCAAGGAATGGCTTCCCACCAAACAAAAACATTAAACTGACTCAACGCCGTACAATGTCAATTTCACGAGTCAATATGCACAACCTCCCAACAAAAAATAAAAACTACCATATTTAGCACCCTCCCATTAGTCAATATGAACAACCCCCCGGTTCCTTTTCCTGTAAATAGACGTTTGACTTGATTCATGATCCTTGCACTCTTTCTAACTAGCTGTGCAGATTCTTCAACTGGCCTTCCTGTCCCATGTACCTTCTTCTTAGCAGCTGCCATTTTCTTTATAGGTTGTGTCATTTGATGAGAGCTCTGAGTAGGGTCAATGTTGGTGCTAGGATCACTTGGTTGAGATGCAACTGGTGTTGGGTTCCTTGTTGGTGGCTGTTTTGAATTTACACCTGATGTCTTCTTTTTTGGGGCAATGGTCTTTGGCACTGTCCCCCTTGTCTTTCTTCCTGCCACTAGGGTTCCTCTTTTCGGTGTAGCCGTTGACTCTTGAGTTGGGCCATCTTGAGAGATAAGCACTTTCGAACTTCTCCCAGGTTACAACAACATAACGATACTGTCAATAAAAAGGAAATACCATAAATAAATTAAATGCAGGAGTCCTATAAAACTTACATTCAAAATAGTCATTCTGGTGCGTTCGTTTGTAAAAAGGTCATAACCATATTGTCTTAGCCTTTCCCGAGAGCCCCTCTTGTTCGCAGTGGCGCCTCACTCTCAGCAACTTTTGCAGGTGGTCTTCTTCTCACCTAATAAAGACATATCAATGTTAAACTTCAGCCCAAAAAATAACACAAACACCAATTGTACAACTTACAGGATATTTTCTCCTCGTCTGTTCAACAGTCGACTCAGTGGTTGGCCCTTGGGCTGGCCCTTCAGTTGGCGCTTGCGCTGACCCTTTAGTTCGCCCTTGAGCTGGCCCTCCAGTTCGCCCTTCAGCTGGCCCTGCATTAGCCCCTTTAGCTGGCCCTCCAGCTGGCCTTGCATTAGCCCCTTCAGCTGGCCCTCCAGTTGGCCCTGCATCAGCCCCTACACCTGACTCTACAGCAGGCCCTTCAATTAGCCCTTGGGTTGGCCCTGTATCAGCCCTTACATATGGTTGTTGTTGTTGTTGTTGATGATGTTGTTTCTTTAATGCACAACCCTTTTTATTGTGCCCTTCCTTTTGGCAATAGGAGCACATCATCTTTACACCAGTCCTGCTCATCCTCTGAGTTGAAATCTCTCCCTCCTGCATTCTTCGTTTCTTTTTTGGCCTTCCAATTTTCTTCTTTAATGGCAAAGGTTTAGGTGCTTCATGGTTTGTTGGCTCCCAGAATTTGCTACTTCTGATAGGCTGCATCATGAATTGGTACGAAGCAACATATGTGCTTTTCTTGTACCAATCATCTAAGTAATCCTCTGGGTTTAGTTGCTTCAACTGGATGGCACAAATGGCATGTGCACAAGGAATTCTAGTTCGTTGCCAAGCTCGACATGAACACTTTCGCCTCTCTAGATGGACGACATACTTATCAGCATTGTTCATGATCTCATATCCATCATCTCCATTCCAAATTGGATGACAGAACCTACTAGCAGCTGTGTTCTCATCCAATCTCTTTGCAATCTTGGGACCACATTGTCTAGTCCACTTTGTAGCCTCATCTCTTTGTCTATGGAGCCGAGTCATGACCATAACTCGTATGTCTTCAAGCATGCTAATGATGGGTTTGCATCTAGCCTATAGTACTCTACCATTAAAAGCTTCGCTGAGGTTGTTGTCAATGATATCGCACTTGAACTCTTCGCTGAAGAAGGCCCTGCACCAATGCTTAGGTTCCGTTTTGAACAATGCTTCAAAACCTTCATTTAACAACTGAAACAACTCCTGCTTGGCTATTCTAAAATCAGCCATGTTTGTGCTCTTTGCTATATGCCAAAATTGCTTCTGCAGCTTATCCCCTTTATAATTCTTTGCCCAGTTTGCATATATGTGCCTTGCACACATTCTATGTTCAGCATATGGCATCAACTTAGCTAATGCAGGAACAAGTCCATACAATAATTCAAACCAAAAAATACTTGTAAGAAAAAATGTGCAATTAATATTAAAAAGCCAACAATTTTAAATGGCATTACCTTTTGTTGGTCGCTCATGAATGCCCAACCTTCCCCATTGGTTATCTCAAGGTCAGCCATTATATTTTTTAGAAACCAGGACCAAGTGTCCTTGGTCTCTACTTTGACAATAGCCCAAGCTATTGGAAACATTTGGTTATTGGCATCTCTCCCAACAACAGCTAACAACTCTCCCTTGCATAAACCTTTCAAGAAACATCCATCCAATCCTACAATTTTTCTACAACCAACCAAAAATCCCCGTTTGCATGCATCAAAGCAAACATAAAACCTATTGAACTTAGTCCCACAATCAGGCAATGGCCTCTCAATAACTTCTACATATACTCTACTGGATGGGTTTTGAAGCATACATTCGCAAGCATAATCCCAAACCTGGCCATATTCTTCCTTGTACTGACCCATCAGTGTACTCATCACCTTCTGCTTGGCTCTTTTGCACTGATTCCTCGATACATTAACCCCTACCTGCTCCTTCACCAACTGCTTTAACTGAGGACTCTTAATCTCGGGCATCGCTTTGATAGTATTGAAGAAGTGCTTCGACAACCATACACTTGTTACCCTTTTATTGTCAAAAATAATGGAACAAGTATGTTCCTCCTGCAATGACCTAATCTGGAATGACCCGCTTTTCCTATTCAGTGCACCATAGATCTTCCATGAACAATTTGGTTGTGAACACTTAGCTCTCACAAATTCTTTCGTATTTCTAATAAATTCGACACTCATTTGTTCAGCAATGGAGTACTTGACAATAGCTTCTTTAAACAGTTTCGCATTGTCAATTTCATTCCTACAGACAAAACAGAACATGCAGCAGTCGGATCATAGGAAGGATACTTACTTTTCCTTCTACGGACAGGTACTTCGTCATCTTCAAGCTCGTTCTCGGAGCTAGCACTCTCATCTTCACCGCCACTCTGTTCATATTCAGTCTGATTACCATCAGCTGGAGCTTCTTGGTGGCTATTCACTGGTTGTGGTTCATGCAATTCTCTCAATGAAGCAAATTTATTTCTCAGAAAGTCTCTCTGCTTTTGCCTTGATTCTGCAAGTTCTTCATCATCATCGTCATCACTTAGGAAATTTTCATTTCCCAAAACTTCATCATCCGATTCACTAGATTGAGCAAATTCCCAATTTAATTCGGTCAATTCTTCATCAAGTATGTCTTCACTAGAAACTCGGGGACATCTTCCCGTTTGCTCAACTCTCTCTATATGACTTGCCAGCATCTCCGGCCTCAGCTATTGCCTTTCGTCCCCAGCTTGAGTACATTCTCCTACTTCTCCTATTTCAGTGCTTTCATCATCTTCATCATCTTCATCATCTTCACAGTCATTGTAATACTCAACATAGACTTTAGCTTCCTCGCCATGAAGATAATGGTAAATAATGTCCTTAACACCATTATCATCATTCGAGAATCTCAATCCATCCTTCAAGCCCTTCCCAGGAACACAATAATGCAATTTATCTACTTTGCATCGTAAATAATGCACTATGTCCCTCATGAATTCAATATATGATGGCCTCCTTACATCCAAAAAAATAGTACCTTCATTTCCACCAGCATATTCCCATTCCTCGGTGCCAATGACAAATTCCCCACCATAGCAAACAATGATGGCGACAACATTGTCCCCTATGCCCATGCTGCACCGAAAGAAAACAAAATAATCAGCTTTTGGGACCACAACGCACAAAAGCCAACAAGTTGCTCTAATTGTCTCGTTAGACTGAGTCAAGACCCTTGCAAGCTGTTTCAATGTACAGTGACACAATGAAATTTACCCAATGAAGAAGCAGATAGCTCAGAGTTACAATGTACCAGATCAAACATGTTTATAGGTCTGCCAAATCTCGTAAGATATGTAGGAGTACATCTGAGTTCATAATTCATATGCTTGTGCTAGAACCTGATAAATAACATTTAGACTTGCAGTTTTTGAGTATGCTCTGATCATTGATGTTACTCAAATTAAACCCTCAAAACATAGCCAACTTTTCACAAGATTTTTTGTTATTTTCATAGGGACAGATTGACACTCTTCTGAAGTTCAATCAGATTTCACATATCCCTGGAGTGCATAGCCATTCTGGAGAGCCACAAGGAATTCAATCCTTCCATCGCCTACAGACCTCCTGAATTGTTGACTAATTCTTTGTTGTGACACTACAAGGGTGACGATTATGTACATGTGGAATTCGCCGCTTACTTGGCCTCATGTGAGTAAAATACAAGAAAGAAATGTGTGTATTACACTCTGGAGGATCCCAAAAGAAAACAAAATAATTACCTTTTGGGACCACAACGCACAAAAGCCAACAAGTTCACATGGAGGATCCCACAACCGCAACTAAATGACTAAACAAATTGCCATTGTCGAAATAAAATAACCTCAGTCGCTATCGTTTAGTACAAACGAAGCAACACAGCTGGCACCGAGCCTTACTTTTGCCTTCACAATCAGAACTTGAGGTCCTCACAATCACTATTTCGCAATTCCTTCTCTACTACTGTCATGCCTAGTTTATCTCTCCCCCCAAGCCTTAGTTTTGCTCTCGGAGCCATAATTGTGCCCTCGAAGCCCTAATTGTCCCCTTGGAGCCCTAATTTTAACATCCAATGGAGCCATGGAGAGAATATGACAAACCTGAATGACTGAGGGTAAGAGACGACATGCGAGCGGCAGCCAACGACGATGACGGAGCACAGCGACGATGACGGGAACTTCCTTTGCCTGAACGATGACTAGACGAGCCCTAATTTGGTCTTCTTCGTGCATGTCGTTCAATTATCAAGGGGGAAACGACGTCGCATTCTTCTCCCAAGCCATGTAGGCGATGCGACGTCGTTTTTGAAGTCCACGTGGACTTTATTTTTTTAAAAATTTGCCAAGTCATTTACAAGATTTAATTAAAAATGCCACGTATACATTTTGGCCGGAATATCTCGCCGTTGGCACTTAAGTGATCATTTTTCTTCCTATTTGGCACTTAAGTGAGCCGACGAAAATTTTTGGCACTAAAGTGAGCGCCGTACACAAGTTTTGGCACTTCTGCTGTTCTTCTCCCGATGAAACTTGGATAGGTTTTGTGTGAGAATTCAAGTTAAGAACTGCTGATGACTGATGTTCAAAAGAAACACTGTAATTACATTAGCACATGTACGAATAGAGCAAATAGTAAATCTTTCCCATGCCTAATTGATTTTTCCAAAGATTTCATGCACTCCAGAATATAATCAAACCTGTTGAGGGAAACAGGATGAGATCCGGGAAATTGTGAGCCTCCTCGTCCCTCGAATTTAGGAAAAAGCATCAATATGAGTAACATAGAGCTGAGACTTTTAGCAATTGCGTCACTCACATCGTTCCTGAATTTCTATAATTAAGATCAAGAAAAAGAAGTTTTCCAATCATTAACTTGAACTCATGGTCATGAAATTTTAATGAATTTGAAAGAAATTGTATTGAGAAGTATTTGTATGGAACTCGCAACGTGTCTATTCATTGAACTATAAATCACTACATGTGCCAGAGATACACGATTTAAATTCGAAGATAAAAAATCCTTTCTTGGTCCATAACCATTGTCCCCTTCTTAACTCGTCATTTCTTATATTTATTAGGGTTAATACCACGAAAACCCCAAATTAGTATATATGTGACAAATTTACTCAAAACTAATTTTTTGACCACAAAAAACTCCAAATTGGTACACTTGTGATAATTTTACCCTCCGTTAGTTTCCATTAAATTTCACTGTCAAATTTTTTGAGTTTGATGATACGTGGTAATTGTCAGGTGTACCAATTCGGGGTTCACCGTCTGTTTATCATAAGTGTACAAGTTTGTAATTTTTCGTAATATTAATTAAATTTAACGGAGGGTGAATTTCTCACAAATGTACCAGTTTAGGGTTTTTGGTGGTTAAAAAATTAGTTTGGGGTAAAATTGTCACAGGTTTACCAGTTTGAGGTTTTTGGTAGTAAAAAAATTAGTTAGAGGTAAATTTGTTAGAGGTACAAATTTGAAATTTTTCATGGTATTAACCCTATTTATTAACATGGAACATCATGAAATAAATGGAAGTCGGAGTGAGGAATCCTGGATGGAGTTGACGAAGATTTGTTGTAAAAGGGGCTTCTTACTTGCTAAACAAATCCTCATGCTACATCTGTACGTAAATGAGACAAACGGGGCACCGGAGGTCTATAAACTGCAAAACGAGGGAGGAACTTTCTAATATCACAAGAACATTAGCATACCGTGGAGTGTTGTTTGTTGCAGGCATTTGATTTGCTTGTTTTCTAAAGACGCGTGATAACCATTCTGTTTCTCTATTTTTTTATTTTTTTGTTTCCACGAACAGTTTTTAAACAGAAATCTATTTGGTTACGCAATTTCATTTTGCTATGTTCGGACAAATTTTTAGCCGATAAATAGATTTGGAATCTACTTCACTATTTCTGTTCCATAAAAACTCTTCTTATCTCTCTCTCTCTCTCTCTCTTGCGCGCGCGCTCTCGTTCTTTCTCTTTCTCATAGGGTGCGGCTGGCGCTGATGTGGACAATTTTTCATAAAATATTTTAATATTTTTTTTGAATTTTTTTCTTTTCTTCTCTTTTCCTTCTTCACTTTTTATAGTTTTTTATTTGTCTCTTCTCTTTCTATTTTCTTTTTCCCTCTGCTGGCCATCACCGTTCCTTGTTCATGGCTGACGACCACTGGCCTCAGGTGAGGGTCACCCTCGCCGGATCGGGCGAGAGAACAATTAAAATGTTTAGGACTGAATTGGCAAAAGTGCAATAAGTTTATATTTTTTGGACAATTTTCTCCTTTATTTACTTCATTTGCAGGCTTCCATGGCTTTATTTTAGAGATTATTCTCGAATCTACTAAATCTAAGGTTCAGTTGGGATGTTACTTGGAATTTTATGTATAAAAGCTTTACTTATATAAATATAAATCGATTCATGACATTTTGAATAAATAAACATGTTTTTGAATATATAAGTTACTCGATACACTAGATATATACTTTTTTTAATGTCATTATATATGTTTTCTTCTTTGCATTATATATCCAAAATATTCTTTTCTATATGGATTGAAAAAGTTAATACCTAAATCAAAAGAAGTTACTAATAGAATGATGAAATGGTGCATGAGGGATTATAAAGATATTTAATGAGATCATAAACGGGAGAGCCGAAGAGTATTAGCAACCATAGGAGTTATTCATAAATACCTAAATGTTCTCTGTAACCTTGTGATCGGACATTTGCATAGAGAGATCCGAGAGCAAAACCAAACCCATGCACAACCGTATCACCTTTTCTGGTTCACGTCTTCATCTTCCTCAGTTCTCCATTTGCACTCAATCTTCATTCACTTAAAACTTCAGAAAAAAAGCATCCAAGTGAAGCTACATAAATAGGCTGCATTTGATCGTCTAGATTTTTAACCAATATATGACATGATAGGATAGGATAAGAATTGAATGGATTTTTCTATATCCTATCCACTGTTTGGTGAATCGCATTAATAAAGCCGGATACTTTCATATCTAATCCCGTCCATTATTTAGTATGAAGGACATATCAATGTAAATGAATCTGAAAATGACTGAATTAGCAAATGGTCAAAGTGTTCAAGACTAAATTGGCACAATTTCCGATAAAAAAAATTAGCACAATTGAAAGGTTTTGGACTGAATTGGTCATCGTATAATATATTTAGGAGTTTTTGGATAATTTTCCCCTTAATTAAAACTCGATTAAACAAAACTTATATGGTAACAAAAAGCTCCAATGTGCCAACTAAAACCTCGCTTAAAGGAGAACGAACACTCTCGTCATCCATTGTAGTAGTGTAGTACGGCAGCTCGGACGCCGAACTTAAAACTGATTTGTTTAACTTTACGAACGCCTGTTTCAAGTGGGTCCAAAGTCACTATGAAGCTAACTCAGTATAACTAAAAGGCAAACTCACCTCCGACCAAATGGCTAGAGTAGGGCGAAGCTCAGCGCCAAACATGGTCGTTCGAATCTGGTTCCAACGGTGCACAACGGATTTCAAAATTTCACCCCAACCAAATCGTAACCCCAAATCAACTTTTCTAAAATTCTACATGTTCACAGCACCCTAAGGTTTCTCTGAAACGTGATTTCATAGCTAAAAAAACCTCCAATTTCGACCTAGAAACCGAGAATTCAACATAGTCCTAATTTACAGCTTTACTTAGATAGTATCTTCGATTAAAGGAATCAAGGCTTGGAATTCTCACCGAGCGCTGCGAAACAACGATAATTCGGCACGTCGAGATGTTTGTGGCTTGCATGAACCGGCCCCTCCTTCCTCCGTCATGGTTTCTCCTCCCTTTCTTCTTTTTCTTGCTTTTGCCGACTCTCCCCTTTCTCATATTTATCTAGCTGATGAAACAACATCAATAAATGCGCTAAGGATGTAGTTTCACAACCGAGCGCACCAAACTGAAAATAGAGAAATGTGTTTATAATTTGTAACCCACCAATTAAGCAATGACGAGAAAATATATCCGTTTTTTCTCCGTCTTATAACACTTAAAATTTTTCAGTTAAGCAACGAGCTTCATCAGGATATATAAATGATTTAGGCAATGTCGGTGACCAACCAAGCAAGCTTAAACTTCGGAACTTCTTAAACCAATTAAGCCATGTATGCAGCAATAAATCCACTTATTAAAAGCTGGTTAGGTATAATGGACAGGCCCCAGGAACCGTGAAACATCAATGTCAAGCGGAATTTACATTAAAATAATTCCCTGCATATGATCCTGCATTCACAACAATACAGTTGACTGAACTTGAGATTCAGGCCCCCCCCAAATAAATCTTTTTTTTTTCAATGGTGGTCATATCCCAAAATTTCCAATTACAAAAATCATCCTAACAACCGCGAGTTTAGTAATTTTTGGAATTATACAAATCATTTGAAAGTTCCGTTCCACCGACTATTTGGTGCATGCAGTTGCAACCCACAAGTGCTCTCTCTCCATCTCTATCTCTCCCGTTTCTTTAGCTTAAAGAAAAAACTTCAAGTGAAGAGAGAAAATTTCTTCTCCTCTCCCGCCAATGAAAACGCCCCAAACAACTGGATTAGACCTTGAGGTTGCCTGTACCAATCATTGGCATGTTGAGCCCCAACCTCTTGCTGCAATATTTTAAAGAAGAATTGTTAATAAGCATCACCTTCTCTCACTTTCTGAGCAGTTCTCATATAAAATCCGCCTTCGACGCAATTAAGCTTCTAGGCTGCTCGGTTTCCTGTCCCAACAACATCATTTCTTCACCAAATTTCTCCGGCTGCTGTAATTATACTCTCCTTTTTTTCCCTCTTTCTTTGCTTGGAAAACTCGGATCGAGTCCAACGTTGTGGATTTTGCCAAGATGGGGTCTGCGGAGAGATCAAAGAAGAAGGTCCAGTTGTGGAAGAAAGCCATAGTCCACTTCTCTTTATGCTTCGTCATGGGATTCTTCACCGGCTTCGCTCCCACGGGTAAGGCCACGACGTTCGCCGGCCGACCCCTTATGTCCAACAAAGTGGTCTCCTCTCCGCAACCTGCGGAACTATTGGACCCGACACTGACGACATCTTCGCATGTCAATTCCAATAGAAGCTTGATTTCCGAGGCAACGGAGCGGGCCTCGGAGAAAACCCACGCCGAACCTGAAGAGGAAGATCTCTTGGAAAACGAAGGTAGTCAATTAGAAGAAGCTGAATTTCCGGAGGGAAACAACAAGCTTGTCCCTAGGAGGCTCCTGATCATTGTCACACCCACCACAAGTGGCTCAAGAAACCATCCATTTACGGGAGTGCTGCTGAGAAGGTTGGCGAATACCATAAAGTTGGTCCCTCAACCATTGCTGTGGATCATCGTCGAAAAGCGGTCGGATTCCGACGAAGTGTCGGAGATCATGCGGAAGACGGGAATCATGTATCGGCACTTGGTCTTCCGCGAGAACTTCACGGACCCAGATGCAGAGATGGACCACCAGCGGAACGTCGCTCTGCGGCACATCGAACACCACAAGCTCAGCGGTATCGTTCACTTCGCCGGGCTCTCGAACGTCTATGATCTGGACTTCTTCCAGGAGCTCAGAGAGATTGAGTAGGAATTCTCGCCTCAGTTCTCTTAATTATGTCTTTGTTCATTAGGATTTATCTTTTTTCTTAATGTGATGAGCTTAGGATGCTGTTATGGTTAGTTCTACCAAACGATGTGTTTTTTTATATGGTTAAGTAGGAAAACAAGTCAAAGGTGTGGAGCTAGACGTGCGAAATGGTGAGAGTTTTCAAAGTTTTAGGTGAGGCTTTAGGGAGATATCGTACTGGGATTCAACAGCGTTAATAGCTGGGATATGGTCATACTATAATTCACACCGAACGTGGATAAGATATGTCGATTGATATAGTTTAGGATACTTAGTCCATGCTTTATGGGTGTTTCCACATGCATAATAATGAAACTTTCCCGCAACCTTCATATCGCGTCAGATTTATCTCATTTGTCAATCCTATCGTGGACATTGCCCATCATGCGACGGTCATCATGATGTCGTAGATCTATTTCAACGGTGCCGTAGTTTTAAAGTATGTTATAAGATTTTAGATCATAACAAAGGAGAAAATCGAGTGCACTTCTTCTTAAGCAACATTTTATCATTATCAGTTGCTAATTCCGCATTATAATCTCCAAATGAATGTCAACAATTGATTGATTCTGATACATGTCACGTCATATAATCATCTTGTAAAACTCCTATTTTTTCGTGTTAATAATTCCAATACTACAAAAGCAACAGCTCTTTTGTCCTGACACATCAACTTAATTATCCGCAAGTAATAGTCATTTGATGGTGATTGTTCAATTATATCAGGCCGGGGTCATGAAGTTATTAGATCAGCGGGTTCAACTAATAAGGGGTTGATAGACAGAAGCCTATAGTATAGTATAGTATAGTATAGTATAGTATGAGAATGACTCGAATAGCAGATGATATGTAAATTCATTTTCCTAAACTAATTTTCATTCTAACAGTTGTCTCTCTCCACACGAATTTAAACTTTTTTGGTTGCTCTTATCGTCGCCCGCATACACGTTTACTCTTTTGCCAGTGACATATAAAGAAGCCAAAGTTTTACTATTAACTTATTTTGGGAATATCCGATTCGATACGGCAGGGTGTTTGGGACGTGGCCGATGGCGGTGCTATCAGCGAACCGGAAGAAGGTGAGCATAGAAGGGCCGGTGTGCGACTCGTCCCAAGTGCTGGGATGGCACCTGAGGAAGATGAGCAACGAAACCCCGGCCACGAGCGAATCGAGCGCGAGGCCTCCCATTCACATCTCCAGCTTCGCATTCAACAGCTCCATCCTTTGGGACCCTGAACGATGGGGTCGCCCTTCTTCCGGTCAACCCAACTCTCAGGTACCACTCCTACCAACTAAGCACTATCATACCATCGTGATATATACAAGATGATGATATTCTCTGCTCCCTTTGATGTCTCCAATTTAGTACCCCATCCATCTGATGTATTGGTTCATATAAATTTATGGGAGTCAATGATTCGGTTCGGTTCGAGTTTTTTGAAAATCCGAACCGAACCAAACCGAACCTCGTGCCGAACTGAAAATGAACCTGGGTTTTCGGTTCAGATGAGAAAATTGAATATTAGAGTTTTTCATGACGATTTTGAGAGGGATGAGAAGAGAATTCAGTTTTTGTTGAGAATTTCGGTTTTGGTTATGTTTTTGGTTTGGTTTTTGACACCCCTACATATAATGATGCATTGATGATTGAAATTTGTTGAGACACCAATAGAGGCATCAAGTAAAGTATAGAATCCCTATCCCACCTATACATGCTTTGTCTATTGGTGTCTACTACCCTCAGGTCGTTTACACGCCCTGTCGAGCTTGAACTTGAAATAGTCCTCTCGTCACAATGCACATTTGAAGCTCGGTGCCTTAAGGTCATCAAACGTTTGAGACTGGACGATTCAACACTGGATCTGATCGGGGGTCTGGCAGTCCGCCGGACTCTTGCGAGCCAATAGAAACCCGAAGCACGATCAGGGTACACTTAGACAAGCAATCTCCTTCTTGGACGAGCCCGCACACAATGGCAAGCTTGGGCCCATCTAGATCTAATTTTATCTTTTTTACATAGAAAATAAAATTAGTACTCTAGAAAACAAAAGGTAGGACTGGAAATTGACTGGCTGCCCACCACTTATCATATCTATTAGGCAGCGGACGAAGACAAGGGACCTTCTTGGTGGGTATACCTTCCTGACCGAGGAGGCTCACAGTAAAGCCCATTAGGCCTTTTCCGTGAGACCCTAAGGATTAGGCCTCCGTTCCATTGAGTTTTTGCATAGGTAGAATTCCTAGAACAATGCCTAGGTGGCCACTCCTAGTCCTATGCACCGACAGGAAATTAAAGATTCAAGGACAAGTCTAATTATTTTTGTACGTATCGGTGGTCGCTAAAGGTGGGGTGGATTTGTTTTTAGGTTAATACCACGAAAAATTTGAAATTGGCACACATATAATAAATTCAACTTCAAATTAATTTTTTGACCATCGAAAATTTTAAATCGGTACACTTGTGATAAATTTACCAAAAACTAAGTTTTGGACCACCAAAAACCCCAAACCGGTACATTTGTGACAAATTTATCCCTTGTTAGTTTCCGTTAAATTGGATTAATACCATGAAACCCGCCAACTGGTATACTTGTGATAAACGGGGGGTAAAACCCTAAATTGGTACATCCGTCAACTGCCATATGTCATCTAACTCAATAATTTGATAGTAAAATTTAACGGGAACCAACGGAGGGTAAATTTGTTACAGGTATACCGGTTTTGGGTTTTGGGTTTTTGGTGGTCTAAAAATTAGTTTGAGGTAAATTTGTCACAAGTATACCAATTTGAGATTTTTCGTGGTATTAACCCATTGTTGTTTTGGGATTTGAACTTTCCATTCACAAAATAAGATGAGCTATATATAAGCTCCACGTAATGGCTGCATGAGTCCGAGACCCCGTGATTATTCCTACGTTCAATGATAATACGAAAAGTACCAGAGATGCCCATGAATTCACAAGGAAACCATTTGAAGCTTACGTTTCGCATAAAATTAGTGATTTGGGAACCATTTTCCAAAAAATGATTGCTTAAATCGTTTAGAAAAATAAATAAATGGAAATTTTTTTCATTACCCATGAAAATAATTAGGCATAAATTATTATCGATGATGAAATTATTTCCCGGTGACTAATTTTTCTAAACAATATAATTAATCGATTATTTTTCGAAAAATGTTTTCCAAATTACTTAGTTTTCGCGAAACAAACGCACCCGTTGCAGGAGAAATTTCTTTGCTTTAGACACTCGTGAATGTATAATTAAACAATAATATCTATATCAACATTCTAGAGTTGCCCTACTATTCTTTCACTCAATTTAGCTTTCACTCGTGTCCTTTGGAATCAACTCAATTTTGTCACGTACTTGTTTAGCGAGGAGGAAAAAGCGATATCTTTCAATCGTTGCATGCGTCGGAATGTTTTCAAATTCCCTAAAAGAAAATATGAATGTGATTGTAAATCTCGAGCCAAGACTCAAGAGGGATCGATCACTTTGGCGATGCAGGACTCCATGAAGTTCGTGAAGGAAGTGGTTCACGAAGACGAGACCAAAGTGAAGGGACTTCCGGGAGAAAAGTGCTCCAAAATCATGCTGTGGCACCTTCGCTATCCGCCCGCTCGTCATCGTCATCATCATCCCTCGACAGTTCCGTCAGAAGCTGATTCTCAACGATGAGAAGGAAAGCTATGAGAAGTAAATAAAACGATGTTTATCTCCTGTCGTGTTCTCGAAGTTGAACGGGTTATTCTTTTGGGTTTGTATACTCTCGAAGCGTATTGTAGAGCTATAGAATCGTTTCGGTTTTGAATCATTTGCAAAGTTGGGGAAGACCCTCCCTTGAAGTTAGGCCTCACGGTGCGATCGGTAATCTTAAAGACTGTTGCAAAACAAGGACAGTGTTGTGTTCCTCTCTAAGTGCTAGGGTTTAAATGGTACAAGCTGATTGCGGCGAGCTTGTTCCATTCGGTACGAGGTTAATAGTGCATTTCGTGAGTTCTTGATTGACCCGCACCGCAATCAACCAAAGTTGTCTTCCTTCTTCCCAATTAGGTATTGGGATGATTGTTTGAAAAATTATAAACATATTGTATGGAAGCCAAATCAGTAGTCGTAAACATTTCAATTGCACATATTTAATCCCAAACCTTTTGATGAATCTGGGTGAGGCCCGCGTTGCCCTTGCTGGCCCCTAGGCGAGGCCACAATGCTCTCGCCCAGTGACTAGCGAAGACTAAATTGGCACAATTGAAATGTATAAAAACTGAATTGGTCGCTACACAATAAGTTTAGAAGTTTTTGGACAATTTTCCCTTAGATATGTGTACCATTTGGATGTTTTCACGGTCGACTCACACCACACTCTTCAACTAAGATTGCTTCTTAGGTAGTAACTACTTTTGCAATGCAATTAATAGCCAATTCACTTAGGTTTTGTGTGGATTTTAACACCAATTTTCCAAAAGTTCTAAACCTATTACACTTGTATCAATTCAGCTTTAAACATTTCAATTTAGCCAATTAAATCCTAAAATTTTTGACAATTTGCCAATATAGTCCATGCGATCAATTTTGGCTAGAAATCACCAATGTCATGGCCTGCGCTGACATGAACAATTTTTACAATTTATTATTATTTATTATTATATTTATTATTTCCCTTTTCTTTTATTTGAAAGTGAAGTCATAATGATAGATAATGCATCATAAAATTAACTCTACGAGAATGAGAAAGTAATTATATCTAAAATTTCACATAAATTTGAATCTATTATGCATGATAAGTGATGTGATATATCTACTTAAAAATATGTACTCACATATCTATAAAAAATATTGAGACAAAAATTGACTTACACGACTGCAATACAATATAGCATAGAGAGTAAAATTACTTCGATTCTATGCAATACCACATGTAGTAAATACAACATTAGTGTTAAAGTAACTTAAAGGATAATAATTACTCAAGAAGAAATGAGTAATGATCAAGTCGAGTTTCATAAGAATAGTTCGTGATAAAATTCAATTTTTGTGAAATGCGACATATGAGATGTTTCGTAAATGTAAAGTGAATTCACGTAAGGCAAATGAACCCACAATATTTCATTTTCCGTCAAGATATATATTATTTTCAAGTGCCATTTATTTTATAATTTCATGATTACTGTCACTGTTATAACTCTGTATATACATTTTTAATGTAAGTTGAACGTGTAGGAGTAGAGAAATATTTTGAATAAACATAAATTTTCAGAAAAAAATATGTATAAAACCTACGCTAAGCACGGGCAAATATACTAGTGGATTTAAGCACAACGCAAGATGTCAAATTGAAATGAACTAATTGATGCTGTGCAAATTGGGAGATGATTGAGTTCATACAATTTTTTTGATAATTAGGTACGACATTTTGGTTGGTGTGGTAGGACAATCTTTTATTTTATGTGTTTTATTGTTCTTTTTTTAACTGACTATTCCATTTTTGTGAATTTTTTTTTTGCATCTTTTACTAATTTATAAATCTGCTTTGTTTGAGAAACCTGTTGGTAAAGAAGGTTAATTAGAATATTTACTCCGCAATTGTGAAAATTTTGCCACCTCCCCATAAATTAAATTCATATGCCACTTCTTGATTAAGAAAAAATTATATATATATATATATATGTGATTTCAGATGTCAATTTTGGTATAGTAAAAAAGAAGATTTTCATATATTGAAGGGTTAATATCATGAAAAACCCCAAACTGATATACTTATGATAAATTTACCCAAAATCAATTTTTTAACCACCAAAGACCCCAAACCGGTACAGCTATGACAAATTTACCCTTCGTTTTTTTTTTGGTAAAACAAATTTATCCTTCTTTAGTTTCCGTTAAATTGGATTAATATCACGAAAAATCACAAACTGATATACCCGTGATAAATAGAGGACAAAACCTCAAATTGATACACTTATCAAAAGTCACGTGTCATCCAACTCAGTAATTTGACATTAAAATTTAACGAAAACCAACATAAAGTAAATTTGTCATAAATATGCTAGTTTGGAGTTTTTGGTAGTCAAAGTATTAATTTGAGATAAATTTGTTATTGATGTATCAGTTTGGAGTTTTTGACGGTATTAACTCTATATTAAATAAAAGTGATTTAAGAGAGTTGTAGATTGCACAAAAAGAAAGAAAAAAAGGTTAAAAGCAGATGTGACCCCTTAATCGACCTATTGCTTAACCTATTTTTCTGAATACGGCCAAGCCACACATCGTTTTTTCAAGAAGAACACGAGCTCCGCCCCTATCGCGAGTTTGTTGCTACATTCAATCGTGGCCTACCTCGTAATAATGGCTTATAAATGTCTAACGAAAGAAGAACTGTCTCCATCGTATTAGAGTGCTTGTTTCGTAGAATAATCAAGATTTTGAAAACTATTTTTCTTAAAAAATAACCGCTTGTGTCGCTTACAGAAATGATCGAATGAATCGTTTTTTCATCAACCACAAATATAGTTTGTCATAAATTGTTGTCGATAATGAAAATATTTTCCGTTGACTAATTTTTCTAAGCGATATAACTAATTATTTTTTGAAAAATATTTTTCAAATTTCAAGTTTTTCATGAAACAAATACTGTCTTATTGTGTTGAGAAACGCGAGCTCGACATATGCTAACTCTCCCCACGATTAGGATTGAGTCGATGACGTAGGAAACAAGGGCGTTGGGTGCTAATTAAACATAAAGTAAAGAAGGCAATTAAGAAGAGGCAACAAAACAAAAGCAGAAACAAAGTGATTGGCTAATGCACATGTGATGGTTAGTTGGTCTATCGTACTCAATTCAAACATGTTGGTAATGCATAATTGGTAATGCATGGACGATGAGGTGCAAGTTGTCACATGATGGGTTCCACATATGCTAAAATATAGGGCTGGCAAATTGGGTCACAGAACCATTTTGCAACTCATATTTAATGGGTCCCTACCAAAATGGATAACTCATTTAACAAAGAGCGGGTCAATGAAAAAATCTGTTAAAATGGGTAATGATGGGTTGTTTACATAACCCATATTTAACACTCGGCCGTCGGTCACTGCCGTCCGCCGGTCATCGATTGCCTAACGCCGGTCATCGGTCGTTGTTGTCTCAAATCACCATTAGCCACTGATCACCGCCAATTGTTGATCGTCGATCGTTGCCAGTCACCAAATGCTGTAGGCCACCGCCGGCCATCGATCATCGCCGGTCACCGCTGTTGCCAATTGTCGATCGTCGCCATCTCTAATCACTGCCGGTTTCCAGTTGTCGCCGGTCGCTGGAGGTAGAAGGCAAAAAAGAAAAGAAAAGGAAAAATGTCAAAAAATCATATTTAAAAAAAATAGACAAATTGTCAATAGTGTTTTAGCAATATATATTTTTAAAAATTTATAAGAAACCGGTTTTTCTAAATTGGAATAATATAGAAGTCTTTAGTAATATGAATCAGGTAGGGTATGGATTGCTAGGATTATATTGTATAAAAATTTGTCAAAACAGGTCAATATGGATCTGATCATTTTCGATCTGACTCACCCGTTTGACAAGTCTACTAAATTAATAGCAATTACCCGACAAGTTGAAGAATAGCTTTGTCATATACGGACCAATCGCCCCAAGCTCATTCCATTATCCGAAACCGACATACTTACCATCATCCATGACCAATCACTACAAGAAATGAAAAGCTAAGTTACAATTTTAATCTTTATTGCTTTGGGGGATTTCAGTTTTGATTCTTATAGTTTGGTTGGTTATGATTTCAGCTCTCGTACCATTCTCCAACGACAATTTAAGACCTTCTGTCAAATTTCCGTCCACAAAATGTCGGGAATTGCTGAGTCAGAATTGACCACCGACACATGACGCTGATGCGTACAAGCGACTAAAACAAACTACAGTCTTGCTCCCTTTACTTCTTGAAGTGATCAAATGTAGTTCTGTACTTTGTTTTTGCAACAATACTACCTCATACCATTGATCGATGAGAATTTAAATAGGAGTAAGTGCACAAAAAGTCTCGAAACTCATAAAAGTACAATTGAATTATAAAACTTGCTTGCAACAAGGGCAATCGAGTATTAAAACTTATCATATTAAAGTAATCAAATTCCTCCGTTAGCTCCATCCAATTTGATGAATGGACAATGCGACCCGACTTTTATTCATTGATTTCTCCCTTCCGCGTGGCCCATTACTTCATCGAGTTGTTCCTTGAAAGAACTTAATTGTAATTTTTGCAGAAGGTCTAAAATTTAAATGAACCAATTGAAATGTTTAGAACTTGATTGCATTTGATATAGAAGGTTTAGAACTTTATGTGCACTTTTGCCGATATGAATGAAGAGAAAATACAACTTGAGGTTATGGAAATGTTTCAAAAGGGAGTTCCATATGAAGAGGAAAAAAAAAATAGAGAAAAAGCAAGAAAAGATGAAAGATTGAATGGACTCTCCCGATTCTGTCTCCATTAGGGGTGAGCAAGACGGATCGACCGGACTGAGAACTGCATGGATCGGATCGAATAGGCCGGTTTAGTCCGGTTCCTAGGAGTACCAGTCTGATTCTCGATTCCTAAAAGTAGAACCGGTGTTCAGGTGGTAGGTTCTCGGTTCCAAGGGAGAACCGGATTGAACGGACCTGATCAATTATATATGTATATTTATTTCTTTCTTTAAAATTTTAAGGGAAGGGAACGGCGTAAATAATCTCACTGTTTTGCTTTTGCTTTCATTAGTGCTTGAATCTCTTGCCCTCTTTCTTTTTATTCATATCTTCCTTTTATTCGTCACCTGTTGATGGACCTTCCCATCATCTTCCAAAGGAAATATCCCTCTCTGTATGCTCTTTCCCTCGCAACTAGATTCCCTTGCCAATTTGTTGACAAAATAAAATGGAGACAATTTCCTTTGCTTCCCTCTTCGATCACTGCCACATTTGTTGCCCCTTTTTACATGGTCTGGAGGAATTAATTCCTTCTATCATGCTACCTGAAATTTGCCAAAAAGCATAGAAGATTTCTTTGATTGATTAGTTGAACCTCTTTCATTTTGCCGAAGAAACGCCGAAATCTCTGGACCTTTTTCTTTTTTAATTTTATCTTCATGTTAAATAAGTGACTGGATTCCATTGGACCGGACCGGGAACCGATCATCCCTAGTCTCCACCACCATCGCATGAACCATTTATGAATTATGATGTCTGCATTTAGGTCGATTTTTTTCACTATATTGAAACTCCTCCAAAGCATATCTATTAAACATGTTACAAGACACGGACATGTTTAACACGTCTAAAAATGTATTTAGATGTGTATAACATGTATCAATATAACTGAACGCGTCTTGTTGGCATCAATAACATTTTAAGCTGAATGCATATGTAAATGGATTAAAATAGTTAATCTACACACATATTTTTATTGTTCGTGTATAAAAGGATTGATCCGTTTACAATATGAACACACTTACATTTGACAAACTTAATTATGCATCGTATACATACATCATCTCGAGAATTATCAACCCCGACTATGACATAGTGTTAATACTCCAAAAGCATGAGACTTCTATACCGATATGAAGTCATAATTCAGTCAGTAGGGTGTGCAAGTCGGGCGGAGTTGATGCCTTGCTAAACTCAAGGTTGATTTGACTGGCCTCCACGATGCTCAAAACTCAACTTGTGTTCGATTAAGTGTTAGCTGTCCTACTGGAGCTCAACTCAACTGAAAATTAAGATCCCAATGTACTTGTAAATGAACTCGAGCTCAAGTTCGAACTCGACTTTAATAAGCTTTGGCCACGTAATTTTAAAAATTTTGTGTCAATTATTATAATTGCTAAATACTTTAAAAAAAAAATAGAAGTTTGATTAAGCTAGATTATATCTTGTGAACTTGTCGAATTGGGATATTGACGTGGTTGAGCTTGAGATCGACTTGACGTGCTCAAGTCTGATTAGTTGTGATCTTGAGTAATCCTTAAGCCACCCTTGATATAGTAGCTAGTAGTTTCACTTAATTTCATCCAAGCCCACCACGCGCAGATTTCGTTGTAACCCCGAAACAAATTGTCTTGATGAGAAAAGAAGAAACTTAGAAAGCTTTTGATTGACCTACGTGATTACTCTCATTTGATTCAACTATTTAGGGGTGAGCAAAATGAATTGACTGAATTGGAAACGGTCCGAATTAGACCGAATAGGCCGGCTTGGTTCAGTTCTTGGGAGTTCAGATCCGGTTCCCGATTTCTAAAAGTGGAACCAGTGTCCGGGCAGTCCGTTTCTCAGTTCTAAGGGGGAACCGAACTGAATCAGATCGATCGGACCAGATCGACTATATATATTTTTTTTATTTCTTCAAAAAATTAAGGGAAGAGAGCGACATGAATACTCTCATTGATTTGCTTTGTTCCCATTAGTGCTTAAATCTCTCGCTCTCTTTCTTTTTATTCATATTTTCCTTTTATTCCTCCCCATCGACCTTTCCCATTATCTTCCAAAGAGAATATCTCTATATGTGTGCTCTTTCCCTCACGACTAGATTCCCTTGCCAATTTGTTGTCAAAATAAAATGGAGACAATCTCCTTTGCTTCCCTCTTCGATCACCACCACAATTGTTGCCCCTTTTTACATAGTCTGGAGGAATTAATTCCTTCAATCATGCTGGCCGAAATTTGCCGGAGAAAAGCATGGTTTGATCGATTGGTTGGACATCTTTCTTTTTGCCGGAGAAAAGCCAAGATCTCTCGCCTTTTCTTTTTTTTTTTTTTAAAATTTCATCTTCATGTTAAATAAGTGACCAGTTCCCGATCTCAAGATCAACCGGTTCCCTGTGTCTACCCCTACAATTATAACCACTTCTCGATGATCCAGAGAACCCCTCAATTTCAAAAGATTTTAAGATACATATTCGGATATTTGGTATAATATGTAGAAGTGCCCCTATGGCTATGTTCCAACCCTAATGCACCTAAAATTTTTGTGGCGTATTAATCGAGAGGGGGGGCTTACCAGGCGATTAAAATAAATGATTAATATCACGAAAAATCTCAAATTGATACTTTCATAAAAAAATTATCTTCAATTTCTCTAAATTAGTACACCCATTAACTATAATGTATTATTTAATTTAGTAATTCGATAGTAAAATTTAACGAAAATTGACGGATAGGTAAATTTGACGCGAGCGAGCGTACTTATTTGGAGGCAAATTTATCGCGGCTCGAAATTGTCATGCTATTATGATAAAAAACAAAAGAAAGCAAATGAGGCGGAGAAGTGGGGTCCACGCTCCAGCGAAAAACCAGCTGGGAGTGGGCCGGAGAAGAGCGCAGGTCTCTCCCTCTTCCTCTCTATCTAAATCATTGCTCTCTCTCTCTCTCCATCTCTTCCGATACTCGCCTTTTTCTCTTCTCTCCCTCTTCCCCTCACTTTTCTCTCTTCTCAAAGTCACAAATCAGTGAGAGAGAGAGAGACAGAGAGAGGGGCCATAGTACCGTTGCGTCTCGTGAAGGAAAAAAGAAAAAAAGGGGGAGAGCTTCGCTTCGGCTCGAGATCTGCATCCCCACTTCCCTCCTCCTCCTCCTCCTTTCTCCTCCCGCCGGTCGCTTCGTTCCCAGGTAGCTTCCCCTTCTCTCTCTCTCTCTCTCTCTCTACTGGACCCCCTGTTGACGTTAAGAGATCTGCTCTTTTCCAGCTTTACTGTCTCTCCTCCTCCTCCTCCTCCTACTTCGTTTTGCTTCTTCTTCTTCTTCTTTGGCATCATTAGCTTTTTGAGTCGGCCCCCCTCGCGCGCTCCGCTTCCAGAACGGTTTGACCCCATGTTTGACTCGCGCTTTGCGTGTCGGTGGTCCGGTTCCATCGCTTCTGGTGGATTCGCGAGAGACAACCTGTGCGGCGATTGATGGGGTTTGGGAGCGTGGGCACGCTCGCTCTGGGTGCAGTTCGTGCTTTAGTCGACCGAATTGTAGTGTTTGCGCTTGGACAGAGCCTTGCGGATGCGATTCGTCCCCCGTATAAGATCCGTTGTTTCTTGTCCCGCTTTCTCTTGCTCTCCCCTTGCCTTCGTGAAACTCGAGGGATTCGATTCGGGATGGTAATCTGGGTCGTGATCCTTGCATCTCCTGTTTGTCGGGTCCCACTCGAAAGTAATACCAACTCTCTAGGTGGCAATTTCCAGATTTGTGTATCTGCCCAGAAACTGATTTGCTTGGTTGCTTGTGCCACTTCGGCGAAAATGCTGGTTGAGTCTAGTGGGTTTTTGAATTGCTTTTCATTTGGGTTCTCACTAATGTATGCATTTGGATTTGCACCAGATCAGCAGATGATAAGGAGATGGGGAAAGGGAACTGGTTTTCCACCGTGAAGAAAGCTCTCAGCCCCGACTCGAAGGAGAAGAGAGAACCGGTACCGACGCTCAACCCGATGTTCGATCGCGCTTCCTTTTCCTTTTTCTTTTGCGACGATCCTTCGTTTGTTTCTTAACGAATGTATGGGGTGTGTTTTTCAGAAATCTAGTAAGTCAAAGAAGAAATGGTTTGGCAAGCAAAAAGACCTCGTATCCGATCTGAACTCCCCCGCGGCGGTGGCGGAGCCGCTACCTCCGCCGCTTCCTCCTCAGACTGAAGAAGTGAACTTGACGGATGGGGCGAAGGAAGAAAGCGGGCATGTCGATGCCGTCGCGATAGTCGCTAATTCCAGTTCAAATACTGCTGCAGAGGCTGTTAAATCTACTTACTTTGCTCAGCTTGCTGGCAAATCAAGGGAGGAAGCGGCGGCAATTAAGATTCAGAAATCATTCCGAGGATATCAGGTAGATCTTTTTGTCATGTGGGATTTGTTTTTATTTCGCTTTGATGCTGTCAAAGTCCCATCTGCTTTGCAATGGCTTCACTTCTGATTTTGCAAGCCATAGAAACAAGAAACCTTTTTATAGGCTGCTTTAAAAAGAAGGGTGCTTCTTTTCCATTTCTTCTATTGTTAAGGAACATATCTATGAATATAGTCGTTGCTGACTTGCACGGAATTTTCTCCAAGTTTGAATAAGGAAAGTTGTTTCTCTCTGCGAAACTCTTTTGAAATGCTTGCTGTATAGCTGCGCATTCCATTAATGGCAGTGCCGAGCATCAGCTGATCACAAACATTCAATTAGCCAGTTGCCTCATGTGCCAGATGTTTTCCTATTTTACCTGTGCAAAAGCCATACTTGATAGAACCATTCATTCACATCCCTATTTTGGTACTCTCTAAGAAGAGTCGTGGACAAATGTTTGATAAGTGTAGATTTCTACGCAAGTGAAGCATTATCGGATCCTATATGGTAGCATATCCCACATGTGGGATTAATCTTTGAACAATGCCACGCAAACAAACACTCTTGCCCAATGAAATTGGCATGGTACCAATATGCTATAATTTTCTGTAGGGAAATTAAATACTATATTATTTTCTAAAGCTCTAAGACGTGTTTCAAATGAAGTACAGTAGCTGGATCATCAGATATCCCCAAAGCATCAGATGAAGGCAAAGACAGACAGGATTAACTTGGTTCAGACACTAGAGGCTGAAGTTCTTGATATGAAAATTTAACACTGAATGAAACTATTCAATAAAGCGGTTGAGATGAGTACCATCATGAATTTTCTTATTAATGGAGATGTCAAGTTAACTTCTGATTCTGGCTTTGGAATGAGTCTTTTCTTGTCATTGACATTGGCAATGTCTTTTTCAAGGCAAGAAGGGCAATGCGAGCTTTGAGAGGGCTAGTCCGGTTGAAATCATTGGTTGAAGGGCCAACAGTCAAACGCCAAGTTGCGAGTACCCTAAAGTGTATGCAGACTCTAGCTCGTGTACAGTCTCAGATCCATTCTAGGAGGATCAGAATGTCAGAGGAGAATCAAACTCTTCAGAAACAACTCCTGCAGAAACGTGCAAAGGAGTTGGAGAATCTCAGGGTATCTTTTATGGAACTTTGTCGATACTCTGAAATCTATATGCAGCAGAGCATGTTTTCAATTGAAATATTGATGCCATTAGTGTGATTTCATTATTAAAGTTTCTCGATATTAATAAATTGATTCAAATACTATGTTACAAATTATGATTGTGTTTCTTGGAGAAGCTAATCTGATGATAAGATAATCCAAAGCAAGCTTAGCGAATTGCCTGAAGAGACAAAGGCTGCTTAAATCTTATAATATATATACAATCGATGAGACCCATGTGTTCCTTCATCACCGTGGACAGGTTATCGGTATTTCAAAGTCATTCTCAAGGAAATACTGGTTTCTTATCACTCTAAATAGATGCATTGATCAAGTCATGTCTCTCATCAGCTTTGGCATCTTCTGGCTTCGCCACTCAAGGATCTTGTGGCTAGAGATCAGGTTGACTTTGGCTGGAGTAATGCCGGAGGCACATAAAGGATTTCAAAATGTAGGGACATTGCAACAGTTGAAAACATTGGGGCATATTGACCCCAAAAATCCAAGAGGCAAAAGGCAATTCACCCTATAAACCCGCCTTGAACCAGCTTGAACAGACCATGGCTGGATCCTTTTTATAAACTTACTTTGTACCAGGGTGCAGATACAGTGGCTGGATCCTATTTTTTTCACACTTCCCAGAAATCTAGGTTTCCATCAACCTACTCCAGTGCCAGTTCAAGAATTCAGACTTGATGGCTTCCTCATGTTAGAGGGCACGTTGTCTCATGTATATTTCTTGTGTGAAGATGGGCTTTTTTATTCTTGACTAGGGCACATTGTCATATGCAGCTTACAGTTTGCTTTCTTAAACACCAATTAGCTCAATGTTGATTACGTCTGATAAGTATCCCCGGGCATAAAATCTTAGGTTTTTCAAAGACCTCTTGCTTTTACTGAATATGACCCTTTTGATAGCTTGGGGAAGAATGGGATGATAGTCTGCAATCTAAGGAGCAAATTGAATCAAAGCTTCTGAAGAAATTTGATGCAGCTATGAGAAGAGAAAGAGCCCTCGCTTATTCATTCACTCATCAGGTGGGCTATGACGTTAATTGTTGAGTATTGATTTTTTCTTGTATTCCTATAGAAGCCAGTTTTGTAGCTCAACTAGATATACCTCTCAGCTGCTTACATCTCGTCCTACTTTGCCCTTTATTCATTTCTCAAGTCTTGCATTGCAATTTGCTCAAGTTAATGTGCTTTTATTGTTATTGGTTGCTATGATCTGATTATATCAGAGCATTGACAAAATTAGAAGACTTCCTACTAGTATTTGTACCCTTTTCTGCACAGTCTTGATTCTTTCAATGCCTTTTGTTCACCTAGGTACAAAACGAAGTGTGTTCAAATGCTGTTATGGGATGGTAGAATGAGCCCTAGATAATTGAATGGATATTTGCTTAAATTTGTATACTGTTAATGCTTCTTTTGCTCTAATAGGAAGTTCGCTTCATACAACCTTCAGTATGATGTTTGAGTGATTATCTGATACTAGATCCTAGTCTGCCTTAGATTTCTGTCTACTTGTCTTGTCACCAGTGGCCTGACTTTGATAAGATAAATTGTTCTACCACACCGGGTGAAACTCTCATCTGATTTGCCTATCACACTCATCTGGTCTGCCCATCACACTCTTACTGCCGCCTTCTACTTCGTCGAAAAAAATATCATTTGCAAATCTCTGCTTTCTTTTCTTTTCCTTTTTTAAATAAAACTGTCTACTAACATAAATAAATTTCATCTCATACTCGGCTTCCTCCTGTACAGCAAACCTGGAAGAATCCGTCCAAGTTGACAAATCACATGTTCTTGGATCCAAGCAATCCCACGTGGGGTTGGAGTTGGTTGGAACGTTGGATGGCTGCCCGACCTTGGGAGGGCCGGAGCACTACAGAGAAAGAGCCCAGCAATGACCTGAAAAGTGCTAGCATCACTGGAGGGGAAGTTACCACATCTTATGCTCGCTACCAACTCAATTTGGATAAACATTCTCCAACAGCCAGCCAGAAGTCTAGCCAGACAAACGGCTTCCAGTCCCCTTCAACTCCGAAGCCAGCCTCATCAGTAACCTCTCGCAAACTGAAGCTAGCTACTCCAAAGAGCAGTGCCCGAGTTGCAGACGACGACTCGGAAAGCATGGTGAGCATGCAGTCTGGTATGAATAGAAGGCATAGCATAGGAGGGTCGTCAGTGCGAGACGACGAGAGCCTGGGAAGCTCCGCCTCAGTTCCTAGTTACATGGTAGCCACCGAGTCTGCGAGAGCCAAGTCCCGGTTGCAGAGTCCGTTGGGGATAGAGAATAATGCGACCCCGGATAAAGGAACCGCGGGACCTGCAAAGAAAAGGCTCTCTTTCCCGCCTTCGCCGGCCAGGCCGAGGAGGCATTCAGGTCCTCCAAAGTTCAACAGCAGCATTGTCTCTGAGAATAGCGCGACCAATGGAGGGGCAAGCTAGCTAATAAGTTGGAGTTTCAATAAAATAAAAAAGATACGTGAAGAAATTTGGGAATGCAAGGTCGCTGCTCATCACATCACATTGATTTCTTTGTTGTGATCGTGGGAAGAACATTGTTTGATTGAAAAGTTTCGTACCTCGGGTTGGGTTAGTGGGTGGGAGATCCCTTATTTGTTATTTATTTATTCAAGTTTAACATACTTTCCTGTTGGTCCGGTTCTTGACATCTGGATGAGTGCAATGAACCGCACTGCCATTGCGAATGTCCTGTTTACTCATAGAGCGATGTGTGCTCACAGTCAATCGAATAATTTGTCTGTGTTTTCTCTAGGTATTATCATCATGCCCAGTTTTCCCTTACGCATGTGTTCACACGATAGAGGTTGCTTACTCTAAGGCTTCGTTGGTAATTATTGCTTATATTAATTGAAATAAGAGTTAATATCATAAAAAATCTTAAATTGGTACATTTATAATAAATTTATTGTAAATTAATTTTTTTATCACCAAAAATTTCAAATTGGTACAACTGTGACAAATTTACTCTCTTTTAACTTTCGTTAAATTTTATCGTGAAATTGTTAAGTTAGATGACATGTGGCAATTGACGGGTATGCCAGTTTAGGATTTTACCCCTCTGTTTGTCACATATTTACCAGTTCATGATTTTTTGTGGTATTAATCCAATTTAATGGAGGGTAAATTTGTCATAAGTGTACCAGTTTGGGATTTTTGGTGGCTAAAAAATTAGTTTGGGGTAAATTTGTCATAGGTGTACGAATTTGGGATTTTTAGTGATCAAAAAACTAGTTTATAGTAAATTTGTCACAAGTATATCAGTTTGGAGTTTTTCCTGGTATTAATCTTTGAAATAACTAGTTAATAGAAATTTTTTTCATTATCGATAGTAATTTATGTAATGGCAAAAATATTTTTTGTTTATTCATTTTTGTAAGCGATACGAGCAATCATATTTAAAAAAATATTTTTCAATTAATTCATTTTCTTCAAAACAAATGGAACTCAAATAGATGTATAATTTTTCCATATGTAGTTTCCTTGAAATTTTAATTTCTTATATGCAATCTCATCCGACTGAATTTACCCTTTATCACTCAAAAAGAAAAAAATCCACAAATTATTTATTCAAAATGCACTAACACTTCATCCTCCATAATACCTTCGACATTACAACTTGCTGGTGCAATGGAAGAAATAGTAACATTATGCATAAAATTTGTAACCCTTCGTATATTGCTAAGCGGAGTCGCCAGTCAGTATTGGCTCTTAATATCTTTCCAAATCCAAAGTTTGGATAATTTACAGGATGCAAAAATCATCATAAACTTAGTTATAATAAACTTAAATACTAGATTACAGTCGCCACCAATCAATTTAGGAAAATCTAGTTTGATTGACACTAAGGCTTAGGCGGCAAAGGGACCTAAGTACTCTTGTGAAGGAAATTGGGCAACAAAAACTAGAAATCTTCAGTTTGGGCAATTCGGTTATGCGTGAGATGGATTAGCATCCCACAAAGTCCTTTCAGTACCGCAGACCTATTTTTGGTTGACTCATAAATTGGGAGAATTACCAAAAAAGTCCTAAACCTAGCACAATTGTGCCAATTCAGTTATAAACCTCTTTTTTTTTTGCCAATTGAGTTCTAAACCTTTTGCATTTGTGTCAATTCAGTCCATCCGACCAATTTTAGCCGGAAATCGCTGACATAGATGCCAGTCGTCCTACTTGATGCGGTCAGCGCTAATGTGGAAATTTTTAAAATAATATTTTAATAATATTTTGAATATTTTTACTTTTTTCCTTTTTTTTCTTTTTTTTCTTCCTCCAGCTAGTCGTCGGACCTTGGTGATCAGTCAGAGGCGAGAGTCAGCGAGGTCGACCTCACTCAAGTGGTGATTCTCTCCCTACACTAAGGCAAGACATGTGATTTACCAAAAGAATTGGTAATATTTGAAAAGCATCTCGAGAGTCCTAAGAGCTCAAAAGTTAAAAGGAAAATATGAAAACTAGGAGACATGGAAAAAAGAAGTGTGCCTAGTAAAAGCAAGACTAACGCCTATGAAAGAAAATGCAGTAAAAGCAAAATGTTTGCATGAAAAGAATTTTGATTTCGATACAAAAGCAATTAGAAAAGAGTGAAGCTCATGTGTTTCCAAAAAAACAAAAAAGATTAGCTGATGGACTCTCGAGGCAGGTTGGATTTCAAGAGTCAAAATGACCACAAGATTGGATGAATTGGTAATGATGCCAAGATAATCACCAACTCTTTAATCCCCTTTGAAAAATTTTAAGCCATTTTTAGCTTTTCTCCGAACCGACATTACAACCTTTTCACAAAGTTTTTTTTTGATTAGCATGGTTCGAGTGAAATTAAAGATTTCCAAAAGACACTACCGCTCGAAGGAGTGGAAGCAATCATTTCTTGTCTTATTTTCGAGGTTCTTGACTTGTAAACCCGATGAAGATATTGAATTCAATATTTCTTTTTTGGTCTCAAAGCAACTCCCCTTTTTCTCTGAAAACCTTTGACATAGGTTATATGAGGTATCGCCGGTGATCAAAATTGACTTCCACATCAATGGATGGACCAAATAGCCTTTGAGAATAATTGTGAGAAGACCTTTCTGATTAAGGTACTACAATTCAATATTTTAACAAACTCTTTGAAGGAAGTCGAAATCATCTTGTTCAAAACTCTCATTCAGGGGAATTTTGACAATCGATGAGATTTACCAAAATCGGATGACAATTTCATTGTCCAACAAAAGGCATTTGAAATTTCCAATTCCAAAATAAATCTGATAACTTTCTACTATCAATTTTACCAAGTATGCTTTTTGCTACTAGTTTACACCATTTTTGACATAATCCGTTGGATGTGCATATACCATCTTAAAATTTCTTTGGTGACTTGCACGTACGGTGAGCTTTAGGCTGCGCATGACAACCATTCTGTGCCCGGGAACAGATTCTGGTCAGAAATGATTCTTTTTGATTTTGTGCCCGGAATTGATTCTGAGCATTTTAAGGCGTTTGTTAACGGCCCAAAATTCCATCCCTGGAATAGAAAAAGAACAGAAATGCGTTTGGTAACGCCACAAAATTTCTTTTTATTAATAATATTTTTAAATATTTTAATATTTCTTTCTTTTTTTTCTTTTCTTTTTTTCTTTTCCTCCTTCTTGGCCATAGCATGCTCGCCGGCCATGACCGGAAAAATATTTTTTTATTAATAATATTTTTATTAAAAGTATTTTTTCTTTTTTTTGGCCATGGCCTTGTCGCCGGCAATGACCGGTAAAATATTTTTTTTATTAATAATATTTTTTATTAAAAATATATATTTTTATTTTTTTTGGCCATGGCTTGGTTGCCGGCCATGGCTGGTAAAATAATTTTTTTATTAAAATTTTTTTTATTACAATTTTTTTATTAAAAATATACATTTTTATTTTTTTGGGCCATGGCCTGGTTGCCGGCCATGGCCGGTAAAATATTTTTTTTATTAAAATTTTTTTATTAAAAAAATATATATTTATTTTTTTTGGCCATGGCCTGGTCACCGGACATGGCTGGTAAAATATTTTTTTATTAAAATATTTTTATTAAAAATATATTTTTTCTTTTTTTTGGCCATGGCCTGATCGCCGGCCATGGCCTGTAAAATTTTTTTTTTATTAATAATTTTTTTATTAAAATTTTTTATTAAAAATATACATTTTTAATTTTTTTTAGCTATGGCCTGGTCGTTGGCCATGGCCGGTAAAATATTTTTTTATTAATAATATTTTTTATTAAAAATATATTTTTTTTCTTTTTTTGCCATGGCCTGGTCACCGGCCATGGCGGGTAAATATTTTTTTTATTAATAATATTTTTATTAAAATTTTTATTAAAAATATACATTTTTATTTTTTTATGCTGCTCTGTTTGGCCAGACTAAAATATTTTTTTATTAATAATATTTTTATTAAAAATATATATTTTTCTTTTTTGCCATGGCCAGTCACCTGCCATGGCAGGTAAAATATTTTTTTTATTAATAATATTTTTTATTAAAATATTTTTATTAAAAATATATATTTTTCTTTTTTATGGCCATGGCCTGGTCATTGCCATGGCCGGTAAAATATTTTTATTAATAATATTTTTATTAAAATATTTTATTCTCGTCGAGATCCGTGAGAGGCGGTCCTCGGGGACATTATAAGCTAAATTAAAAATCAAGAAAAGGAAGAAGAAAAAAAATTGATTCTCAAAATTGTTCCAATCGAAAGCTACTTTTTTTATTCTGATTCTATTCTCAAAGCGATTAGGAACAATTTTTGACAAAATTGTGCCAGAATCAAAAAATTAAACAAACGCATTTCTGTTCCCAAACTGATTCTGGGAACAAAAGAACAGAATCAAACACTGTTTGGCAAGTTGTCATGCGCAGCCTTAGCAGCCCAAAACTCTTTCAACACATACAAACTTTTCCCAGTAGCACTGTCATCTTAATCACAGTACGGAGAGTTTTTGCAACCCGAAGTAGGGCTGTCAATAAAGCCCGGCCCGCCTCGGACCGGCCCGGACAGACCCGGCCCAGCCCCGAAATTTAGGGCTTCTTCGGGGCGGGAATAGTTTTAAATTTTGAATATTATCTTTATTTCGGGCCGGATCGGTCCGGGCCGGGCTTTTTTGACAGCCGGCCCGTGACTTAAAAAACCCTAGCGCATCCTCCTCCTCCTCTTCTCTTCCCTCTTCTTCTTCGCTTCGCCTCTTCTTCTTCCTCCTCCTCCTTCACCAGACCATCATAGCCTCTCTTTCTCTCTCTCTCTCTCTCTCTCTCTCTCTCTCTCTCTCTCTCTCTCTCTCACCATGGCGGAGTAGGCCGAGTCAGAGGTGGAGTCGTCGAGCCCGTCGGCGGTGCCAGAGGACGACGCGGTCCCGGCGCTCCACGAGAGCGGGGTCGTGGGGCTGTTCCTCGCCGAGTCGCCGCACCTCTTCGCCGGCGACGCGGCGTCGCACCAGAATGAGGACCCTTCGATCGCGACTGCCGGATCCCCCATCCCGGCAGCGGTAGGAGGGACGTCGCCGCCGCCGCCGAGGAAGGGGGAGCGGATGCTGCGTGGTGGTGGTGGGGATCCCGCCTGAGGCGCATCAGGAGCTCGGCCACCATCCTGTCCTTAGCCATCGGCGTCCTCACCCACCCGTCCTTCGCCGCCATCGCTGCCGGCAGCCGAGAACCCAATTTACCCACCTCCTCCTGCTCTGGAGAGGCGCCACCGCCAGCACCGCCGTCCTCTCCCTCCAGCGACTCCCCACCTCCTGCTCCCCCAACTGCAAACCCGAAAACCCGGACCTGGTTTCGTCGTGGGTTCCGTCGTGGGTATGCGGGCGACTGGCTCTTGTTGTTGCATCTTCTAATTGGCTGTGTGAATTGTGAGAAATTTTAGGAAGAGCAATGGCTCTGGGTAACGATGATGTTGATTCTTTAAGCTTGTATGAGCTTCAGCTTCTGTTGCTAAGGGCAGTATGGAGCTTAGAAATGAAAAAGATTGGTCCCTGTTTAAAAAAAAAACCATAAACTCGACCCGGACCGACCCGACCCGACCCTATTTTTGGAGTATATGCTGAATAGGGTCTTGGGTCGGGGCAGGTCGAGTCAAGCGTGACCCTGTATATTCGGGTCGGGTATAATGAAAGCCCGACCCGACCCAACCCATTGACACCCCTAACCCGGAGTTCTTTTGATGTACACATGGCGGGCTTCCGTAGCCCATGGTGCTCTTCTTCTGTCAGATGTCCAGGTAACATCTCGGCAATTTCTAATAATGATTCGCAGGTTTAGTAAGCTTCTGCAGCCTCGAAGCCTCTTCATCACAACACAGAGAGCTTTCGCAGCCTGGAGTTCTTTTAATATATAACACGGAGAGCTTCTGTAGCTCGGAGTTCTTTCAATATGCAACATTGAGAGCTTTTATAGCCTGGAGTTCTTTTAATACACGCACGGCGAGCCTCTACGAACCGAAGTGTCTTCCCTCCATTAGAGATCAAGGTAATTTCTTTGGAAATTTCTTTAACAAGTGATTTGAAGGTACGACGAGCATCCATAGCCTGGAATCATTCATCGTAGCAAGAGTTCCCCAATGGAGACAACTCTCAGTAGAGGAATTACCTTCAATACGACACTGAGAGCTTTTGCGAAAATCAATCAGAAATTGACTTTTCCCCAAATTGGGAATTTCAACTTTCAATCGGCCAAATCCAAAATTAACTCATTTCTAGTTGTTTTTTGAGAAAACTTCCTTTACGTCATTTGATCAAAAGGTCATTCCGCATCCAATTGTCAAAGCAATTTTGAGATTCCAAGCTAGAGATAAATTTTCCCAATTTAGGCCGTAATTAGGGGTGCTGATCGATTCTTCATGACTTATGCAATTTAGCGAAAATTGAGTCCAATTCATTAGAGATAACTCAATTCCAATATAATTTTTGAAAAAATCACAACAATGGAACTTAATTTGTTCAATTTGGCCAATTAAGGATGGACAAAATCAAGTCGAATTGACCCAATTCGCTCTGACCCATTGTCGTCTAACAATCAATTTGACCAAATCGAGGTTCAATTTGGCTAATTGAACTATTGGTCTCAGCCTGTATTGCAATCTTGACAAAAGCTCCGTTCGTTTGGCGGAAAATGTTTTTCAAGAAAACACTTTCCGGGTTTTTCGGTGTTCGGAGAGCGGAAAACATTTTTTCTCAATGAGGAAAAATATGAACAAATTTCTGAAAAATGATTTTCGATTTTCAAAAGCGGAAATCATTTTCTGCCGGCCTCCTTCTTTCCCCTCCGGTTGCTGGCTACTGGTCTTTGCCCATGGTGATAGGTAACCCTAAACCCTAGCTTCCCTTCCCTTCCCTTCATCCCCATTCTCAGCTATTATCTCTTTGCTGCTCACTCTAACCTCACAGTAGGCCTTATACATACCACTCCTTAGTCATGGCCATGGGCTGGTTTCGGCCCGGAACCGGCCCGGTCAAACCCTAGCCCGTCCTGTTGACTGGGCCCGCGGTTCGGAACCGGCCCGGAACCGGCGGTTCCAGGCCCGGTTCCAAAAAAAAATTAAATTTAAATTTTAAAAAAATTTTAAAAAAAATTATAACGAATTATAAGGTGCTTAATGATAATTTATTAAGTTCAAGCCCCCTCATTCTCTCTTTTTATTCCCAAATTTGATTACAATTTACATTTTGATTACAATTTATATTGAATAATTCATTATTTTATAATTTTATTATTTTTTTATTTAATAACATGGGCCCAAACGCTACGTCTGAAAAGCCCAGTCACAGGTCAAGTCGAAAGCGTGCCCCCCGTTGACTCGTTGACCAATATATAGGGCTTCTTTTTATATATGCCTTCGCGTGGGGGTGGGGGAACAAATCGAGCTTCGCACTTTTACCAGTTCGTCGAGACTGTTCGAGATCGAAGCACCGAAGTAATCTCGCAGGAGGACGAAGAAGCTTCGGGTCGAGGCAAGAGGTTCGATTTCTCCTTCCTTTTCGGTTCTGCTCTTCGTTTGAGTAGTCTCTCTCCAGATTCTTAGCTGCTTGATGCGTTTGAGATTGCCCTATAGTTTTTGGAGATTGCGATGATGATGTTGACGATGATGTTGATGATGATTGTTGCCGGAATGTATTTTCCCCTTCTTGTCACCTCCCCGATGTGCCGTGAGTTTTTTTTGCTGCGATTCTTTCCGGGTTTTTTTTTTCTTTTTGTTTTTGGGTTTATGTTTCTTCGATTTGGGAAATGGGAGCTGCGGGGTTTTGCCCGGTTGATATGCTGAAATGTGAAGCTTTTTACCTTTGAACCTGCATTGATGGCCGTTCGGCCGTGGCCTATGTTGCGCCGACACCGACACACTACACGTCAATTAAAAAAAAATACCATTTTTCGACACGTTTGAGACACGTATATTAAATATATATTTTTAATAATTAAATATACCATAATTACCAAAAACAATTGATTTATTATAACCCATAAAACCATTAAGTTCCAATAAAAAGATGAACTTGACTAGTTTAGGTTCCGTAAACTCATCCATAGAAAGAAGCACATTTACAAATTCAATTAGGGAAACAGAGTAAATGCCATATGCAAACTTCTCTTCAAAATTCATGTTCTCATATTCCAATACATGACGCTATCTAAAAATGTTTGTCCCTTTAAATTCAACATTTAACAATAAGTCAAAAAAAACAAAAAAACTATCCACATTTCACCGTAAAAAAAGACGCAGCCCCACCCATCTGACCTACCCCACCACTTTTTCCTTTTCCCCCAACCCACCCCACACACGCCCCCTTTCCCCGACTTCTCCCTTCTTCCCAGTTCCCAGCCACCACAATTTCTTTCGAAACAGAGAGGTGTACCTGCAGCGAGCGGCGAGCGGCGAGCGGCGAGCGGGAGCGGGAGTGGGAGAGGGAGCGGCGAGCGGCGAGCGCAAGCCGCGAGCACGACTGGCTAGCGGGAGCGGGAGCGGGAGAGGGAGCGGCGAGAGGCGAGCACGAGCGGCGAGCGGCGAGCGGCGTGGAGGACGGGAGTTCGTCGGTCGAACAGAGAAGTAAAGAGGTAATCGTGTTTTAGCCCTAATTTGGAGGTCGACGCCATTTATTGTTCTCTGTTTTTATTTTTTTTTACAAATTTACTCTTCGGACACGCCGGGACTCGCGTGTCGGAGGCGTGTCCGGACAGTTGATTTCGTGTCGGAAATCCGACACCGTGTTGACCGCGTGTCGGAGGCGTGTCCACACGTGTCGACGTGTCCGACACGCGACACCGACACGTTGGCCATTTTAACGTGTCGGTGCAACATAGAAATGGCTATGCTGAAGCTTGTGCTTTTAGTGGAGTGCTCGGCACGGCTCGTGGGCCGGTCCAAGGTTTTAATTAACTCACGAAATTATGATGGAGGCCTCGCCAAGGCAGAGAGCGACAACAGAAACCCTCGCCGCTCGCTTGCCCGCCCGCCCGCCCGCCCGCTCGCTCGCTCGCTCGCCCGCCCGCCGCGAGTCCGCGACTGCAGAGTTCTGTGGCGGAAGGTTTTGCTGAACGTCGCTCGTGAGAGATGGGACGAAGGATACTGAACGATGCGTTGAGGACGATGGTGAATGCAGAGAAGAGAGGGAAGGCCATGGTGGAGCTGCGACCCATCTCCAACGTGGTCTCTTCGTTCCTCAAGATCATGAAGGACCGAGGTTGAGTTTCTTACTTCCTTGCCCCCTCCTCCCTTTCCTTTGCTGCATTTTTCTTTCTGGGTTTTCTTTCAAATGGAAGAATTTCTCTTCAATTGCCTTGCCCCCACTGTGCAATTCCGAACAAAGCTTCTTACCAAACAAAGCTTCAAGTTCATTCTTTTGTTTAACATAATGTTAGTTGACTGTAGTATGAGTTTTGGAGATTTAGATTATTCTTGCCATTATGTGAGGAGTGGGCTTTTTTGGTTGGAACTTATGGAGAGAGGATATACTACTACAAAGGTAAGTCCGTGAAGTGCTTTGAGGTTGGGCGGTAATATCAGCTATGCCTATATGCTTGCACAAAAGAACTACCATAGATCAATCAGTTGTGCTTCAAATGTTTTTCTTCGGGCTGAATGGTGGTAGGATTGAAGGTGGACCAGTTGGAGAAATTTATAAGTTTATGATTAAGTAAAGAAAGATATCACGATTTTCATCTGTCTCTCTTTGAGGTGAAGCTTAATTGCGTGATTGTGTTTGTTAACTAATTCTATTGCTGGCCCACATACCACTTTAATTCAGTTGACTTACTGATTATGATAATCTATTTGGGCCAGATCTATTGAGAAAAACTTTTGTGTTGTGAGATTTTTTTGAAGGGCTGATTGGTAAATAAGAGTTTTTCGTTTTGGTTTTGTTATTTCAGGATACGTGAAGAGTTTCCAAGTTCATGATCCCCACAGAGTTGGGAGGATAACTGTTGAACTGCAAGGCCGGATAAAAGATTGCAAAGCTCTCACTTACCGTCAAGATATCAAGGCTAGAGATATTGAGCAGTATAGAGTGAAAATGCTTCCAACACGTCAGGTACTTGAAAATTTGACTTCTTGTCTGGTCTACTACTTCTTGATGCATGCGAGTTTGTTGATGGTAATGTCTTGGATGGTAGAAGCTATTTCATGTGCTAGGGTTTAGATGACACGCTTGTTTTTAGCTGAAAGAAATCTTTGTTAATTGATTGTTTACTCTCTCTGTCTCTCGGTCTCTCTCTCTCTCAGTGGGGTTATGTTGTTATTACAACACCTGATGGCGTTCTGGACCATGAAGAAGCCATTAGAAGGAACGTGGGAGGCCAAGTTATTGGTTATTTTCATTAATCATAATGTGCTCTCAAAATACAAGATGGATCGCGAAGTGATTAACAAGAGAAGATGATGCTGTTGAGCAATAAGGCAATGATGTATAATCTGTCTCCCTGCACTGGTGAACTTGATTGAAGCTTCGAATTGGTTTTGTTGTATCAGTTTTGGGTATGATGAATGGCAGATGACCAGGGTCTCATTGTCTTAAAAACTTTTCACCCTCTCTAACTATTATTTTACTGCTTTGAAATTTTTTGGAAGCAGGACTTGGTTCTTGATTCAGAAGAAGATTGATTTTTATGCGGTCGATTCTGGAAGCGTGCATGGGTGAAACACTAAGACATTCACGATTAATTATGTACTTTCGTTATGTGACACCTTAGGTGAAGTATTTACATCATGAAGCCAGAGAAAATTTTTAAGGAAATTATTTTAGGCATGCAGTATTGATAGCAAATTAGAGGGATTATAATCATCTTCGAAAGTGCAGTCTAAAAGATAGAATTATATTGATCTGTCTGGGTAGTTAATTTTAATGCTTCTGGAAACAAACCAACGTTAGCAAACTCTAAGGTTCTGGTTAACTTTCTAGTTGAATTTAGAGATGATGTCTCCATCGTGTTTCAATTATAAACTGCCTTTATAAGTCAGACGCATATCCGTTAAGTTTCATTTCTTCTCTACATTATCTTAATCCAAAGCTCAAAATATATGCACCAAAATCTATTGGGAAGCTGTCTTGTTTATCTATTTTAATAACGACAGCATCATTTTGAATTTTTTCACTTTTCCATAGAATATCAGCTCTGCATTAGAACGTAGCTGCTCTTTAATTATTGCTCTTATACAAATAATAGATTTAAGCTTTGAGTGAGATCTCTGTCTGACCCAACAATGTCTGTCTGTATCTTGAGTGAAGAGTTGTTGGAATTGCCTGTTACTCCAGCTTGGAAAAATCTATAAACTTAGTTTGTTTGATAGGGTGTGCAGCTTTCATGGTGGATAGGATTTGCCTTAATCATGGCACCTACCCAATTGTTACCTGTTCCGGGTTTTATGAAACTTGGAACTGACCTTATATGCTCTTGGAATCACCTTGGAACTTGAGACATATTGATTCCACAGGTTTCGACCTTGCATTTTCTTTTTTGATATTTATTATTGGAAACAAAATTGTCGTGGTAGTCATTGTACATTTAACACAATATATGGCTTACATGATGTAATAGATATTCAAGTAATTGTACATTAGTAACATATTCCTAAAACAACAATGACATCGAGAGTAAAAACCAAAGAAAGAAATCAATTTCTATCTGTTGTTTAAATCTGAGTTTACATGAAAGCTTGTCTCACTTGATTGAGAGCATGAATTAAAATGTTTCGTTATGGACATGTCCAAGCTCGTCACAGAGAGTGAGGGTGAAAGGGAGTCGGAGATTTGTTTCTTCTAATGGAATCGGGGATTGGGATCAACTAGAGGTTTCACATATATTAATGTGAAAATTTCAAAAAGAAAAAAAGTTATAAATAACTAAGTACACATAATTATTGCATAATTATTACATCCACTATATGTATAAATTTCTTTTACACATCCGCTGTTGGATGGGTGACACAGTATAACATATGGATTCATGTAACCCAAATGTCACTCACAAATGTCACACCATGCAATGGTGAATGAGTAAAAAAAATTTGCACCGAAAGGTTACCTTGAACCTTTCTAGGGTATCATGCATAGGGTCAATGCGGGATGTTATGACTGAAATTCTGTAGCCTACCCCATAATTAATGCATAATTATTACCTTTTTTTTTTTTGGTCAAAACGTGGAACCTACCTTGCAAACTCTAATATGCACACTAAAACCTACTCGACTATGTCAGTTGCACCGGGTAGCTCCACAGGTTCTCCTACATAATCCTAGTTGTAGAGACTGACAGAATTGTGGGGTTGTGATCCTTAGTTATATTGAACTTGTGATTTGTTTAATCTGTTATAGGGTTGGAGAAACAGCAATGTGCCTGGCCTTGAATAGACTGTATAGTACAGTGTTCTCTTTCTTTTCTCTTTGGGTTCTTAAGAATGTGCATCTCCAAAAGGTTCTCTTGAAGACGACTCGTCAAAAGGGTTGCTGGCTCCTTTGTAGCCATTACAATCTTTTACATCCATCATTACTGGTGGGTCTCTGGGCAATGGACCCCCTTCAATCTTTTTTTTTTTTTTGGGTCGAACCTTCAATCTGATTGAAGAGGCTCTACTTGCTAGTCTCTGTTCCAATGAGAGATGCTCTAGCTCCCTGATTTTGTGGGGGTGATGGGTCATTCTGAATTGCTCTGTTTTGCTGGATTTGATGAGCATATTAACTTGCTCTTGTTCGGCTTATGAGCAGGAAAGGGTCATTCCAAATAAAATGCCAATTCTATCCTATTCCAAATGGGAACTGGAGTTCCCATTCCATTCTATTCCCTCGCTTATTGTATTTTCGCCCTTGTCTGTTTTATCATGCCGAACTAGTTTTGTGAATTCTTCTGAGTCGCCAAAGAGATCTTTTTTTTTTTCTTTTTTTGGGATTGTTGTGCCATGCCTTGTTCTTTAAGTGTCATGGTATTTATCTTTTGCCTTCATACCTTGGAGCTAGCAACACCACAAAACTGCATGCGTCTGTCCTCAGAAGTTGGCAGCTGCTAGCCAATTACAGTCATCTCAATATATGGAAAATACTGACCAATCTGTGAAAAATTTGAGTAGGTGACTAGACACAATCCTTCCGGCAGACCTAATGTACGCTTCTCATTTTCCTCCTTTGATGTTTTGAGGTGATAGTGTCAAGCAAAAGATCTCAAACCAGAGGAGCGTACACTGTTCACACAACAAAAGAAAAATAAAAAGTAAAAAGGACGAACCATCATATGTGCTAAATGCCAATGCAGCTGCTAGAGCTTGGTGGTGGCTTTTATCATCATCCCAAATCAATAGATCTAGCTTAAAGACTTATAGCAATATGAGTCTAAATCAGAGGACAAAGGACTTCACTTTCTATTTTTTATTAGATAGTCAGATGTTATTCATAAAAGATGATGAAGCTAGTCAGCTTTAGCTCTTGGTTCCAGTAAAAGATAGGGTCCTAGAAGGAGAAATCGTTCCAACTACCCTGTCAACTATACAAGTTGATATTTGTATACAAACTGCACAGGTCACCGTGCATGTTTTATTTGCTTCCGTGATTCCTCATTTTGATTTCTTTGAACCTTCTGATGTTAAGTTGGTGTTGTAATGAATGGATAGTATCTTGACATTCTCTTTTGGTTGTGCCGACTGTAGAGCAGAGCTGTTACTTGCACAGAAAGATTCTGAACTTGATGAATATGCATATTTTTTTTCCTTGATAATGTTCTTGTCCTATGGATTCGAGGAGTCTAGGTGTCATCCCTGATTGTCAAACCCGCCCCTCTACCTTTTGCCCGGTGGCCCGGTGGAAATGCGTTGACAAAGCAAGCACCAAAAATTCTGTCCAAAGTGTCCCTGTGTTTTGTCATTGCTTTTCTATCTTCAGGGTTGTATTATAGGTGTTAAAAACTCTTGTTCTTTAAGATCTGACTGCTTTGAGTAGTGATGTTTGGCCTTTGTTCTTATTGCTGCCTGAGTTCTGAAAGACCCTAACCTTGAGGAGAAAGAAGAATAAATTTAGCTCACATCCATGTTAATAGACATTTCAATTACAGTACAAGCCGTTCTCTAACCCACTAATGAGTCTATCCAATATTATTTGGTACATACAATCTTGACTTTCAACCGATGCATGTGGTCCATCCGTAATTTCCTTAACTGCACCCTTTAATGTCTGATCACATGTCTCTGATCACCATTGTCAACTCTCTCTCTCTCTCTCTCTCTCTCTCGCACGTGCGCACACACATCTGAATGGTGTGCAGCTCCTGCATAAGGAGGATTAATCCGATAATAACAAAGAGAAAAGAAAACATAAACCTGTAATCAATCTACACAAAAAGACAATTGTCAAAAGACAAGGATGATTAATCTAATAAAGAACCCATTCTGGAGTTAAATCCAAACCCAGGAATCCAGCAAAAGTACTTAAACCAGGGAAAGTGACAAACTACCTCAACTGATTTGTCTCTATTGGTTAAAAGAGTTCATAGAAAAGAGGGTCACAAATGTTATGATACTTGGGGCGGAGCAGAAAACCAGGAACAAGACAGGTACCTGTCTTAAATTCAAACAGTGCAAAAGATCCGAGAAACTATTCTATTATTTACTTAAGCATGCTCTCGAAACAATAATCTGTTTTTTTAGGTGGATATGATTTACAGAAGGGTCTTCCTTACAAGTGAAGAGTGACATTTTCTGCGGACGTGGGGCACATTTTTTGAGTCCTACTCAGATACGCTATACCAATTTGAAATTAGCCTCTTTGCATTTTGTCTGTCATCACGACATCTTTGTTTGCCTCATTATTTTGCAATAAACAGTGACAATTAAAAAATAAAAGCATCAACAATGTGGGGTCAGCAAGGTGGTTCTGCTTTTACATTTAACTTTATCAGGAGCCTTTTTTCTAATATCTTCTTTCTGTGAGCAGAGTCCGCTACTAACTAAACAAAATCAGTCAGTACAGCTTCTGATTATGAGTGCCAATCCTAAATTCAAAAGGCTTATTATTTTATGTTTAAGATAGCTTCCGATCAATGATTTAGAATATGGTCCCAAACATCAAAAGCTATCGATGATATCATATTCACTTCCCTGCCTTGTGATGAATTTTGCCTGTAGTGGGGGAGATGGTGCTTGCTCACATCGCATAAGCTTTCCAAGTATTTCCTTTTGGTGTCCAAAGGCAAGAAAAGAAAGAGACAGGAGTCCTGCAACAGCAATAACTATAAAAACAATGAGTCAAGACAAAGTGAAATACGCATTGAGTGGAAAACACCACGAGAGAATCCATCAGGACAAGTCCCACAATTCCATATATTATGTGGAAGCACTAAAACAAAGTTCCTGATCTCTCTCTCTCTCTCTCTCTCTCTCCCCCCTTCCTCCCACCTTTATTAGATGCACATTTCTTCCCTCTGACAAACCACTATATCTGTGTACTGTTCCACTTATCCTAGAGTGCAATTTGAGCCATCTGCAATGGACATGAACCTTCTGTCTCCTGACCATGCAGATGATGACTACATCGACATGGATACTAAGGCTGGGTTTGGCCATTAGCGAAATATCCGTTTCACAGCTTCCTGGTGTACCGAGTGCTGTTTGGACTGTGAAGAAGAATGTAATTGACGAGTTTGATGCGTACATTGTTGTGTCATTTGCGAATGCAACTCTTGTGCTTTCAATTGGTGAGACAGTTGAAGAAGTAAGTGACAGTGGGTTTCTTGATACTACACCGTCCCTTGCAGTGTCCCTCATTGGCGATGATTCTTTAATGCAAGTTCACCCCAGCGGTATCAGACATATCAGGGAAGATGGTCGTATTAATGAATGGAGAACTCCTGGCAAGAGGACTATAGTGAAGGTTGGTTCTAACAGACTACAAGTGGTGGTTGCTCTCAGTGGAGGCAAGCTTATATACTTTGAGGTGGATATAATTGGTCAGTTAATGGAGGTAGAGAAGCATGAAATGTCTGGAGATGTGGCTTGCTTGGACATTGCCCCTGTACCAGAAGGAAGGCAAAGATCTCGTTTTCTTGCAGTTGGTTCATATGACAACACTATTCGGATCTTGTCTTTGGATCCAGATGATTGAATGCAGATTTTGAGCGTACAGAGAGTTTCTGCAGCTCCAGAATCTCCTCTTTCTTGAAGTCCAGGCATCAATTGGTGGGGAGGATGGCGCCGATCATCCTGCCAGTCTTTTCCTCAATGCTGGTTTAAGTAATGGAGTTCTGTTTAGGACAGTTGTTGACATGGTGACTGGTCAGCGGTTCGACTCTCGCTCTAGATTTTTAGGACTGAGAGCCCCAAAGCTCTTTTCTATTGTCATCCGAGGCAGGCGCGCTATGCTTTGCTTGTCTAGTCGTCCATGGCTAGGTTATATCCATCAGGGACATTTTCTTTTGACACCTCTTTCTTATGAGGCTCTTGAATATGCTGCTTCATTTATCTGACCAATGTGCTGAAGGTGTGGTTGCGGTCGCTGGGGAACTATTGAGAGGTTGGGAGAAACATTTAATGAGACGGCAATTCCTTTGAGGTACACTCCTAGAAAGTTTGTATTTCCTGAAAGGAAGTCCCTGATAATCATTGAAAGCGATCCAGGGGCATTCACTGCAGAAGAGCGTGAAGCCGGGAAAAAGGAATTCTTTGAGGCTGCTGGCATGGGTGAAAATGGAAATAATGACGGTGAACAGATGGAGAATGGTGGTGATGATGAGGACAAGAATGATCCTCTGTCTGATGAACAGTATGGTTATCCAAAGGCAGAGTCTGACAAGTGGGTTTCTTGCATCAGAGTGCTTGACCCAAAGACATCAATCACAACCTGTCTTTTGGAACTTCAGGGCAATGATGCTGCATATAGTGCATGCACCGTGAACTTCCGTGAGAAAGAGTATGGAACATTGTTGGCTGTTTGGTATGGCAAAAGGATTGGAGTTCTGGCCAAAAAGAAGTTTGGCTTCTGGATTCATTCATATTTATAGGTTTGTGGATGATGGGAGAGCCCTCGAACTTTTGCACAAGACGCAAGTTGAAGGTGTTCCTCTAGCTTTATGTCAGTTCCAGGGAAGGTTACTTGCCGGGATAGGCCCAGTCCTGAGGCTCTATGATTTGGGAAAGAGAAGATTGCTTAGAAAATGCGAGAATAAGCCGTTACCCAACAGGATTATGTCCATTCAAACCTACTGTGATCGAATTTATGGGGGAGATATACAAGAGGTATGTCTTACAGCAAATTATGCCGATCTTTCTTTAATTCAAAAGAACTATAATCTCCTATAGCTTGCATATGTATGTAATATATTCTTCCAGACTGATTTTTCTGCAATTGAAAATTTATCTTGTCCATAAATTCTTCTCATAGCCGGTCTTATTGTTTGGAAATGTCCGTATGACATGTTTTGTGGTTTGGGTTGTCATCTTAGAGAATTTTCCCATCTCTCACATCTGAATATATGTCTGGCTCTTCACTTTCGCAGTCTTTCCTTTAGTGCAAGTACCGACGAGATGAGAACCAACTATATGTATTTGCTGATGATTCCGTGCCAAGATGGGTTACGGCAGCACACCACATTGATTTTGACACTATGGCAGGAGCAGACAAATTGGGCAATGTTTATTTTGTCCGTTTACCCCAGGATGTCTCTGAAGAGATTGAAGAGGATCCAACTGGTGGGAAGATAAAATGGGAATAGGGGAAGTTGAATGGAGCGCCAAATAAAGTAGAGGAGATAGTGCAGTTTCATGTTGGTGATGTGGTCGCTTGCAGAAGGCATCCCTGATTCCTGGTGGTGGAGATTCTGTGATCCACGGGACAGTAATGGGATGCTTAGGAGCGTTACTTCCGTTTACATCCCGTGATGACGTTGATTTCTTCTCGCACTTGGAGATGCATTTGAGGCAGTAATTCCTCCCCTTGTGTGGCAGAGATCACATGGCTTACAGATCTGCTTATTTTCCTGTCAAGGTGAGTGCTGCTGCCTATTCTTGCAATTAGTGATCCTTATATAAATGTCCTTCTATATATTTTTAATTTAGTTTTGTTTGTATGCATTAATCTTTTGTTGTAATAATGTAAAATTATCGGTAGATCATTTATGTTATCACATGTAATACAATATGGAAAAGTAATACTTAATGATGATAGAAGTAATGGGATTAAATTATCAAGTTTCTCGAAAAGGTTAAAATTTTCATTTCGGAATGGGCAAAATTAAAATTTTTGTGTGCTACATCAACATATAATCTAATAGGAACGCATAACATGAGAAGACATGTATTTTGAATACGCAACATGTGTTACATTTTTGTCTTTGATCAGTAGATTTCAACAAACTCAGTCAATATTAAAGAAAAATATGATATTAAAAGAATCTTTTTGCTGAAAAAAGAATTACACAGAAAATTCAATTTTTCCGCAGCAATGCGCGACCCAGTTCTAGTATACATTATATAAATTTTCTTCGTAACTTTTTGGCGTTTGAAAGGTTTATCTGGAAAGTGGCTGTGGTTGTGATTTTAAACTTTCTTGATTCTCTCTCTCTTCGTGAGACCCAACTCCATTATCTTGCCAATCATCGAACAACTTGTCCATCAATATGGCAAACTGTTTTTATTGATTCATCTGGTGGTATTTGCTGAGTGGCCCAAGTATTCGCGTTTGAGTCGAAGTTAGGTGAGTTTACAAACTCGGGCCTAAAATGTCAAGTTTTTATATTAAGATTCAGAAAGAGAAGACCCTAATTACCAGACGACTCCCCATGCCATACCCATGTTCAAATTTTGGACCCTTTTGAGGCAATTCCATGTCTTTGATTTTTTAAATTAGGCAAGTCAGACACATATATCTTTATCCGATACTCATACCCAATCCAAAGTAACACTACAGGTTTACTGCTAAATGTGTAGATGTCATATGAAGAAGCTTTGTCATGTTAGTGTGATTATGATATGTACTTGTGCTGACTGATGTTATTTTATTGGGATGGTTTCTAAATTGTATAGATATTGTGATCGGATTCTATGGTTGTGAGCTTTACTATTTGATGTGGACTGCTGCTAAAGATTGAGCTCCTTTTTCAGGAAGTGATCGACGGCAATTTATGTGAGCAGTTTCCAACCCTGCCTATGGATATGCAAAGAAAAATAGCCGATGAATTGGATAGAACACCGGCAGAGATCCTAAAGAAATTGGAAGAAGTGAGAAACAAGATCATATGAAAAGTGGAGATAGTCAGCTTGAAGGTGCATCCTCATCCTGCTATATCTGTGTATTGTTTGCGCATGGACATGTTTATTCAACTCTTAACCGTTTGTCTTCGTCCTGTTTTGCACAACTTGCTGCCACCAGCCTGTTTCTTTTGTCCTCTTCTTTGTGCAACTGCCTGCCCCTGGACTGTATATTTAAGATATGAGAAGCAAAGATTTCGGTTTTCAGGATTTGTGAAAGCTTATGCTATTATGGCATTCTCCCTGCTGTTGGGATTTTAGAACTCTTTTTTGTTGATTATGTTGCCCAGGCCTTGAGTTCCTGCCTTAACAGACTATCTTTTGCTAGCGGCTCTTTTGGAAGTGTTTTCCTTGTGCTGGATTCCATTGACCATAGATACTAATTAGTAGCATCAACGTTGTATGCTCAGGTCACCATTCTAGGTCCTTCCACATGGATTGGCTTGTGTGACGTTGATATTACGCCTGGACGCGACAGGTATGGAATTGGCTTTTGGTGTAAAGGATGCTGCAGCAACGAGGGGGTATGAATGGTCAAATTGCTCGGGGAGTTTAAAGTTCCCTGTTCTTACATCTCTCGTTGCTGTTAAATGGCTGGTTAGCGGATCTGGCTTCTGATGTAGTACTTCTCCCACTCTCTCCCCTCTGTGTGTAGCAATATATTTAACCTCTGGCTTAGGTTCCCTTCTCGCAAGAAGATGCTTGTATCTCGAGTCGACATGAAGTTTTAACTGGCAAGGCCCCTTTTGTTAAGCTTTTGTAAGAGATCCAGAAATGAAATCCGAATCCTGTTGACGAAGCAGCTAAATCTAGATGTGCGATTCATCTTCACTTTGATGATGTGAAAGGATTGCTATTTTCCCCCTCTTGTTTTCCTTATGTTTTCTTTGGTCGTGTTCCACTGCTCGATTGGCTATCTCGCAGATGTTCTCAGAGAGTTATAATCCAGGACATTGTTCTTCCCTTTGTATACTAAATCTGTGCAGTAAGCAAATTGCCCGGGCTATTTACGTATAAAACATAAAGTAAATACAATTCGGAAAGCAAACTACACACTATGATCGCTCAAATATCACTATCGCTTGAACCCAATCATGGAGGACAAGGATGAGCAAAGAACTCTCTGTTCTCTCTTCATGTATAATCAAATAATTCTCCTCTCCCTTCCCCCATTATTTGGCCTTCACGGTGCCGTCGTCCTCTGCACTTTTCTGCTCTCTCTATACTCGAGCTTCCAAGAGCGGTCCGCTCGTCGATCCATCCGATGATGTCGGCGAACATGATGTCGATGTTGCTGGGCAGCTCCTCGTAGAGGAGGCCGTGCCACATCCCGGAGTACAACTTGAACGTCTTGTCCTCGCTTGAAGCCACCTCGTACAGGAGCTGGCTGACCGCCTTGTCTGTCACTCTGTCCTCTCCTCTGTGCCGGACTAGGAACGGCAACGAAACCTGCTCATAATCATTGGAAGAAACCAATGAGCAAAAACGCTTCTCTCCTCAAAAAACCCCAGAAGTACACGATGAAGTTGCAGAGAAAGATGTACCTCGTCGAGCCGCTTCTCTAAGTCCGTGCTGACCGTATGATGAGAGGCGTTTATTTCCCGCAAAAGGATTTTTGGAACGCTAACAAGGGCCACCATCCTTCCTGGGGATGGCAAAACTTATTGGCAGGTAGAGAGGTGATTGAACCCGAAATGACTTTGCTTATGGGAGACGAAATGAGTATTAACATTAGGGAGGACAAATGGATACCACTAGGTAGAATTGGGGGTCCGGTGAACCATAACGTCCCCCAACTTGTTGTAGAGTTGATAAACCAGGAAACCAAAGAGTGTAACACCCTGAAGCTAGTCGAACTTTTCAATGAGGATGTAGTGAAAGAGATTTTATCTATCTCTCTCAGTCCTAACCCAACGGCAGACAAGTTGATCTGGACAGGTAACAAGGCAGGTTTGTACTCGGTTAAGAGTGGATATAATAGCCTGTGCTCCCTAGGAAATTCTCCTAACGCCAACTAGGCGTCACCATCATACCAGCCTCCCAGAATATTGTGGACAATAATATGGCAGCTTCACAGCTACCCAAAGATACAGTTTGTTGTTGTATCAAGGCTGCACTATCTACTTTCTATTTAGTCAGTTTGCTGATGTCCTATTATCTAGGGGTTAATTAGTTGTGGTTTTACTTGGTCAGTCCTATTTTGTAGGAGTGTTTAGCTGCATGTTTTCTTTAACTGCTCTGTTAGTTTGTTGCTGGTTTTGTGGACCAAGCAAGTTGTTAGTTAGTGGGCAAAGTGTAGTTAGTGGGCAACGTGTAGTTAGTGGAAAAGCTTTAGTATGTATTTAAGCAATCTCAGTTTTCTGAATAGAAATAGAAGTTCCCTTCCAATACATTCTGTCTTGCTGCAAAATACAGATTTTGCTGTCAATTCTCCTTCGGTTCTTTAAAAAAAACAACATTGGTATCAGAGCCTTCTTGATCTTCAGGGGCTGTGAGTGACTTGTGAGATTGATTGAGAGGTGTGTCTGCATCCATAGAAGCCGAAGACAAAATGGAGGCGGGATCGAGTGGTTTTTCAAGAATGGCTCCACCAAGTTTGATGGAGAAAATTATCAAGCCCGGGCGTGAGAATGCGAGCCTATCTAGAGGGTTGTGATTTTTGGGAAGCTGTGGAACAAGATTATGAAGTTGTTCCCCTTCCTGACAATCCAACCATTAATCAAATCAAGTATCACAAGGAGAGGACAACAAGGAAAGCAAAGGCAAAGTCTTGTTTATATGCTGCTGTCTCACCTGCCATTTTCAGTAGAATTATGGCTTGTGAATCAGCCAAAGCTATCTGGGACTTCCTCAAAGCTGAGTATCAAGGAGATGAAAGGATCAGAAGCATGAAGGGGCTAAATCTGATCACAGAATTTGAGAGATTGCAGATGAAGGAGTCTGAGACAATTAAGGAGTATTCTGATAAGTTGATAAGCATTGCAAATCAGGCAAGAGTTCTAGGCACTGACCTCTCTGATAATAGGCTAGTGCAGAAGATTCTTGTCTCCTTGCCTGAAAGATTTGAGGCAACCATTGCCTCTTTGGAGAATACCAAGGATTTGTCTCAGATCAAGTTGGCAGAATTGCTAAGTGCTCTGCAAGCACAAGAGCAGAGGAGGTTAATGAGGCTGGAAGGAAGTACAGAAGGAGCTTTGCAGGCCAAAGAACAGCAAAATGTAGGAGGGAAAAGCAAGAAGTGGAAAGGGAAGAAAGGGAATGGCAGTAGTGGTTCAGAAGCTGCTGCAGGAGAGAACAATGCAGGCAACTCCAAGAACAATTGGAGAAGGTATCCCTCATGTCAGCACTGTGGAAAACAGAATCATCCACACTTTAGGTGTTGGAAGAGGCCAGATGTAAGGTGCAGAAAATGTCATAAACATGGACACATTGAGAAGTTCTGCAAAGAGAAGGGAGATCAGCAGCAAGGTGAAGCACATGCTGCAGTCCAGCAAGAGGTAGATCAACTGTTTGTTGCCTCTTGTTTCTCCTCTAGTACTCCATGTGACAGTTGGCTTGTTGATAGTGGTTGCACAAACCACATGACAAGTGATGAAAAGCTATTTATAGACCTTGACAAGTCATTGAAGTCAAGAGTGAGAATTGGGAATGGGGAGTACTTAGACGTGAAAGGTAAAGGGACTGTAGCAATAGAGAGTTGTGCTGGAATTAAGCTGGTTTCTGATGTGATGTATGTGCCTGAGATTGATCAGAATTTGCTGAGTGTGGGGCAGTTGGTAGAAAAAGGATTTAAGGTGATATTTGAAGAGGGGAAGTGTTTGATCTTTGACTCCAGTGGTCAGGAGCTGTTCAAGATAAAGATGCAACAGAAGAGTTTTTCTCTAAATCCTCTCGAGAAGGAGCAGGTGGCATTCAAGTGTCAGGCCATCGATTCAGAGATATGGCACAAGAGGTTGGGCCACTTTCATCACAAAGGCTTGCTGTTCATGCAGAAGAATGAAATGGCAACCGGGTTACCAAGCCTGGAGGAGCAGATCACAAGGTGCAAGGCTTGTTTGGGGCAAGCGAGACAAGACTTCCCTTCAAGGAATCCACTTGGAGAGCTACGGAGAAGCCGCACCGATTCATACGAGATCTCTGTGGTCCACAAGTGACTCCTTCACTAAATGGCAGCAGGTATTTCATTATTTTCATTGATGATTATACTAGAATGTGCTGGATTTACTTCATGAAGCAAAAGTCAGAAGTTGCTGAGGTATTTCTAAAGTTTAAGAGATGGGTTGAGAACCAAAGTGGCTGTAAGATTCAGGTCATCAGATCTGATAATAGAACAGAATACACTTCACAGACATTCAACTCTTTCTGTGAAGAGGCTGGAATTGAGCATCAGCTTACTGCTCCTTACTCTCCACAGCAAAATGGAGTTAGTGAGAGGAAGAATAGAACCATTATGGAGATGACTAGGTGTCTGCTGCATGAGAAAAATCTACCAAAAGAATTTTGGTCAGAAGCAGCAAACACAACAGTTTTTCTGCTGAATAAATTGCCTACAAGGGTATTGGAGAAGAAGACACCCTTTGAAGCTTGGTTTGGTGTCAAGCCAATTCTAAGAAATTTGAAGGTGTTTGGCTGTCTATGTTTTTCTCATATTCCGCAGGTCAAGAGAGACAAGCTGGGAGAGAAAGCTGAACCTGGGATCTTTGTTGGCTACAGTTTAGTGTCAAAAGCCTATAGGATCTATCAACCACAGACAGGGAAGGTGATCACTAGCAGGGATGTTCAGTTCCTAGAAGATGAGCAATGGGATTGGACAGATGAGCCACAAGGCAAGCACAAGGAGGTCTCACTGGAACCTGACGAGCTGGTGGATGATGTTCCAGTTAGAGGTACCAAATCTCTGACTGATATATATCAGAGGTGTAGTGTGGCTGTTTTGGAACCTGCAGGTTATGAGGAAGCTAAAAGTGATCAGAGGTGGATGAATGCAATGAAGGAAGAGTTGGCTATGATAGAAAAAACCAGACATGGGAGCTAGTGGAGAGGCCTGAAGACAGAAAGGTAATTGGAGTAAAATGGGTTTTTAGGACCAAACTCAATCCTAATGGCTCAGTGAATAAGCATAAGGCCAGGTTGGTGGTGAAGGGATATGCACAGGTTTGGGGAGTCGATTTCTCAGAAAACTTTGCTCCTGTGGCAAGACTGGATACAATTAGAATGACTCTTGCTTTGGCAGCTCAACAAGGATGGAAGGTGTATCAGTTAGATGTGCAATCTGCATTTTTGAATGGAGTGTTGCAGGAGGAGATTTAGGTTGAGCAGCCAGAAGGCTTTGTCGCACCAGGCCAGGAGGAGAAAGTTTATTTGCTAAGAAAGGCTCTCTATGGCTTGAGGCAAGCTCCAAGAGCATGGTACAGTAAGATGGATGAGCACTTACTAGGCCTGGGTTTCAAGAAAAGCCTCAGTGAATCCACTCTATATGTCAAGAAGTTAGTATCTGACTTAGTGGTGGTGTCTCTTTATGTGGATGATATGCTGGTGACAGGGAGTAATAGTGCTCAAATTACTGCATTTAAGCAAGAGATGATGAAGATGTTTGAAATGACTGATCTTGGTGAGATGTCGTATTTTCTGGGGATGGAGGTTAGGCAGACTCAGAATGAAGTTTTTATCTGTCAGAAGAAGTACATGAAGGAGATCCTGAAGAGATTCAATGTGGAGGAGTGCAAGAGTGTGAGTACTCCAACGGGTCAGAAGGAAAAGCTTCAGAAGAAGGACGGATCAGAACCTGCAGATGAAAGAGTTTATAGAAGTTTGATTGGCTGTCTTATGTATCTCACTACAACTAGGCCAGACATCATGTTTACTGTAAGTGTCTTGTCTAGATTCCTTAATTGTGCAAGTGAGTTGCATATGGTAGCTGCAAAGAGGGTGTTGAGGTACTTGAAAGGTACTCTTTCATATGGAAATAAGTTCTGCAAAATTCAGAAGTTTAAGTTGCAGGGGTATTATGATAGTGACTGGGCAGGATCAGTGGATGATATGAGAAGCACTTCAGGGTATTGCTTTACATTTGGGTCGGCATGTTTTTCCTGGTGTTCAAAGAAGCGGGAAATAGTGGCTCAATCAACTGCAGGCGAGTTCATTGCGGCTCTTACGCACTGTGAATCAAGCATTATGGATAAAGAAGTTGATGGATGATCTGCATTTGGAGTAAGAAGAAGGCATAGCAGTATTTGTGGATAATCAAGCTACTATGGCCATTTAACAGAATCCAGTATTTCATGAAAGAACAAAGCATTTTAAGGTCAAGTATTACTTCTTGAGAGAAGTGCGGAAAGCGGAGAGGTGAAGCGGTGTACTTGTAGTTCGAAAAACCAAATTGCGGATATATTCACTAAGTCATTTCATGTTGGTCGATTTGAACTTCTCAGGGCAAAGCTAGGAGTGTGCAGCACTTGATCCAGGAGGAGAGTGTTGTTGTATCAAGGCTGCACTATCTACTTTCTATTTAGTCAGTTTGCTGATGTCTTATTATCTAGGGGTTAATTAGTTGTGGTTTTACTTGGTCAGTCCTATTTTGTAGGAGTGTTTAGCTGCATGTTTTCTTTAACTGCTCTGTTAGTTTGTTGCTGGTTTTGTGGACCAAGCAAGTTGTTAGTTAGTGGGCAAAGTGTAGTTAGTGGGCAACGTGTAGTTAGTGGAAAAGCTTTAGTATGTATTTAAGCAATCTCAGTTTTCTGAATAGAAATAGAAGTTCCCTTCCAATACATTCTGTCTTGCTGCAAAATACAGATTTTGCTGTCAATTCTCCTTCGGTTCTTTAAAAAAACAACACAGTTCTTCCTTTGGAGTACTAGCAACAATGCATTATCAACTAAGGAAAACCTATTCAGAAGGAAAATGGTTCATGACCCGCTTTGCCCGGTTTGCCATCTAGCCCCGGAAACTCCTGAACACCTACTCATCCTATGCGACTGGACAAAACACATCCGGTCAAATCCTCGACTAAACTGTGATACTTCCCCAGCAACAGTAACGAGAATCGACAAGTGGGTTTTAGAGAACTTATTTGCCCGAGCTGACCCATCCTCGAGAGTCATCTTCACCGGTGCCCTATGGTCAATTTGGAATGGGAGATCTCGATGTGTGCTCATTACTGAAGATGAGTTCGGTGGTCGGCCGCTGATTTTGATTTGAAGAAGTCCCAGATCTACTCTTTAAACGTGTGACTCATAATCTTGTTCTAATGATTCATCTTCTCATATGGAATTTGTTTCATAGTTTTGATTTGCAGTTGGACTGTGTATCTCTATTGTATATCCATGGAAATGAATCAAATATTTCTTTGACAAAAAAACCATTTTTGACAAAAAATGCACTCTCTCTCTAGCTCTCACTCTCTCTCTTTCCCGAATTCTCTCTCTCTTGGCCAGTTCACTTTTAACCCTTGCCGGCCGGTCGTCAGCCGTATTTCGATGATCCTCTCGTGCACCATCAACCTCAGAGAGTCCCTGAGTTCGTGGTGGTTGGCTTGCAAGTTGAAGATTGCCGGAGTGCCACAAAAACAGTGATCTTCATCGTGGTCGAGAGGACGATCTCCACACCGGTATCCTGTCCAACAAGTTCTAGCCGCTACTCAGCCATCCGGCGACTTCCCCTGGCGATCTGAGCCTTTAGATCAACTTCCACAACTTTTCCATGATGACGACATCGCCAAAGCTTAACCAAAGCTTCATCGAGCTTCTTTACTTGATTGATTTTTTGGTGATTGTTCAATCGAGTTTACTATAATCAATTCTTACATCGATTTCCATTTCATTGATTCAAAACTTGAGGTGATTATGGTGGCCAATTAGCTCAATCGTACATCAAGGAGTCCATAAACAAGGTTAGTACCTGAAAACTTAGGATGAACTTCGTGTGGCCAATTGCATGTAAGAAGATTATGCAGGCCAATTGTGATTATCTGAAATTAAGATGTTGAGTTGCTGAATGGAGGCTAGATTGATGATTTTTTAGTAAATCATGCGTAGGAATCAATGGTGAATCAATGGTGAATCAATGAATGTTTATATGTTCTATATTTTTTAAGTCTAGTGAGCCAGTGAGCTTAATTGAGTGATTTGACCTATTCTTCAACTTTTTCTAATTTTATGTGTTCAGATTTTGAAAAAATGTTCTTTATGAAAGTTATATCCAACATTTAAAGCTTTACACTCATATAAATTTCATAAAATTCCGAAGTTGTTTGATTGGTGCGATGCATGCATCAAAAAGACGATCATATTTCGTTACTGATCTATTTTTCTGATGCCTGCACTGGCTTATTTTGTTTTGCTAATTACACGTAGTTTGAGTCCTTTGGTGCTTCACAAGGTTTGGACCAAAAGTTGTGTCCATTGGGACTACCTAAGGTTTGGATCAAATTTGTGTCCATTCGGATATCGCCAGGTTTGGACCAAAATTTGTGTCCATTCGGACTTCGTACATTTTGGACCAAAAGTTGTCTATTGGGACATGGCAAGGTTTGACCAAAATTTATGTCCATTTGTACTTTGCAAGTTTTCGATCAAAAGTTGTGTCCATTGGTACTTCGCAAGGCTTAGACCAAAATTTGTGTCCATTGGTACTTCGCAAGACTTAGACCAAAATTTGTGTCCATTCGGACTTCACAAGGTTTGGACCAAAATGTGTGTCCAATTGGACTTCACAAGTTTTCGACCAAAAGTTGTGTTCATTGGTACTTTGCAAGGTTTGGACCAAAATTTGTGTCCATTCGGACTTCGTAAGTTTTGGACCAAAAGTTTCATCCATTGGTACTTCCCAAGGTTTGGACCAAAAGTTGTGTCCATTGGGACTTTCTAAGTTTTGGATCAAAATTTAGATATCAACACAACTTTGTAGATAATTTGCTTTGGAAGTAGAAACATTGACATTGAACAAGTTTAGATAATATGATTCGTTGATAGTGGAAAAGCTGGATATCCAGATGAGAAAGAGAGGGAGCCATGGATGAGGTGGTGAGCCCTAGTCTTCAATTGGATGCCTCGCTTAAGGATTGCTAAGGACGCACGATTCTAGTTCTTATGTCTTAATTTCTCTATATAAAGAGGTGAATTCTCAAATGTATGGATTCATAATTGAGTTTGATAATACCTGAGACTTAGGCGTGTATAACTTTTTGATAATTGTCTGTAAATAACCGTCAATAGAGGTCCATGTAAACCCACACTGTACGAATTGTAAAGGTTCGCCTAAAATCAATCACAAGAACGCTTATTATTCTTCATTTTCTATAATCTTCAGTATCTAGTATCACTTACACTGCCGGCAAGAACTGTTCCAGTATTCGTACTTTTAATTTCTCGCCATTTACTTTCCCGTTCAAAATTAACAAATGAACCCTGTCAACCTTTGTCATCCACTCAATTTACACTTCAAATTTCACTTTCTGGGGGGAAACGTTGCCAAATAAATAAAAAACCAATCACTCTCAAGGAAAATGATTTTCAAGGGAAGCGAATATTTTTCAACATAAGCCTTTTCACGAAACAAAGGCATGTTTTCGCACGCACGAGCATCTACCTCTCTCAAGGTTAGGCTTGGAATTTAACCCCGAAACAACCGGGAAGGCTCCATCGAAAGAGACTCAAATGTTGCACCTTTGGCATATTCCCCAATTCCCAAGGCAATGGCCGCTATTATGGAATTAACAACCTTCACGTGCATCAGATGGTTCAAACGGAGGCATCCATGAAACACGTAAGCCCTCCGCAATGACCAAACCACCCCTTGCTTAATCTTCCCCCTTCCTCGCCGATTTCACTCTAATCGAAGGGATAATTACGCAAATAGCTCCTGAACTTTGATCCAATGTGCAATGCGATCTCCAAACTTTTTATTTGTTCAATACGGTCCCCGAACTTTGGCGTAATTGCGCAATATGGTCATCGAACTGTTAATTTGTTTAATGTGATGTTTAGATTTTTGGTACATGTTTTACTTAATCATTGGGTTATATGAAAATATTAAATGTCATCTTTCTATTAATTCAAGTTTATGGATATTATTGAATAATTTCATATAATCCAGAGACTAGATTGAACATGTATCAAAAGTTCGGGGATTATACTGAGCAAAATAAAAGTTCGAGAATCGTTACATATTGAGTTAAAGTTTATGAATCATATTGAATAAATTAAAAGTTTATGGACCGTATATTATATATTTAACTAAATTTCAGGACTATTTGTGCTATTTTCCCACTCTCGAATATACCCCTCCGGAACGCCAAACTGCGCACAAACTCCACCAGTCCAGGCTTACCTATTTAATGCCTCGTGGCCATGGCGATCTCTGCCTTCTTCGTCCTCGAATTCTCCTGTTTATCCAACCAAGTCCGCCTCCCTTGTACCACGAAGCCTCCGAGAAAGTTCAATGACTGAATGAACAAGAGAACTCTCACCCGCATCGATAAAATCCTTTGAATTCGCAATCGACGAATTTTTCTGTTCTTCCTCTTTTGGATGTAGGGGAGGTTCTTGAAATTTGACTTGGTTTCCAGCTGCGAGTTTTCCCTTGCGCTCGCTTGTTGTTCGAGGCGCTAGTTGTCGTCGGATCTTGGGGGAATTTTTTGTTGGGTGAGTGCTCATGGGTCCTGATTCTTGTGCCTTGCCTTCGCTGATTTTGTTTGTTCGGTGGCAGCTTTTGATTGACTTGTTTGGCGCTCACGGCTCCGATTCTTGGCAATGTTTCGTGGGTCGGAGCCGTTCATTTATGCCGCGCGCCCTTTCGTTCTCGGGTAGATGTTATGCCGTTTGATGTTTCGTTTGGCTGCTGGGCATTGTCGGGTGAGGATTCTTGGGTCGGGACATTTATGTCTGGTCTTGAGGGCTGATTGAATCGGGCTTTGGGGGTTCTATCTTTCAAGATGAGCGCTTGAGCAGCCAAAAAAAATATTTCATATCCATGAGTAGATTGGTTTAGATTCTGATTAGTAGTTGATCATTGGGTTTTTACCTTTTGATGCTGTTGTGTGACTTGTATTTGTTCCTCTATTTGCCATTTGCTTGCAGGTGGACTCAAGGAACAGGCTTTTAGCCGGAGGCAGTTAGCCCGGAATCTTCTTTGTATCTGCTGTGTATTCATCGAAGTGATTTATGATATTTAAGAGGGATTGTTTGCTTGGAGAAGTCGTAACAGGATTGCTTGCTTGAAGAAATCGTAACAGGAACCGAGGATATAGCCTGTATAGTAAGCCCCAGGTATTTGGCGACGTTAGCTGCGGAGTGACCAAATGAATGTTGTGGGAAAAGTTGGTAGCCTCATTTCACAAGGCGTCTATTCTGTTGCCACCCCATTCCATCCTTTTGGTGGTGCTGTTGATATCATTGTTGTTCAGCAGCAAGATGGTAGTTTTAGAAGCACCCCTTGGTACGTTAGGTTTGGTAAATTTCAGGGAGTCCTAAAAGGGGCTGAAAAGATTGTTCGAATAGGTGTTAATGGTGTCGAAGCCAACTTTCATATGCTCCTTGATAATTCTGGTGAAGCTTATTTTGTGAGGGAGGTCGATTCGAGTAAAGAAAGTAGTAGCAATGGGTTTGGTAAGGAATCCGGTAATGTGGACATTGCATCGAATTATGACAGGAATTTTGATGACAGGAGCAAAAGTGTGGTTGGAATTTGCAGAATTGGGCACAGCGTCTCTGATTCTGGCACTATTCAGTTGCGAGATGAATTTGACTCCCCAGGACGACTTGATCGGTCAGAATCTGATGGGGGGAAATTTTATGATTTCCAAGATGAACAATCTTCCCAGGATGGTTCGGTCGACCTATCAGAATATGGGTCTAACCGATACGGAAGTTTGGATGGTGACAATTTCGCAGAGTCTCAATGTGCAAATTCAGAAGTGGTTTTATTCAGTGTGGATGGTCATGTACTGACAGCACCTCTCTCAGCATCTGAACAGGATACTGGTGATGTCGAACTTGATACGCCTCAGTTTCATCTCGGCCCCGGTGAAGGCACTGACTTTGTGGATGGCAGCGAGGAGTTTGGTTCAGGCGAAAATGCTTGGGCTTCTAACTACATTGGGAATATGAGCACATCAACTATTGAAGTTGTCCGCGTTATAAATAAGACTGATAGTGCTTCTGGCCGTTATCTTGAAGTTTATGATGGAGAAGGCAAACATGCTTCTGGGGATAAAGAGCCCCAAAATGCCAAAAATCATGAAGGAGACACTCTAAGTGATTTAGAAGATGCATATACAAGAATAAAGCAGGAAGATGTTTTTAAAAGCTGTTTAGAGCTATCAGAATTGGCAAATCAGAGTTTGGAGCCTGACATTACTAGTTCCTCAGCAGAGGCAGATAATTTGCTAGAGAAAGTCTCTCAGAGTCTTCCGGCAGTTGCTGAAACAGAAGATGACCAGAATATTGAGGCCCAAAACAATGACGACGTATCTCCATCTCCCTCTTTGACTACTGGGGCACCCACAGAATTAATATTTGATGTTGGACCGGTCAGCAATGAGACATCACACAAAGATATTATGGGTTCTGTCAGTATGGCTGACAGTTCTCTCTGTCTTCAAGAAATTGAGGTCGAAAAATGCAGTGCATCAGTGGTAGTTGAAACTATGGGAAATAGTCCAGAGGGTCCTCAACTAGTAGATGGTTGCAGTAAACTTGAGATTGTGGAATCTCCAGCAGAGGACTTGGGTGAAGGGTCAGAGAGTTCAGCTGATGGTGAATTACTCAACAGTTAGGTGTCTTTAACAGATCACCATCATAAATTTATTGTTTCTTGTTTGATCCTTAAAATGTTGCTCATTTTCGTTTTTACTTTTGCAGAACTTGAGATATCACTCTGTCGAAATGAAATCCGTGCTGGAATGGGTTTGGATGCAGCTGCTAAAGCATTCAATGCACACCGCATATATGCAGAGGAATTTCTTACTTCGATGACATCAATTGTGAAGAATGAAAATCTGGTAGTGAGATACAAAGACAGATATCTGTTGTGGGAAAAAGCTGCTCCTATTGTTCTAGGGGTAGCTACATTTGGTCTGGACATACCTGTGGAATTGAATGACACAATTCCTGTAGAACCAGAAGAGGCAGTGAAGCCCGTCGATGAAGATTCTGTACTTACTCCTACTTCCTCTGGACGTGGATGGAGACTCTGGCCTATTCCATTCAGAAGAGTCAAAACATTGCAGCATGAAAACAGTAATTCCTCAAATGAGGAAACATTCCTCGACTCCGAACCTGCTTCCCAAAATGTGGCCACAGAATCAACTTCTGTAGCAAATCAGGATGTCAAAGCTCCCCACAAGCAACTTTTAAGGACAAATGTTCCAACTAGTGAACAGATAGCATCTCTGAATCTAGAAGAAGGTCAAAATAAGATTACATTTGGTTTCTCTACCAGGGTTCTTGGGAAACAACAGGTATGCATAAGACACAGCATTTGGATTCTGTCCGCTAATTTCATGGTAGATTTCTTCTCCGATTGGTGATCTATCTATTGTTTGTAGGTTGATGCTCATATCTACTTGTGGAAGTGGAACGCAAAAATTGTGATCTCTGATGTTGATGGGACAATTACCAAGTAAGTCCTTTATACAAGCTAGAATATTGAAGTAGCTCTACTGCCTCTTGTTATTCGGTGTTGATATTTATGCTCCTCTTTGAATTTTTACTGGGCACTGCCATTTATTTTCATCCCGGGTTATGTTCTTGTAACTTTATTACAAAATTGTTTTTCTAATGAGACGGGTCATTCTTATGTCTCTTGGTTGCACTTGTTTCCTGTCAAATTTTCCTTCCATCATCAAGATGTACATAGTTAGGGTTTTTTGGTTCAGGCTACATAGTAAGTTAGGTATTACATATTATGTGCACAACAGACATGCCTTCTTCCTTATACTTAACTTTGGCGCTCCTATTATATAATCTGATGATTTATTTAAAGATCCCTTATTTCCCCTTTTAGAAAAGGAATTCTCGTATACTTGGAGTAAAGACTGGTTTGATCAAACAATGCAATAAGAAGGACATGCTCATTTGCTTCTTGGAGCTGTTGTCAAAGATTGACTGTAATATTGTCATTGCTGATTGTTTGACTTCAAGTTTATATCAGTTACATTTTAGACAGACTTACGAGTTTCCTTTCATAGGTCTGATGTTCTTGGTCAATTCATGCCTTTAGTCGGAAGAGATTGGACACAATCTGGAGTGGCCAGACTATTCTCTGCAATTAAGGTATGCTCATATGTTATTCGTCTGTCTTTCCAAGAAGCTATTCTTTTATTGTCTAATAACATCTGAAGTGGAGGGCATGGCCCTTCATGTTTTCATGGCCTTTTTGGTCATTTTAGTTATAGTAATTGATATTGTATTAAGGTTTTAAATTTAAGTAATGCATTTACAACCATGTTTCCCATTCCCAAAAATCGAAGTATTAGGACACGAGACCACAATGTATATTTACAATGAAAATTCATTTGAAATCCTAAATCTTTTATATTGAGTCCTAAATGTTTTAATTGGTGCAATATGTTAGAAAGTGTAATCCAAAAGTTTGAATTAATAAGTGGAAGGGGACTGCATGAATGTAAGGCCTATTGAAACCTCATACACAAGCAAATTGAGAAACTTTAACACTCCCTCTCACGTGCAAATCGGACTGAGAACGACATGGAATTGACGAGCAGGGAGCCTCATACACAGCACATAAGGATGGGACGGAACTTGGTTATGATACTACGTTAGAAGGTCCAATCCCATAGTTTAAATCTACATAATTATAAGGCCCATTGAAATCCTATAAATAAGCAATGTGGGATACTTTTTTGGAATCTTTTTTGAGAAAGCGCAATCAAGTTCTTTCGTTAAATTGTACCAGAATCGCCAGTGCGGCACTCGAAAATTGGCTATAGGACTGATTGCACTAATTGACGTGTTTAGGATTTGACTGCAGCTTTTAGTAAATATTAGAAACTTGACTGCACTAGTTAAAAGATCGAGAACTCGATTCTTGGTTGCAGTTCGTACATAAAGCTTAGAGTGGTCCACTTTTTCCTTATATAAAGGATTTATCTAAATGCTCCTTGTGTATAAGTTGAATATTACATGTGAAACAAAGGACATGGACATAACTAAATCAAACAAGCAATTGGAGGCAGGACCCAATAAGAAGACTATAGGCAGAATCATAAAAATCCGGGTGTCCACATTCACGAACTTGGCGTATGCTCTAATCTGATGTTAGACGATTGTTTTTCTCAAACTTAAATTGTTAGGATATGAGTCTACGATTTCTTAACATTATGACACTCACTGAAATCTTCTAACGTTCAGTATGTTGTAAGGCATACCCTCATGAAATAGTACCCTGAAGTCAGATCTTGTGTTAGGAAAGAATAGGGGGGAGTCAATGCTCTTTTGGAGAATGTATATGAAGGAACTCTGAAGATTCTTCGCTAGACAGGGTTCAAAAAGAATTATAAGTATGTCAACCACTTACTTTGGTATTCTCGAAAAAGTCATACCACCAAAAAGTGGTCGAGCTTTGCTAGAATGGACCACTTCTTTGGGTAGCTTATCACAGTAAATGGGGCTGTTCAGGTTGGATAATCCACTTGGCTGCAATGTTGGATAAGTTTTGTGCATTAAGATTTGATCATATTGCAACATCCAACGTTCCATTAATACTTGTGAAACATGGTGTTTTTCCTTTAATAATATCTCTAATGATTTGAGATTTGTCTCTGTGGCAGGAGAATGGGTATCAGCTACTCTTTTTGAGTGCCAGGGCAATTGTTCAGGCTTATCTAACCCGAAGTTTCCTGCTTAATCTTAAACAGGTAAAACATTAACCTGATTCATTTTCCTTTGTTTGTTGGTCCTGTGCTCCTGTTTTGGGAAAAGCAAGAGAGCAGGTTATTTGGGAGTCTGGTACAGCCTTAGTAGTTTACTACAAAAATGATTACAGGGTTAGCGTTGCACATCTTTTCTCACGAGAGTATGTTAGCTCTATTTGTGTTGACCTAGTTTCTTGGGCCTGGTTTCTAGAGCACATCAAGAAGGTCATTTCTTTTGCGACCTATTTCTGTCTTTTAAAGTCCACTATATCTTGACATTCCTTTAGCCGTTAAGATGTCTGTCTTTCAACATACAGAATTATGAAATTTAGACTGGTTTTGCTCTATTTCCTAGGATTCATGATGAGTTGATTCCACCTTGTACCTGGTTTATTTGTAGGATGGAAAAGCTTTACCGAATGGACCTGTTGTTATATCACCTGATGGATTATTTCCATCATTATATCGAGAAGGTGATGTTTATGTTTGAAATTCTCTGGTTGCCTTCAGTAAATTTTACCTGGTGATACATTCATGTTCATGATATCCAGATAACATTTACTTTTGTCATTGCATTCTACTTTTGGATCTTTGCTATTATGCTATCCACATCTTTTCAAAACAAATGACTCCGTGATCCTTGCCATTCTCCGAACTGTTTGCAGTTATTAGAAGAGCGCCACATGAATTCAAGATTGCATGTTTGGAGGTAAATATCAAATCAACCTCTTTTTTTTTTTTTAACATCAAATCAACCTCTTACTTGAAAGAAATAATTACTCTATGCTATAGAATTTCATTTCCCAGCATAATTTGCTTTACGAGTGGAAAGTTCTTGCTTTGCAGGATATAAAAGCACTTTTCCCTTCTGATCACAACCCATTTTATGCGGGTTTCGGGAACAGAGATACTGATGAATTGAGTTACAGGAAGATTGGGATCCCGAAGGGAAAAATTTTCATCATCAACCCCAAGGTAACCATCCTCCTGATCCCCCTAACTTTGACTGCTCATGCTGCATTCTCACTCGATAAGTTACCGTGCCTTGGCAGGGTGAGGTGGCCATTAGTCATCGCATCGATGTCAAGTCATACACATCCTTACATACCCTGGTCAATGACATGTTCCCCCCAACCTCATTAGTTGAGCAGGTAAAATACCTCTCTCTCTCTCTCTCTCTCTCTCTCTCTCTCTGCGTCATGTGCGTGGAGCTATTAGTGCTTTTGAGGTTTTCTTCGCTTCTAATAGAAATCTATGTGGTTCCAGGAAGATTATAATGCATGGAATTATTGGAGAGTCCCATTACCGGACATCGAAAGTTAGTTCGTAGCCTGTGTATATTTTTGCTATTTTTCACCAACGAGAGCACCGGCCAGAAGTCTCCTCCGAAGCCATCTGACTCCAATTCTTCCACTTCTCCTGCTTCTCACCTGGATAATGAGTCTTTTTCGCTGGGGCGAAGAGCCCACCATTGTATCGAGAATGGCCGCATTGTCCCTTGACAGTTGACACTGTAGTAGGTTACTGAATTATGCAGGGAAGCTTCTGGGTTACAAATGCTGATCCTATTGAAACTGTGAAATTGGCAGTTTTTCATCAATCACAACTGTTGATCCTATTCAAACCGTATAGCAGGTTAGTTTAAAAACACGTTGTAAAAGAGCTGATTCACGTTGTCGGTGGCTCAAGCTGTCGTGTCCAATCATGAGAAGTAGACAATTCTTGGCAACACTTTGCTTCCTAATGTTCTAATGCATCTGTTGGAGCGGGAAATGTAATCTAGAGCTCGATAGTTGATTTGTTCTTCTACAAATAGGGTTCGTAGTATTGTACTATTGTTCCTATTGAAGTCTATACAATCTTTACACTCTTGTCTATAAAGTTCAAAGATCCATATTTCCTTTCATGAAGTATTTATTTATTCATTTGCAAGTTTAGGACAATCTGGAATATGCTTCTTACACACTTTGATGCTTTAGCAGAGATTCATTTTGGACCAACTTGATATGTTTGAGTCTCATATTTGGACATAGTTAGTACCCACTTCTAAGCGGGAGCAACTCATGACAAGATTTGGGGAAAGTGGGACATCGTCTGAAGTTATTGCTTACGTTTTTGGAATTCGTTAGTAATGGAGATGAGCTTAACAGCGCGCAAGCAGTCGGACATCTTTAGTAATGCATGCAACTGTGCAACAGATGGAGCATTTGTGCAAGATAGAGATCTACAGAATCATTTCAAATCGGTGCTTATTCCCTGATCAACTTAGAATATACGTCGGATTCCATTTAATCATTTGTCGACAGTTTAATCTGCCATGTACATAGGCCCAGGATTATATGTATACGCCATTGCATTATATGATTTGATGTGTTGACTTTGATGGGTCTAATTTGTTTATATGTTTGGCTGACAGAGTACCCCGAAATTGCGATGAAGTAATCTTGTCGTGTCTATTGGGTTCAGGAGTTAGTTTCTTTATACCGTCATGAGTTTATGGCATGCTTCATTTATCATATAGATGAGCCAAAAGTTGTATTTAGGAGTCAAACCATACATGTACATCCCCTCAGATTTGTAAGCTTATCTAAATTTTACCATGAGACTTAACCGATTTTCTCAACTTCCTCTCTTTAGGAAACCTAAATATAAGTACGATCAGATTATTAAATAGAGCCACATATTTTCTCAACTTCCTTCTTTAGGAGCTTATCGAATGTTCACGATGCAAGAAGTCAACATCATAGGTGCCATGTATTCTATGAATGAGTCAAGATCTCTTGTATACCTGTGGGCCTAATTCTTTGAAAAACCCCACACTTTAGGTCTAGTCCCAATTTTTGCTCGGAACTTTTTTTTTCTCGAAAAAAACCTCAAACTTTATGTCCAATCCCAAATTTGCCCCGAACTTTTTTTTGTCTTGAAAAAAACACCAAATTTTAGGTTTAGTCCCAAATCTACCCTGATTTTTGTTTTGTACATATATCACAAACTTTCAATCTATTCTCAAATGTACTCTCGTAGTCTAGTCCCAACTTAACATGGCATTTCAAATCGATAATAAATCTACATCATCAATGTCACATGGAAAATTATTTCCAAAATAAAACCATTCTAAGGTATGAAAATTAGGGATGACTAACGGTGGTTTTTGGACAGAGGGCTAATGGGGGAAGATTGGGGACTAGAATAAAAATTAGTGATTTAACTTAGACAAAAAAAAAAAAGTTCGGCGTAGATTTTGGAACAGGATTTAAAGTTGAGGGGTTTTTTTTAGAAAAAAAAGTTCATGACAGATTTTGGACTGAACCTAAAGTTTGGGGTTTTTTAGGGAATTATGCCTAAACTTCTGATGTAGGTTAAAATCTCGAGCCCATTTTATTGGGCTCGGGCCATGAGGGGGCCCCAGTGAAGGCGAGCTTGAAGGGAGAGAGAGACTCAGGCAGTGCCCCGCACAACCCAAAGAGCAAAGTTTGGATCCAAGAGAGAGTTCGACCCATCTAGGCGAGGCGTGACCGGACCCTGGAGAGGATCAACCATGAGTAGGTCGTCTAAGGGCTTTTGTTCAAGTAAATAAGGATGATTGCCTAATCCGTTCCGCCTCTCTTGCATCTCTTATCTAAGAAGATTCTCTTTCTCATTACTCAAGCTTGCTATCGCTTTCTTTATTGTTCCTCATGACTGATTTAAACATTGGAGGGTCCCCTTTTGAGGTTTTCTTCACTTATGGGGTGCACTTCTAGACAATCTAGGAAAATTCATGAACAAGCGCAGGGAGAGGTCGACGAAAAAAGCACATCAATTACATTACCAAACTGATATGTTAATATAAAGGTTCATTTGTTTTAAGGAAAACTGTTTTTGGTAGGGATGATCGGTTTCTGGTCGGGTCCTGGGACCGGGAAACGGTCAGTTATTTAACATGAAGATGAAATAAAAAGAAAAAGGGCGAGAGATTTTGGCTTTTCTCCGGCAAAAAGAAAGAGGTCCAACTAATCAATCAGAGAAATATTTCATGCTTTTCTTTGGCAAATTTTGGCCAGCCTAATCGAAGGAATTAATTCCTCCAGACTACGTTAAAAGGGGCAACAAATGTGGTAGATCGAAAAGGGGAGCAAATGATTGTCTCCATTTTATTTTGGCAACAAATTGGCAAAGGAATCTGGTCGTGAGGGAAAGAGCATACGGAGAGGGATATTGTCTTTGGAAAATAATGGGAAAGGTCGGTCAACAAGGGAGGAATAAAAGGAAAATATGAATAAAAAGAAAGAAGGCGAGAGATTTAGGGCGTAAATGATAACCATTCTGTTTTTCTATTTTTTTGTTCCTGGGAACAGATTTGGAACAAAACTCCGTTTGGTAATGCAATTTCATTTTTTTATTTTTGGAACAAATTTTTAGTTCTGAAATAGGTTTGAAACAGAAATGAGAAGTAAAATTTTTCTACTTTTCTATTTTTGGAACAAAAATAAAAATAAAAATAAAAACTTTTCTCATCTCTCGCCCTCGCCTCCCACCGCTTGCCGCTGGCCGGCCAACGCCACCCCTCGTTGGTCACCTCCCCGCCACTGCCTCTCACCTCCGGCTGCACCCCCACGGCCGCCCGCCGCACCGAACAATAAAAAAAGCGCTCTTGACTAATTAAACATTGGAGGGTCCCCTCTTGAGATTTTCTTCCCTTGTGGGGTGCAGTTCTAGACAATCTAGGAAAATTCGTGGACAAGCACAAGGAGAGGTTGATGAAAATAGCGCATCAACTACATTACCAAACTGATATGTCAATTTAAGGGTTCGTTTGTTTTAAGGAAAACGATTTTTTGTAGGGGTGATCGGTTCTCGGTCTGGTCCGATTGATCCTGGGACCGGAAACTGGTAAGTTATTTAACATTAAGATGGAATTAAGAAAGAAAAAGGGCGAGAGATTTCGGCTTTTCTCTGGCAAGAAAAAAGAGGTCCAACCAATCAATCAGAGAAATCTTCAATGCTTTTCTCCGACAAATTTTGGCTAGCATAATCGAAGGAATTAATTCCCCTAGACTATGTAAAAAGGGGCAACAGATGTGGCAGTGATTGAAAAGGGAAGTAAAGGAGATAGTCTCCATTGTATTTTGGCAACAAATTGGCAAGGGAATCTGGTCGTGACGAAAAGAACATATAGAGAAGGATATTCTCTTTGGAAGATAACGGGAAATGTCGGTCAACAAGAGATGGAATAAAAGGAAAATATGAATAAAAAGAAAGAGGGTGAGATATTTATTAAGCACTAATGGGAGCGAAGCAAATATATACTTATATATATTTTGTCGGTACGGTTGCCTTTTGGAATCGGGAACTAGATCGTCCGGACACCGGTTCCACTTTTAAGAACCGGGAACCGAACCGGCACTCCTAGGAACTGGACCCAATCAGCTGGTTCGGTCCGGTCCGGGCTGTTCCCGGTCCGCCTTGCTCACCTCTTAGTTTTTGAGAAATTATTTTTTGACTTTTCGATATTTGGATAATGAAAAACTAATGGTTTTCATGGAAAAACGAGTTTCCCTTCTAACAAAATTGAAACTCTCCAAAGAAAATATAGCGACCGGATGGCCAAAAAGGAAAAGACACACAGACCCCCCCCCCCCCCCCCCCCCACCCCCGTTCTATCTCACTTGACCGGGGGCAATTTAGTAAAATGGACACCTTGGCGCGAAACCAAAGGCGCAAGACCCGAACTGAAAACGCCCATAAAACCACACCACGCGCCCGCGTCTGCGCAAAGAGGCTGACCGCTTCGTTTCCAGAATTCCTCGTGCACGACCTGTACACACACGCGAAGAGCCATTCCAACGAACGATCACCGCCTCGGAAAACCAAAGAAGAAATCAAAGAATCGTCCGGCATTCGCGTTCAAATTCGGCGCTCTCGATATCGGGGGCCGGAAGTCGGGAAAGAATCTCCGGCGGGCGGCGGGGTTCGGGCCCGTTTCGATCCGGTTTCGCGGCGATGTCGTGGATCAGGACGGCTGTCAACAAGGCGGTGGAGGTCGGGGGGCGGAACAACTTGACCAGGACCGTCCGCAGTTATGCCGACTCGGTGGTCCATCAAGCCGGCAACGCCGTCGCCGGAGGCGCCAAGCTCCTCCAGGATCGCATCGTAACTTCTCTCTGTTCCCTGCAAGTTTTTTTCCGTGTTCGGTATGATCGCAAGCGGCGAAATCGCCGGACTTTCGATGCCGCGGGCTTCCCGGAATTTTCGTCGTAGATTGATGGTTTTAGGAGAGTTCGCTGTTCTTGCAGACTCCGGTAGGGCCGGCCGATCTTCCTTAATGATATGGTCTCATGACTATAACGAGAATATTGTCTCGTGATCATGATGAAATCGGATCCTGTCGGTGACTTGAGTCGGGCTTCGCTGGGGTTAGTGGTGGTCGTAATTGAGCTTGCCGCAATGCGCTTGGTTTAGATCGATAACCAATTGTTTAACCGTGTCGTCGCTCTCGTCACTGTAGTTCATACAGCTGAATTAGCACTGGCGTTTAGTTATCGCTCCTTTACATCGAGTATTTAGACATTCGAATTTATCAAAGCAGGGGGGACGGAGTTTGCAAAGCTTTAAGCAGGCTGCGAAAACATTGGAGGAGATGTCTGTTTCCTGCAGAGGATTAGAGAGAATTCTACTATTACGGAGGTGGTTGGTGGCGCTCAAAGAAACTGAGAGAGATTCTGCGGGTTCGTCTGGAAATGACCACCGAGTGACCGAAAATAGCTCTGATGAGTTTAAGGACTCGCCTAGGAGACAAACGGTGGTGAGTCGACCTGGTTCTTCATCGCCATTTCTTCAGCAGCATGTACCTATTTCATATTAAATTTTCCAAGCTAATGTATAGGATGTAAGGGTAGTAGTGTGAGCTGACAGGTGAGTGGTGATACTTGTTTCTGTTTAGTTATTCTGGTCATTTACTTATTCGTAGTGCATGCTGCATCGCGTATTTTTCTATTTAGTGCTGAAGTTGAAAATTGGCGAAAAAAATGTTTATTTTAGAATGTTAAATCAATATGGCTATCTGGTCTTTATATCAACTATGCTTCTGTAATTGAATTTTAATATTATTACTTGATTGTGGTTAGGTTTATTACCATGATCCTGACCTTGGAGGAGAACCTCTGAATTTCCGTCATGTCTTTCTTCATAGTCAGGCACTTGAAGGCATAATCATGTCCATGGTAAGTGGTGCATCGTCAGCTGTACGATCAGAATTGTCTATTATTTGCTGATAGTTGCAAAGGTTGTCTTTGATTGCGTTACCCTAAGACAGTTATCGTATTGCTAAGGAAGCATATCATTTGCATTCTTATATGCAGCTTATTAACTTTCGTGATTTATTGCTGTGTGAATCTATCTGGCAAAGTACCCAACAGATTTCTCTGTATTTAAAGTAAATTGCCTTTTATGCTGTCATCAAGAGTGAGGCAAATGTACCTTTTTATTTACTATGTGGTGTGTCCTTTCTCTTAACTGGTTAGGCATGTTATGAATATGTAGTAAAGTCACAACCAGAGTCATGATGACTACTTTTGAACGATTTGAAACTTTTGAATTCTAGATGACGAGAAATCTTGTTAGATCTGCCAGTCTAGGTACTTATTTCTTCCTAGTCAACAGTGTCGAATTATTAATGTCGATGCAATGCACATCCTGTCGTAACTCAACCAACTGCAGCCAGTGGGCAAAGAAGATTAGTTGGCAATAATTTAATTGAATGTGCACCTCTGGTCCGGAATTTGCTGATAGACAGAGTTTAACCGCAGGTTAACTGTTTTGTTGATTCAGATTCTGGAAGCACCTACACAGGAAGAAGTTTCATTACTCCTGGAAATTTTCGGGTGATTTAAACTTCTTTACGTTGCTCTTCATTTACTTGATTTGATGCTAGATTGTCATTCTCTGATTAGGCACTTCTAAGGCCTACATATTGCTTTTTATCAGCCGCACTCGGTATAACATAATTTGATTTCCACGTAAGCATACACTTTGTTTGCTCTCGTTCAGGCTTTGTCTTACAGGAGGAGTGGAAGTGCATAAGGCGGTATTGAGCAGCATTCAAGATTTGGCTAATGCATTTTCTGGCTACCTAGAAGAAGTACTTGTGAGGACTTAACATTATCCTATCATGTATGCATCTTCATTAAAAATGTGACCAGCAGGAAATATATTATGAACAGTCAGAGTCCACCTGCATCTTTTTTCCACGTTATTCACAAAAGATGATTGAATGTAGAACATAATTGACTAAAATCTCAGTTCAAGATGCTCATAATTGACGGAATGTCCTCATATGTTAACACTGTTATTCAAACTACGATACCATTTGAGTTGCACCTATATCTAAGTGCTTGTTAACTTTGTCACTCCACTTGGTCAAAAAATGTTAAAAATTGTAACTTTCCGCATTTCAGTTGAACATGCTTTGTAATCTGCTTTATTTTGACCTCCTTTAGTCTCTTGAAACTCCTTATGTCATAATACGCCTCATATTCAGCAGATGCTTTAACTTATAGATTTGTAACTACAAAGTAGATAAGAGAGAAGTTTGGGGATGCAGGAAAAAACCTCTCAATGTTTATTGCCTTACCTCTAATTTCTCTCTTTCTACTTTTTGTAAATCATGTCTCAGATGTTACCTCTCATACATCTTTATGTTGATAAACATTTGAATTCCTTTTTTTTTTGGTCAGAGATGAACATTTGAATTCAATCTGGATTCTTTTTAAGGATAGAAATGTGCTATTAATCTAAGCTAGAAAGAAGACATACATACCAAGCAGAAAGAGTTTGGGATACGTATACGCCTAGCAAGAATACAATCATTCTTGAGAATTGTAGTTTGAAGGAAACATGTCACTTCAGGTGAAGCGAGAAGAGTTGCTACAATATGCTCAGGTGGCGATTTCAGGGCTCAAGTTAAATGCTGACGTTATAAGGTACATGCTATATACATCTATTGATGCTGAGGAATTCCGCATGAAATACTCTTTTTTTATTTATTTGCATTTGGTTATCTTGAAATCATCTCCTGGCTGTGTCATATTGCTTCAGGATGTGTCAGGACCATCCTTCGCTCATGTAGCCATAGTTAATGTATGATGTATTGCAACTAATGCTAACTTATGTTGTGACTTGCTCCATTCACTGTTTTTTCTTCTGAGGTTCTGTTGTCCTTAATCATTTAATTTACATCACCATATTGCTCATGGCATTTGTAAGTTGTTGAATTCTTTCTCTAAGTTATTATCGCCTAGTATACTGTAATATAATAGGTATTGTGGCCTCTCCTTCAATTGTCATGAAGTTGTGGACTTCCCCTCCTCCTCGTCCTCCATCTCATAGTCCAGGATCTCTTTCTCAAGTTCTTCATCTGCATCGACACTTAATTTTTATTTCTTCTTTTCTAATTGATGCTCCTAATTCATATCAATTCCTCCCGTGAGCCTGAAGCATAAGTCGCCGTTGCTTTAACCCTGTTCTTGAAAAGCTAAATCATGATAGGACTTTTGACCTGTCTTTGTATGTTGCATTAGTTCACATGCATCTTATTATGGAACCATCTGTTTATTCACTGCCTTCTACAAATATAATTTTCTAAAGTTGAGTTTGCATTCTAATATGGCTATCTGCCTGATTCATCTTTTCAAGATATGTAAATGGGGCTAACTTTTTTTTTTTTGGTAAGGAAAATGGGGCTAACTTTATCCTCTCATCAGTTGAAATTTGATGATGGTAACACCATTTTATCTACAAGGCAGTTATCTCGTTTTTTTACTTATCAAGATGTAGCGGAGTTAATCCCTATGACAAATTCTGCAACAAAATTATGTCACCAAAAATCAGCTGTAAAATTTCAAAGGCTATTGAATAAAGAATGATCAAGCATTCTGTTATACATATCTGTTAGAACATTCCGCAGTGTATATTCATCACTTTCTACTCTAGCTCATACAACAAGTGCATAATACTTTCAAAATAGTATCAAAATTTTTCCCATGTACAATATCATTCCTGATTCACCAGACAGAATCCTGACGAAAGCAGTAATGAAATTTTTCCCCTTAAAAAATTCCAGTAACCATGCTACTTCATCCCATTACAGATTTTGTTGATGGACCCCAGATCTAGGAAGCATGGACACTCTCCGGGGGCCTCCATGTTGGTGTCGGACATATTTTTTTTTATTACTTATTTATTTGTGGATTTGAATCAAATTAATTTGATTGAAATAATCATAAAAATGATAATTTATCATGTATATATAAAAATATACGTTTAATGTACGTGTCCCAATATGTTGGAATTCTCTAGTTTTAGAGAAATGATGCGTTGCGTGTTGTGTCATGTCGTGTCGCGTGTCGGTGCTACTTAGCCCAGATAGAATCAGGCATCAGCATATGATTTGAAAATATACTTGGATGGATTGCATTCAAAGAACAAATGCGATCTAGTTTCATTATCATGCTCACAAAAGACACAAAAAGAATGATGTTGCATTCCCCACTTGATTAATCTGTTTTTCAAAGGCAATTAATCAAGAAAAGCAAGTCATGAAATAAAACTGCTCCCAGCTTAGGATATTTAGGTAAAACCAAACAAATTATGCCAACTGATCTTAATGAAGGCTGCAGGGAAGCAAAAGCAGGTGCTTCTGTGAATTCTACTGTCTTTTGTGGCCCAAATGGCCATCATCTTCTCTAGGGACATACAAAGAGCACTGCAAAGATACATTTGAATGTGCAACAATTCATCAGAACTTGCCGCACCCCAATCCCAATCACCTTTCTTTGTTACAGAAGCTACTTTTAGAATGCCTTTGCAAATGAGAATCATAGATGATTCGATGGCCCAATGTTTGAACCGGAACCCCTGCAGGATGCCAGTAATCATGCCGCAGAGATACCTTCTCACCATTGCCAATTTTCCAGTAGAAGTGTAGTTGAAGGAAGTCTCTCATCCAGAGTAGTTTCCTCCATGAACAATCATCTGGAATTATAAGGCACCAAAGCTCCTGCCTCAATTGAGATAAGCATGAGCCCATGTCATCTAAATAGGTCCAAATTGCAAACTTGATGCCATAGGGTCTTCATAATTAGGACAGGATTCCACAATTCCTTATCTGTCAAGCTAAGTCCTCTGCACCTTTATCAATATAGGACTTCCTTACCCACAAGAATGCATCACCATATTGTTTCAATAGATGAATTATTTCACCTAAATGGTTAAGCTTTGGCATCAAAATCAATTTTCCATTGTTCATATCCCATTAATAGTTTGTTTGGCATGTGATTCTTGTGTTTCTTATTCCATGTGTTCTCCCATTGTCATAATTCATCTGCTTCGCACGTGAGAGGAGGTGATACTTTTAGTCATACATTGTTTACTTTGGTACTTTTATCATTGGATGAGAAGCTGAGAGCTAAGTAACATGAAACTCAATGATTCCTTTAATCGTTATTTTAGTTGCAAACTCTTCTGGTAGTATGTGGTAATCCTGTGTATGCCGTCTTCATTTAAATTGATTTTTTGAAATCAGTAATGATAGGTCATGCTGGTACCACATCACTGTGGTGGAACCATTGATTTAATTTTCCACTCATTTTATTTTCTTCTTATTTGTAAGTCTGTTCTTTCACAATATTCTTGGTGATGGATCACCTAAAAGCTAATCGTGTTATTTTGTGGTCCTTTGCCAATTCTTCAGTCTCCTTAACTTGCTTTTATGAGCTGTTTGTTTCTTGCCTCAGAATAGATTCCAAAACCTTCAGCCTAAAGGAAAAACTCAATAAAATGAGCTCACTGCAGCAGCCTTTGGATAAAGATCATGAAAAATTGTCTCAAGAAACAGTTGTTGTGACAAAAGAGGTAAGACTGATCTTGAGAGATTCGTGAAATATGCATTCAAAGCACATTTAGATATCATATGAATGTCTTTTGGTCTCTATTAGCAGAGGACATTCTTTCTAATATCTTTACGAACTGTCGCCTATATCCAGAGAACTATGGTTAAAAGAAAATCTGATTGTAATCCAATGCAGGCCCTACAGCATGGAACTTTTTCCCTACCTTATATGCCGGTTGAATTCACGTAGTACTTGGTGTTGTTTTCAGAATTGATGGCATCTGTAGGCATTATTTGGACACTCAAGTTAATATTGGCTGCCTGGGCCTTTTTGGGCTACTCCTTCAATTTGTCACTATGCGAAATGCTTATAGCAGTATTAGTTTCATCACACCAGGCTTAGTGCATTAAATGTGGCATTAGTTTAACCATGTATTCAGAGTTATTGAATGCTTATTGCTGGTTATGTGAGAGGTTGGACCCTTTAAATTTCTTTAGGGGCCATTTTGACTAGCTTTTCTTATTTACTCCTAACAAAGATTTAGATAGACAAAATCTCATGGAAATTAAACTCCACATAATGAAAAACATCACTATTGAGAGTTTGGATTCTTTAACTAGTTAATTTCCGTCCTTTGTTTCCAATAATCAGTGGGTCCTAGAAATAAGCTCAAATTCTTAAAACAGAGTAGATTTGATTCTGATCACCATGGTAAAAATACAAGCTATTAGAGCCAAATGCTCTTGTCATGCAGGATATGGAAGAGGCACAGTTGCAAATTCAACTATTTTCCATGATGGAGTCACTGCTACTTAGAAAGAAATCTTTGAGAAATGGGGATACTCCCCATCTTCATGCTGAAAAGGTCAGGTTTTACTAATAAGTGAATCTCATTCCTTAAAAGAAATCCAAGTTTCATTGTGAGAACTTATACTTTGACTTGCATTTTGAATATTATGAACTCTGATAGATATATAATTTAGTCTCATTATTTGCCCTGCAAAATGGAAAGGTTCTCAAAAAAGTAAAAGAGTTTCACGAATTCTTCTTTCATTATGTGTCCTTGTGTGCCACCAAAGTGTAGTTGTGTCCTCATGTTGTTGGTCAATTTCTTGCCAAAAAAATGTGAAAGATTTAGTCTTTGACCATTATCCAATATATATTGCCGATTGCTTTATTGGGATTTTCATCCTTTGTGCACCAGTGTCATTTTAGTTAAAATCGCGATCTAACTCGAAAAATCATGCGATTTTACAAGCCATATCATGAGAATCGTGTTAAGTCAGTTAAAAAATCGTGGGGTGACATCGGTGATATTGCCTTTAATTCAATGAAATTGTTGAGATGGTGAATTGCGATGGCTGTTTTTCTTTTGTCCAGTTGCGCTTTGTTGGGGATTTGCGCTCTTGAATTCAAAACTGATTCAATGGCATTGGGGAAACTGCGTTTAACTGATGCTTAATTGAATAAATTTGAAAGAAAAGGAAAAGAAAAGGGCCTTCTCTTCTCTTGTTGCTGCAAACAAATAGGGTCTTCCTGTTCATACAGCTCAGTTCTTGCTTTAATTTCTTTTTGTTCGTAAATGGACCACCAGCTATTTAGAACTGGATGAAGGAAATTTTTTATTTATCTATGTGAGTTATATTGTTATTATGTCTAATAAATTATTTCAGCAAAAGGAAAGAAAAGAAGTATCTTGGAAAAGCTGATACAATTTTTTCTTTTTCAAAATGAATTTTCTCTTTATGGAAGTGTTGCTATTGGTATACTGTTTTTTCTGAGTTTCCATTAAGATGTTATCCAGTTTCTTTGGCTGAAGTCATAATTTGAGACTACAATCTAGATTTATCTATAAATGGATCTAAATTTTTGAGGTACTATGACTGTTTTTATTTAGCTATATCTAATAAACCAATTTCAGGTACTATTAAGTAGATTTGCTTATGCGAGTTGAGACCTAATTGGTGGTGCTGATGTTATAAGACATGAGCCATTTACTTGGTTCTTGTTTAGTCTAATAATGTAGACTCTTATGATCAATTTGACTGGCACTCATAAATTTTTCAGAAGTTAGTTTACTAAGTTTCTAAAATTTTTCGGCTTTTCGATTCAATGTTACAATCCGATTTTATGGGGACCTCACCTAATTTAGCTGAAAAAGAAAGTTTGACTACGTTGATCACTGTTGTTTCCCATAATTGTCCTGCATCTTCAAACTATTTACATAAATTTTCTACTGAATTTGAGACCTTTGGTTAGTGTTTATGAAAGTCTTGTTATTATTTAACTTTTTGCTGCCTGTACCGGTTATATGACTTCTTGCACTTGGCATTAACCACGTTAGACCAAGTTTTCTTAATCATATGTGCATTTTCCAACAGTCTAAAATGAGGAGTAAGAGCCTTCACACTACAAATGACAAGTAAAATATGGAATTTATATCGAATGATCTTGTGGCAGTGGCATACTAACTTTTAGCCATTCACAGGGTTCTGTAAACATATGATGGGCTCTTAGGGAGGTCACATAAAAGATGTGAGGCTACTAGAACTGCATGTTTGGAAGTAATGGTTAAGGCCGTTATGTAATAGAAATTACGATGGTATTGGAACAGAGTTGACTAGTTATTACAGTGTCTGGTTAAGTATTGAAATAACTATTACTTTGCTTAATTTGACAGTATAACATAAATGGAAGTTCCATCATGGAAATGGATAAAATGTCCAAAATGCCCTCAATCATTATCATCATCATCATCATTATTATTCACTAATTAACAGATATTAATTAACGTGAGATGGAGGTAGTAAAGATTTTTGTGAGTATAAACTGTCAATCCATCTATCCTTTAGCTCCTAATTATGTCACTATTCACTGATACCGTAGGTACGAATAAGCAATGATGCATATGATCGTCATCTTCGCAGTTCCTGTCAAGTGTCTTGTTACACTAACTGCGAGATATGTACAGCATTGAGGTGTTTATGATGTGCACTATTATTAACATGTCCTCCCTAGGACATGAGCTTCACATCCTAGAAAGCACAAGAATCACTTCACATATGCATTCAAGTGGCTTTTGGGTTGAGCATGAATGAGAAGAATCTTGAGATGATGATCACCACCACGATATTGAGTACATCCATGAATTGAAATTGAATTGATGTAGGTGGCGAAGAAATATTTCCATATCTAGTTAGGATGTGATACAGGAGGTTGAATTGGCCATTAAGGAGGTCACAACCAGAGATATCGTTCTAAGCTTCAGCATCGTCAAATTAGACCTCATTGCTGGGGCATATCCATAGTCGTGTAATGTGACTCAGGCAGATGAGATGACCCAATACATTGATGGAATTTACCTTTTCCAAGTTTTGCTCCTTGGAGTGCTATTATGACTGCCTAGTCTATGTATTTATCTCATATCAGTCTTTTGTGCCAAGATCATGACTTTGATGTGTTCTAATTGGCCACCTGAAAAAGCAAGTACACCAATGATGAGTTCCAAGACTCAAGATTGTCTTGTCAGAGGTGTCTAATGTTGAATGGGAAGCTTCATCACGTGGGCAATATTTTTTTTGGAACATTGATGTAAACAACGAGAAAGATGGTACTCAGGTTTCACCCAACTTTTCAGCTCAACATTTTTAAGGAAATAAGGCAACTACACTTGCACATTCCATATACTGTCATGGTACCTTTGCTTTGCTTTTTAATGTTTTCTTGGCTTTGCAGCTTATATTCTTAAAATCTTTATACCATGGAATAGTTGATGGGACAATAATACTACTGATGAACTTCTGCTCGCTCTTATTCTTGCTATGAGCCCTCTTGTTGCTCTCTTGTTGCTCCTTTGTCTTTACTTCACCTTCTTTACTGGGTTATGGTACATGAGTTCCACTCTGAATGGTTCTAAGTTACCGTTGTGATCTGGCACGTCCCAACCTCTATATCTCATTCTTCATCTGGTTAGTCTTTTGTAGGTAAAACCATCCTTTCATACACTTCACATGTGAGCATTTCTCTGCAGGTTGATAAATTGAAAGTGTTATCAGAATCCCTTTCTAATTCTTCCTCAAAAGCTGAGAAGCGCATCTCAGACCACAGGTTTGGAAGCATTTGGATATTATTTTTGTGCATATATTTTCTTCTTAATACATTCGTTAAACTTAAAGCACTTCTAGACAGTTCTGGAACTTGGTTGCATGTGAAAAAAAGATGCTGAAGGTTCTTCCGTTGGAAGGATCATTGCAGTTAACATGTTCTATATTTGAATGACTGTCAAGTTTTTCCTTCTAGGTATGTAACCTGTAGAAACTTCAGCAAGTGAGACTATGACAGTTGAGACTAGTATAGTGGCTGAAGATGAGAGATTTTGATCTTTTATGTAGTACATAAATGAGTTGTCAGATTTTGGATTGCATGGAGTTTGTCTCAAATGTAATGCCAAAGGAACCTTGGGTGTGGTTCTACGGAAGTGATGCTAGAAGAGATTTATCTCTTTCCCCTACAATATCATAGGAATTTTACTCTACTTTTCACTCATACCTTAATAAACCCTCTTCAATCAATGACTATTGTAATCAACGGTAATACCCAAATATATTGTTGCTATCCATTGTACTGAACAGCAACTAGATGTCCATTCCAATTTCTTATCCAAATTGGACTTGGCTCTTAGGGTACTAGTTATTAGGTGAACTGACTGATGAAGCTTTTCTTGGTTGTAAAATAATTGTAAAAGGCCCTAGCCTGTTTGCATGTGCAGTGGTAAAGCTAAAGCTCGAATTGGGCCCTGCCTAAAATGGAACTGGATACATGATGAGGTGTTCAATTTTCCTTCTATAAAAAAATTGTTGTAATGTTTCTACATAGATATCAAACCACATGAGAAGTGGTATTTTTGCTTCCATTTAATAATACCAAGAAGTCCTTTTGTTTTGCTAAAACAGATCTAACACATCTCAATTAACATGTACAGTTTCTGGTGGAATCAAGGAGGGTTGATCTCTTGAAAAAATCGTTGCTATGGTGATCTAAGCTAGCCCCTTCACTTCATGTTTAGAAATACGAGAAAGAGTACGAAACCTTGATATATTTATAGTGTAGGTGACAATCTATTCTGGTATTAGTTTAGGCTCATGAAATCCCACTTTCTTCTAGAAATACACATCATTTATATATTTTTATTTTCATCCAGTGTACTGGCATTTAAGCATCATGCTCTTTTCATGTTGGTGGCTAAAGCCAGAAGTTTCTTTGTTTATACGTGTTGTGTGTCATGTTCAATCTTGGGATGGCCCGTTAAATGTTAAAATTGGGAAAATTTTATCCAAGTCCACTGAAGTTCAGTATTTTGCAATCAGGTCAGTGAAATTTGATTTCCATCACCCAATGCACAAAACTTTGAAACATTTGCAGTTGATGCACTTTGAATGGAATCTGACCAATTTTTCATGCGAAATGATGACTTGGCAGTCATATGGCAAATTGGAAGCCAAGTCATTGGCACCTGGGCACCACATTGGTGTTTCGCCTGAAAATTGATCAGATTCCGGTTGAATTGCATTACTTGAAAAGTTAATTGAAAATCTTGTGCTATTTGTGAATAAAATCAAAGTTTAGTGACCAAATTGGAAAACAGCTAAAGTCTAGTGACCACCAATGAAATTTACCTTAAGAAACATGGATAGTACATTGGAGAATCTAGGTTTTACTTTTTGCTCTTATGTATGAAACTCATGGTTATAAACTTATAAGATGAAGCAAAATCACAGTTGTCAAGGTACGCCAAAGGCTAGCTTTATTATTTATAGTTTCAAGCCTAGTCTCTCATAGGAAAAAAGCATTAACTAGCCTTGAACACCATATTCGGTATTCATATCCTGCCATATAACCTATGAGCTTACACCTAATTTGAAAGAATGCTGAGATAGCTGCTGGTGCAGTACTCATGAAGAGTAATGCACTGTGCAACATTAGCGCCTATGTGCAGGTCGTTTTATGAGAAGGATGATATTTTGCACTTTAAGCATACATTAGCTCTGTTTGAGTCCTAACAAATGTAAACATAGTATCCAAAGGCTTGTTTAGGGGAAGACAGCTATCAATCAAATGATTATGTTTAGGGTTGGAAATTTGTATCGTTTTGGGACTTGGTGACCCTATTCTTTGATGGTTGAAATCTTGGCAAAGAGGAAGCTGCTAACTGAATAGTCACAAGCCCTTATCTAGATTAGGAAGCTATTGTCCGGTACATTGATTAGTCGTTGAAGAATGAGAGATAAATTGTGCTTCTTCAACAGCCAGGACCATTTTACTGGTGGGAAGTGGAAGGTGTTTTAGTCAGAGTCCCTAATCGTATTTTTCCCAATCTGGTTATTCTTTAACTCAAAATTTGCTTGTGCTGCAAATTTTTTCCCTAATCGTATTTTTAGTACAGCTTATTTGCTTTGATATTCATCTGGTCATTTTTCTCTTCTTTCATGGTCCAAGCAGATCTCACAAAGAAGAAGCTGTCAATTTTCGTGTGGCTAAAACAACAGAAATGAGCCAACTTGAGAAGGTAGTTTGTCTAAAGAGAGGCAACCATTTTTTTAATACTTTCAGCCATAAAGAGAGAAGTTCATGATACACGTGGCATATATATCAATCTCTTATTAGCTCAATCCAGTTATGAGAGTCCTCATGAGGGATAGCTTCATCTGTTCTGTGCTGTATCCATGAAAATCTTCCTCACTCCCCTTGTTGCATCATCCGGTCATCACTTATGGTTTACCATTTGAGTACAAGGTCAATGAGTCAATTGTTACTGTGCCTAGTTCATGATTTCCCTCTTTGTCATTCTCTTATGAATAATACCTCTAACTGTTATATTGATAGGTAAATCTATCACATTGCTAGGTTAGCAGGCCATACTGGAAGAACCTCATATAGGATTGGTGTGTTAGCACATGATTCTGACACTTCTTTTTTTACACTATTCAGGAACTGGAGGTGGAGATCGAAGAACTTGAGAAACAAAAGGAAACACTTGAAAAAGAACTAAAAAAGGTTTGGCTTGTTCGAAAATTCTGATTTGCAAGTAATTTTGGGATAAATTAATCTTTTATAATTTCTGTCTTCTCCTAGCTAATTGAACACTAGAATTCTGAAGAGTAAAGTGATAATTTCATATGATTTAGATTCTTATTGTTTGATATGAAAATTGCCTGTACAATCACCACGAAAATCTTGATTTGCGAGCATTGAACCTGCATTTGAGTTCCATGGTGGCCTTTATATTGGGTGTAGGTCAATGGTTCACTCTCTGGTGCTCGTTTACACCTTCAGAATGCCAGAGAGGAGAGAGAGCAGTTTGATGAAGCCAGTAACCAGATTCTTGTGCACCTAAAGTCTAAGGTATATCATTTTGTTTCATGAATAACGCATTGGCTTTGTAGTTTGCATTGTGTTTTATGGTTTGGCACTGAATGGCTGTTTAATTGCCTATCATTGTCTTCTAATAGGAAGATGAGCTATCAAGATCAGTTCTCTCGTATAGAATGGAAGCAGATGTTGTCAATACGTGGATTGATTTTCTTGAAAATACGTGGACTCTGCAAACTTCGTATATAGAGGACAAAGAAAAACAAGTTAAGTATGTGATCTACTTTCCCCAATCAGCTAGCATCCTTTCAGATATAGGCAATAAGCTCAGCCGTTCTTTACAGCTTTTCTCATAAAGGCATGAGCAAAATGGAACTTTAAGTAATCTGCTCTAGCCTATTGTTTTCTCAAGGGCAAGTGATGACAATGACATAAGCAAACTTCTTTTTTAATCCTTTTAAACTCAAGTAATCTGGTGGGCTTTCATTTCCTCTTCGAACCTCAATTATATTGTGCAAGGTCTATGTGAAGAACCAACAATGCTCTGTATAAATACTTAAAACTGTTGCCAAAAGAAAAAAGAAATGCTAAAAGTCACAAGGATCCATGTAAAGGAGAATGAGCGCAGGGATTAGATGTACGAGGTGAAGTGCCTTAAATAATCATCTCAAGATATGAAAACCAGTCTTGGTTGTGATTTTCCCTTCTTTTTCTTCCCCTTCTTTTCTTGAATTTTTCTGTTATTATGTTTTAAAAGCAGAGGCATAGATATAAGTCTTTTCTTTCTTTTTAGTATATCTTCTACAACTTTCGAGTATTCTCGTGGCTCCCCCTATCTAATGATTATTGCTAATGTGCATATTCAAGTGGTGAACTGGAGAGATACGGAGATTATTTTGTGAATTTGGTCATTCAGCTTCTCTCAGCTTACAAGGTATTATTTATCTTATTCTGCTAGAACCTTGTTCCAGCATTCACGATGTTCAGCTTCATTTGCCATCTGGTTTTACATGTTCTTTGGTTCGTCTTTTCATTCATCTTATTATACATTTTTTACTAGGAAGGGTTGGGTTTGTCACTTGCTTCCATCAAAGAAACTGTGGAATACCTGGACCAAAGTCCAAGGTATCAATTCGTGCTATATTCGGGATGTTTATCACATGGTTGAAACTGATCTATAGATGTTTTTGGATGTCAGATCTGAAAAGAGACCTAGTATGAACGAGCAAAATACCAAAGAGAATAAATCAAAGAGAAGATACGAGGAAGAATATCTGGATCTTGAATCCAAGGTAAGCTAGCATATCCTTTTAGTGTTTTTCCCCACTTCTGCCCACAGCAAATAAGTTTTAGTTGATCAGTCAAATCAGTTACCTTTTGGAAGTCAAATGCCCTCATTGTTGCATCATATTTCTCTAGTTGGTCTTAACTTCTAGGGATACTGAATCACCAAGTTAATTTGATAGATCTTATATGAAGTGCAACTATCATATCATATCATATCTACTCGAGAGATCCTTTTTGATATTTCAGTTTTTGACGACCTTAAGCACAGTGGAAGCAATTAAAAAGCAGTTCTACATCCAATCCGAAGACACTTTCAGGTACAATATAGTGTGCATTTTGGTTCTCAGTGTGTCTGGTCGATAGAGAAATTCTTTTGAAAAAGACATCTATCTTTCATGCAGGAAAGACCATGAAAAGGTTGAAAAGCTATTTGCTTCTCTCGAAAAGATAAAAGATGAATTTGATTCTATACAGAGACCAGGTTTGGAAATTGAGACTCCTACACAAAAATCACAAAATCCACTGACAAATGGCCATCCGATTAGTTCATCTTCTGTTTTGGCTAAGGCCTCGCAAAACTTTAGAGAAGATGAAGCAACGGATGGTTCTTCTATCAAGGTTGAGATGACCTCAAACACGATTAGCGAACCTGAAAAGTTGGAAGTAGATTATGGAAAGGCTGACAGAGACCATTTAACCGATGAAATTGGCGACTGGGAATTTGATGAGCTCGAGAAGGAATTCAGAGCCATCCTTTGAGCAACTGGAATATAAACACCATTAACCTGGCAGCAAACAAGTGATTGGTCCTATAGAGAGATTTTTTACTTAAATTTTTTATGCTTGGCAATGAAAAAAGGTGATAGGATGATGTAAATTGTACTATTCAGTTCCGTGACGAGGCATAACCTTTTGTACAATCACAAATGCAAGTTACGTCCGATTTTTAACATCTACATATCGTAACAGGCTATACGACTTACAATCAGCTGTAAGTCCTGGAATTATGGAGGTGAAAATTTTGTTTATGTAGAAACAAGTATTACAACAGCAAACTTTTCTGAAGAAAACTTGCTCTTTACTACCCATTTGAATATGGCACTACGAAAATCTAATCAACCTACCTATTGATCAATCGTCACTGACCTCTAATCGATGCATCTCAGTCCAATGGAACTGAGTCAGATAGTTTTCCTCGTAGACATTGGCAGTGAAGCATTACATACTTGCACGGCAGGAACCCACTTTTGAATTGTCTCTCAGTTCAATGGATCGTGCCGGTTGATTGGCGAATGAACACCTGCGGGCCAATACTTTTTAGCATAGACCACAATTTTTGGGAAGTGAGTCATGTGATCAGCCCATGGGCTTAGTTTTAAAGTGAGATTTCTCAGCCGGTGTATGCAGTGGCTTTCTAATGTTTACTCCTTATTTATAATGATACAAGTACAAAGTCTATCACACATTGACCACCACAAGTCATCGCGGTGTCATCCATTTCCACCACCGCCAGCGCCAAACGTGGTTGTGGCCATCCCCCCCACGATGAAGTAAACGACGAATCGATCGGAAGTCCTTTCGAGGATTCGTTCTTAAAAAATGAAGAACTTTACCTTAGACATAAAAACGATTCTTGTTCGCTTCTTTTCATGGGCAGAAGGCGAATGAAAGGAGGAGGGATCGTCCACGGTGATTGACGTCTCCTTAGAAAGCGTGGTGGCAACATGGGAACGATCAGCTTGTGCGACTCCGGAACCAAGAAAGGATCATTGGAAAGACAATCATCAGTTGCTGGGGGCATCTTCACGATGGGAGTATTTCATTCCGCAAGTTCTAGAAAGATTTTCCTTTCGACTTAGATGTTTACCGATACTCTTGTTATTGACAGGAGAATCCAAGAGACAGGGCGCACCTCCCTTATTCGGGACTAGTCGATTCAGACCATAAGAGGGTAATACCTATAATTGGTTGTCAGAGATATAGTAATAACATAAATGGGTAATGACATAAATGGTCCCTAAACTTGGTGTGTAATGTGATCCCTGAACTTTTTAATTTGTTAAATGTGTTCCCTGAAGTTTAGCTCAAATGTAATGTGGTCCATGAACTTTTAATTTGTTTACATTTTCTTCTAGTTCGACGACTAAATTGAACATATACCAAAGGTTCAGGATCACATTGAACAAATTAAAAGTTTAGGGATTACACTACATATTTGCTACAATTCAGGGTTCACACTGAATAAATTAAAAGTTCATAGACTGCATTGTACATTGGGTTAAAGTCTAGGAATTATTTGTGTCATTTTTCCTAATAGAAATGAGTACATCTCTAAAGTTTTTGCCTTTGTTATGGCGATGCATATATTTTCTGGAATATGGTAGACATTGAAGAAAGATACTGTGATGATGGAAATAACTGCATTTGTTGCTCTAGCCTATGCTGATCACTTTACAGTTTTGCTCGTGCTATTCGTACTGTCGAAATTTCTGCCGCTCTGTGATAGTTGGGACAACTAAAGTTTTCGCATGTGATTGATGCGGTGGTTTCTATGCGAATTGGGTGGAATAAAAGTGCACCAAAAGTCTTCAACCTCAAACACGAAATGCAATCAATTTTTTAAAAAAATTCAATTAGTTCAAATAAATCCTTAAATCTTTTTCAAAAAGTGCAATAAAGTGTTTTCAATGAAGTGTGCCTAAAATTCTCTACATGTCACTTAAAATATCACTGATGTAGTATCTTTAAATTGCACTTTTCAACATAGTTTTTATTGGACTTAATTATACTTTCCAGTAAAGGTTTAAGCATAATTGAATCAATTGAAAGATTTCTGTCTCTATTGCGATTTTTTGTAAAGTTGTACAACTTGATTGTAGCAATTAAAATGTTTAGAACTTTATGGTATTCCGTACATAAGATTTAGGATTTATGGAGCAATTTTCTTGAATTATGAGCACGGCAAATGTCCGATGCCCCAACTCCCAAGTAACAAAACAGTTTCGTCTTTTGGTCACTAAGTTTTCCCCGTTGTCTTAGTCAACCAAACTAGTGAAAATACTGTATATTCCGAAATTGGGTTTCCTCATCAAGACTCAAATTTCTACTACGCAGCCACGGTTTGAAAAATAAGCCTTTCTTTTGGATGCATATCCGATCTACTATTCAAAATTTTCCTAGTCATTTATGGGACCTTGCTTTTGTTTCTGCCGGCGATCAACAACAATCTCGAGTTCGAACTCCAAGAAAAAACACTGTAATAAGATAAGCAAACAAGACAACAAGCTTATCAATCATTTTGATTTTGACCAAGAGTCAAATGTGGACACATATACCTACGACATATTAATGCATGATATCAGCAAGGCAACAAAATGCATGGACAACTTACATTCTAAAATGAACGAAAAACAAATATGATAGTGATCTCTCTTTCTCTCACCAAGTTTTGAGAAACAAGCTCAATGTTCAAATTCCAAAATAATAAGATACAAGAGAAGCTTGAAGACAAAACACCAAAAACAAAAACAAAATCAAAATTTGAAGATAATTTTGTATTTGCAAATATCCAAGTTGGCATTATTTTCAATTATTGTCCTATTTCCAATGTATTGTGAATTTGCACTTTCTAAGAAGTAGGGATTGCAATTCCTGATATGAAACGAGAACACGACTCAATTGTAACACCGATTTTTTAAGAAAAATCTGAATCCAACATGATATAACTCGAAACTGACATAAAATAACACATTTTTGCTTTTTTTAATAAAAAAAAAATCATGCAACTACTTTGTAACATTTTCATAATGACATGACATGACATGCAAATAGGAATTGCCAACCCTATGTAGCAAGTGTCCATGAGAAAATTAGGCAATCGACATATAGACACACGAATGATTGGATGCTGTGAGATCCACGTGAGTCCCATCAAATCTAATAGTACATGTGATCTTGGTTTCGCCATGTTGAGTGCACTCAAGTGTCTCTTCAATGATGGGCATCAAATGGAACATATGTATCCAATTGAAAAAGGATTGTATGTACATCCATTTAGAGCTTACCTCGCCAGAAGATAAGAAATAGAATACAAAAGGGGGTGCGGTCACATAACATGGAAAGTGTTCCCCATAATTTTCGAGTTGTTCCCATCAAAATCTTTGAGTTCACTCTTTTCACACGTGACTTGGACCGGTTCGTGCAAAGACTTCCAATAGGTTCATTTGCTTGTTACATTGAAGCTTCGACTAAAAACAAGAGGCACTGTCGACATCTCGGAGTACGAGATTCCTCACGTCTCGAACATGCAATGTATATTCCAGATTCAAGGTACTTGTTTGACAGATGTGGATAAAAGGAATTTGAAATATTGTGCATGGGCTGCTTTCAGTACCAGTTGTCTTAGCCACTTATCCACAGTACAACCCACTACAGAATCAAAGAGCCCATCATGCATGTCAAGCGCACCGTCAACTCATCTCTCTCTCATTGCGGCAGTTTTGGTTCATGAATTACCCAAAAGACCTATAGCAATAACAAAACATGATCGAATACTTAAACACTACAAAAAAACCGGGTTTTTCCGACGAAAAAATTTTCGTTGGAAATTTGCAACGACATTTCCAACGAAAAATAAATTCGTCGGAAATTTGAGACGAAAAATTCTTCGTCGGAAATTTCCGACGAAATTTTCCGACGAAAAATATTTCGTCGGAAATTTCCGACGAAATTTTCCGACGAAATATTTTTCGTTGCAAATCTCCGACAAAATTTTCCAACGAAATATTTTTCGTCGGAAATTTCCGACAATTTTATTTTTTGTGGGACATTTCGTTGCAAATTTCCAACGAAAATTTTTTCGTCGGAAATTTCCGACGAATTTTATTCGTGGCAAATTTGCAATATGAAAAATGATTTTTTTGATATCCGTCCCGATCCCTAATTTCTCTCTGTCGACTGATTCCTCTAATCCCCTCGCTGTTCTCTCTCCGTCTCTCTCTTTAATTTCTCTCGAATTACTTATCGGTGCACGCGCAAATCAATCTCGGTAAAGCTTTTTCGCCGGTAAGTGTCGTGGCTAATTTCATGAATAATTGGCGACGAAAACGGTTCGTCGCAAAATTATTCATCGCTGGATTTGTATATGTTGGTGTTATTAAAAATTTTTTTTTCCTTTCCTCACTGGTTTGGCCGATCGCCGGCCATGGGGCGAGGTCCGGTGGCCTGGCCATGGCCGTCGGTCGACCTCGCCGACGCACAAGTGAGCTAGCCTCGCATGGGCCTCGCCGGCCAAGCTCGAGATCTGGGCGAGTTCGCCGGCCAAGCTCGCCGGCCATGGCGAGCTCGGCCCCGGCCAGCGGCGAGGCTGGCCCTCGCCGGCACCGGCGAGGGCCGATCTCGCCATGGCCGGCGAGCTCGAGCTCGAGCTCGCCCAGATGTGGGCAAGATCCGGGCCTCGCCGGCCATGGCGAGCTCGAGCTCGCCGGCGGCTTGGCCGGCCCTCGCCGGCACCGGCGAGGCCGAGCTCGCGGGCGGCTTGGCGGCCCTCGCCGCAGCCGGCGAGGGCCGAGCTCGCCATGGCCGGCGAGCTCGGCTCGCCTGGACCTCGGCGAGATCCGGGCGACCTCGAGCTCGCCGGCGGCTTGGCGGCCCTCGCCGACGGCGAGGGCCGAGCTCGCCATGGTCGGCGAGCTCCGGCCTGCCCAAACCTCGGCGAGATCCGGGCGACGTCGAGCTCGCCGGCGGCTTCGGCCCCTCGCCGGCAGCGGCGAGGCCGAGCTCGCCATGGCCGGCGAGCTCGAGCTCGCCCGGATCCGGCGAGTTCGGGCGAGCTCGCCGGCCATGGCGAGCTCGGCCCTCGCCGGTTCCGGCCAGGGCCAGCCTCGCCGCCGGCGAGCTCGAGGTCGCCCAGAACTTGCCCAGGCGAGCTCGCCGGACCAGCGTCCGGCCAAGAAGA